ACCGGGAGGAGCGGGGGATGTGCTATCTGGTGCTTGATCCATTCGCGTCTTGAGGACGAGGCGGCGTGGTTGTGTAGTTCTGAAAGATGAGCGGTTTGTCGAGGATTCGCGTTTAGTGCGTCGTCCGGAACGGTATCGAGCAGGGAAATCTAACTCGTCGTCCAGAGTGTAATCAGCACCAGCAGTGCGGCCAGTCATACTGCGTCTATCTCCTGTTCCGATCTCAGAGGTTAAGTCGTCGCTGGCGTAGTCAACAGGCAGACCTATAGCATATCGGATTAGCGGGATCTTGTGAAGATGAAAAAGACTAGGGTGCTAATATCAGGCTAAACGAACTCTTCTTTGGTCTCTTGCCCGACCTGAAACTAGTATCATCTTCTTCCAGAATTCCTATATAAACGGAAAGCATTAGTCTCAATGTCTCTTTTTTCATCATGACTCCCTGAAAACGAGGAAGAAGGAAAATCATACGTTTCCTCTCCCGTTGCTTCTCCTCCCCAAACTGAATCTCCTCCGCCGTATCCACATTCTCCGCATCAGCCTCAGCTTCCGTCAACGGCTCAAAGGCTGGCACTTTCAACGGCAGCCCGTCAGTGCCTTCACCCACCAGCCCCGGCCCGAACGGGTTATTCAACGCATCGTGTACCGAAAAGTCACTTTCCAGATAATACCACATGAGCCATAGAAAAGCCCTTGCGCGACTCCTACTGCTCAGACTGGAGCGCATGACTAGATCGAAAAAGTCGCGGGGAGGGAAGAAGTGTAGTTCGGATATGCGCGGGGCATATTGCGAGAGGACGAATATTAGATTTACGGGGTTGGTACGGGGGACGGACGCCTGCTTAATCTTTTCAATGGTATTGGGTTGATCAGTGTCTTCTGAAGCGCCTTTTAGTATTGATTTGAGCCTAGGTGCGTCTTGAAGCTGCTTGTAAGCATTCGGGTCCTGATGGGCTTGGAGGGATGGAATAGAGTGGTATGTTCGTAATTGGGCACGCATCTCCGGGAAGACTAAAGTGATCAAGCAGTTAGTAAATTCTTAAGAAGAACTATATCGCTGGTTAAGGATGCAACTTCTGGGGAAAGTTCTCACAATTAAGCGTGGTATTCATCCTTCCGAAATTAACCAATAGGCACACCATCGCCATGCTAATCGCCGCCGCTTTATCGTTCTGTAACTTCTCCTTCAGAATCTTGCTGGTCTTGCTACTTCTCGCCATGGCATCGATGTATATATCGGCGAAATCCAAGCCCTTAGCTCCATCGGATAGCCGCGTAAACACAGGTGTTTTATCCTCGAAAACGAGCTTCAGAAACTCATACTGGATATCCTTCCGCCAGAGCGGAATCCCATCGTCCTTCTTCAAATGTCGAATCTTATTACCCGAGTACACAGACCCAATGGTGCCATTGGCCTGCCGCCGTGTTCCTACAGTCGCACTGACAATGGACGAGTGGAAACTGCTGCTGTTGGCATTCCCTTTACTCTGTTTGCTATGACTGGTGGTATCGTGGTCATACGAGGAGCGGCGTGTTTGCGAAGGTGACTGCAGCTGAGGTCGCTTGCCATGTTCCTGAGAACGTCCGTTGCCGTCCTTAGATTCCCCCGCAACCTCCCCCCCTTCCCTTGACTCCGCCATTCCTTTTCTATCTCCACCACCTTGGCTCTCAAGTCCATCATCTTTGTCGCCATCCGGTGGTGGCTGCGGAGACTTGGGCGGCCAGTCCTCCCAAGTGCCAGACTCAGTCCAGAACCCCTGGATGGGATGCGTGGGGTCGTCGAGATAGCTTCGTTGGCGGCCACCCTTCGAGCCCGGCTCCGGTTCCAGGAGTCGATTCACGCTGGCTCGAGGGAGCGGGTAGCGGTCTGCGGGTAAGGGGAAGTCCTTGCGGGAACCCGCGTAGTAACCGCCATTGAGCTGGTCGAGGTGATCCTCCTTCTCGGGCTCGAAGGCACCGCTGAGTTTATGAGAATCCATAGCGGGCTCTGTAGTTATGGTTGAGTTCGGGTCATTGGAGGTGGATTGCTGGTGGTGGTGGTGGCGCTCGTCTTGCTTTTCAGTGGTCGTGGTGGTGATGGGGGTTTCCGCGCGCGGAGAGGTGTCGCGGGAGACAGGTATTATGCTGCTCGCCATTGCTTGTGGGAGATCTAGATGTGGATTTGTGCGGGCATTGTAAATATGTAAGAGCGTTTATCGGGTTGCGTGTGGTGAGATGAGATGGCAGAGGTGGCAGGTTGGGAGCAGGTTTGTTGCAGACTCTGAGCGTGAGGTCCCCCGGACTCGGAATTGCCAACCCTTGGTGAAGTTAAAATGGGCGAGACAACGAAATCGAGCGACTGCACCATTCCATTCAAGTTGTCTGCCCGGGCTCAAATAACAACCTCCTTATTTACCTGAATCTTAGGGCGGCTTACTCATAGATATTAACTTTTGAAGTGAAAATGAGCGCTAGCCCCCAATACAAAGTCAAAACGCGCTAAATAATGAAACTTGTACCGTACCTCGGATGCTACAAGCCGCAAAGAGCGAGTTTGATATGTGGATTTTTGTTAAAGGCTTCTCCGTATTAATCCCATTTAAAAGAGATAATGGCCTTTGGAAGGGAATAAATCGCGTCTATGAATGACGGACTCTGCATCAGCGCCGCCCATTCTTGATTGAGTGCGGTGGAAAGAGCAAAATGAAGTGCAACTCTTGCAAGATTCTTACATTCCTCACCCTCCAGAATTCCGACCACCAGGTGCATGTTGACCAGGCCTTGGTTGAAACTTATCTTGTCGAACTGCTCTGAGGGTGATAGTGTCTTTGAAACTCATCAAACTTGGATGGGCGCCGGTTGTGAAACCGTGACCTGACAGTGTTGTGAGGTCCCAGTGACGCAAACGGGAGAAATCTAGGCGTGAATAGTGGTATTCATTCAATTCATTCAAATACACATCTTTATCATCAAATACATATTTTTATAATCAAATCTGTCAATATGCTTTGCAACACTCATCATTTTACTGTTTTATAAATTTGTAAAAGAATTTCAATTACTTTACATCTTCATCTACTCAAATCATCTGTTCTGAATGTTCTAAATAATGATGAGAATTCAACTGATGATGAGAAGAAAAATAAGAAGAAAAAGAAGAAAAAGAAGAAAAAGAAGAAAAAGAAAATATAATTAAAAATTTTTCAATTTCCATAAATATCTATTTCTGAGTTTGAGATCTCATTCAGATTGTATGAATGAGTGATTATCAATGAAATAAAGAAGAAATGAAAAGTATGAAAGAATTAAATTTAAATTTATTATTAAATTCAAATTTATCATCAAATTTAAATCTGTTGTTGAATTTAAATTTGTTATTAAATTTAAATTTGTTATTAAATTCAAATCTATTGCTGAATCTGAATCTGTTTTCTATTTAAAATAATTCAATTTTTCAATTTAATAAACACATAAATTTGTTTATTGATGAGTTCTTCAATTGATTGATGACAGAGAGATCTCAAAGAACAGAATCTCTTTTAATTATAAAGAAGATTATTTAAAATAAAGAATTTAAATTGAATCATATATAAACAATGATAAATGAGCAGATGATTTAATTGAATATTGAAATAAATATATTTTTAATAATAAAAAATAAATTAAAGAGTTCTATTTGACAATTATGATTGAAGGAGATTAAATTAGTTTTATTTATTATTTATAATGATGATAATAAATTTCATACTGCTTCTGCTTCTGAATTTGAAACTTAGATATTATATATCATTATAATTGAATTGCAATTTAAATTTTTTTTAATTTCATAATATTATTTTATATGAGTAGATTTACAATATTCTTTTACATTTTTTTTTTTTTAATGAAATTTTCAATTGTGTGATGTAAAAAAACTTTAAAATCTTCATTAAATTAATTTTCTAACTGACATTTGTATCTTCTAATTCATTTTTTCAATGTGTGAAATGACTTTTCTATAGAATTATAATCAGAAAAATATGAAAATAAAAATAAAAATTCAATATCAGCTTCTCTACAAAGCTTTTACAATGTTTGTGAATGATGAGAAGAGTAATGATTCATCATTAAATTATGATAATTTTATTGATATTTAAGCAGTATTTGAATACATACAAATTTATTGAACCTTTTTATATTATAGAATCTCTGATATATATCATAATTAAAATATTCATTAATATTTATTGCAGATAAAATTGATCATTTGTGAGATTATTTATAAAATCTTTTAATATAATAAAAAAATTCTTTATTTAATCATTCATATTATTAATCTGCAGTACATTTATTTACAACACTCTTATTTAAAAAAATAAATTGATCAGATTAATATTGAGTAATTTGAATACATCATTCAATTTAAAATTCTTCATCACATTAACTGATTATAGATTCAATCTATATCAAATAAAATTGACAAATTAATAGATTTTATAAATGATAATTGCAATAATTAATCATCTTTTTTCATGTCAAATTCAATTTCTTCAACAATCTAGATATTGATTGAAAGTGAATATCAATATCAAATTTATTCTTCAAAAAACAAACAGTCTCATTATAATATATAATTGAATATATTTTAAAAAAATTCTTCAAATCTGACAAAATATTTAATGTGATCTTTAATTTTACATTTCATATTGAATGAGAACTTTTAACAATTTCAAAGTAGTGAATATTTTATTGAATTCAATATACAATAATCAGATAATATTCAATGATCTGCACAATCTGAACAGATATATAATTATCATTTAAAAGATGTATAATTTCATTGATGATAAATTCACTCAGCTGAAGGAGCATATTGACAGATTTGATGATAAAGATGTGTATTTGAATGAATTGAATGATATTTGAATGATTCTAGAGATATGTGGATATTTTGGTTATTTTTGCAGTGTTTTGCTACTATTTTTCAGGGGGTGGCAGAAAATTCTGTTTTCGCAAGCTTTACCTCCGCCACAATATTATCTCGTGTGGGCCAATGCTCCAGAGAACATCCATGGCGAGCATTTAGCCTGGGGGAGCCTTTACTATCATCTGCATAACGTCGCTTGTTAGCGCCCACATGAAGTTACTGTGGAATCACCGAAACGGACTGTGAGTTGGTTCCACCCGGTTACTGAAGGTTCTTTTCACTTAAGGCTTTGGACATCTGCATCTCCACATCGGGTGTGGAGACGAACAAGGCCAGGTCATTACGGAGAACTGGAATGCGAGTGTAGAATTGTGCTTGCAGGAGAGCTCTGAGCTTGTAAGTACAACGGGGATACCTTTATCAGGAAACTTGATAGAGACGTCTCTCATTCTCTTGATGACATTTCAGCGAGCTATAATCGGTGACCTGTGGCGGAACAGGGATTGATCAGGCAAAAATGGGATTCGGGAGATATCAATGGCAGAGCCAGAGCTGGAAAGGGTAGATGAGTGAATACCTCCAGGATATAAAGGGAGGAAACTCGTACGTTGCTGCGAGGAGTAACAAAAGTGCAGCTCTTGGGAATTGGCACGTTGACCTCCCACCCTGGAGAGGGAAATGACTCGAGCCAGCAGTCACTCCTTAAACGGTATGTTGCTCTCTATATTGGCCTGCTCACCCAAAGAAGCAGCGCACAAACGCTGTTGGCATACCAAACGCGATATTCTCCCTTCGGTATCTGGATGCTCTGCATATGGCGAAAACCTCATTATACTCGTTTGAGAGACTCGAGATGCAAACCCTGTAAGTCAGGTATTTCGTTTGCAAGGAGAGAACAAAGGAATAACCGGGAGCGAATCGAGAAAAAAAAAAGATAAGAAAAGAAAGATAAGCCTTGGGAAAATGCCAACGCTAGAATATGTTTCATACTTGTATCAATTTTGATCTAAGGAGCGAAATGCTTATTGCAATATGTACAGAGTGCTTACCATCAACAGTCCCAATATGAGATGATTGATACATGATCCTTTCATGCCAAGCGTGGTGATATAACAATATCTCAATATACTTGCATTGCAATGACTTTCTTTTAAAGGAGGCTTTTTTCTATTCATTTTACCCCATATTTATTGTGGGTAGATAATTGACGTTATGCATTTTATGAAGCAGCCGCGCATTGTCTTACCAATTATATATGATTCAAGTCTGAGGTGCCCAGAGACTTGGGTTGAGATACGAAAATTTTGGACATTCCCAACTCTGCCGCTCGATGCAAATAACGGAATGCTGAAAGAATCTTAAACATTATTTTAAAACTTTCAAATACTGAGAGAGGCTTGTCTTTTCAAGCAATGAAACAATTATATATTGCTTGTATAGCAAATTGTATGGCACATGTTGAGTGCAATTTTAACCAGTCCCTTCTGACTATTACAGCGAGGTTTTCTCAAATCAGTTCGGAGTGTCATCATCCTACAGAACTTACTGGCTGGCCAGGAGTGGCAGTTGCTGCATTTTCAGTACAGTGACGCTCTGTTTGAAGAGCACTGCCAATTACAATTCATTGGTCGCGGTCTCCTGTAAGCTTGTTCAAGAAGTCCTACTGCAGGTGCAGCGTCGCAAGGCATCCAGCGAGAACCGCTTCTCTAGCAGCCTCCCCATGCACTGACTGGGACCATATTCCCGCCATCCATCGGGATGAAGGAGATCCTATTTCAAACTGCAGGCCGTTCAACTAGAGGGCACCCGGTTGCGCCATTAACCAGATCAGCCTCGTTGATATTACTTGTTAGCCTTCACAAGGGGAACTCTGATGCGTGTGGCGGAGCTTGACTTGGACAGTCGTATGTCCTTCCGTATCCCACCGGAAATAAAAGGCCATTGAATATCTCGCGCTATTTGATCGGATGGTTTTGATCCGGTGGGTACATTGGCGGTTTCCCCTCGTCAAGCTGGATGGGCTGGTTAAGTAGCTCGAATCTCGAGGTAGGAAGCTCTCTGGATACATGTCCATTTCAATGAGGACATGACGGTTCAATGCAGCATGACTGGTGTCTTCAGGTTCATGGGAGGGAGATTCATTAAGAGCAAGAGAAGCCAGAGACATGAATGATGAAACAAAAAATAATTTTTTTTTTAACGTGCTCTGAGGCGAGAAAAGATTTTTATATAAAAAACTCTTTTATTTTGTTTAGAAAACTAACGTATTATGTTTCGCGTGTCTGCAGTGCAGGTGCAGGTCTATTGTCTAAAAGCTCTCTCCTCCCTTCCTCTGGTTCGTTTTTGTTTCTTTCCCAGCAATTCCCCCCTTCCCTCTCCTTATTCTAGGTATTGGTTGGGTACGACGATCACGAGCAAACCTCAAACAAAAACGACTTGTGAAAAAAAAAAAAAAGGAAAAAGAAAATCGAGGGATCTTGGGGTATCTGGATATATCTGATAAGAGCGGGTAGGTTTCCCCGTTTCATCCTTGATTCTCTGCTTTCCTTCCATTATAAATTCCATGGAATAATAGAAGAAAATAGAAATAAAATGAAACAGAATGGTGGATAGGAGGAAGAAAGAGCAAAAAAACAAGAAAGAAAAAACATGTTCAAATGCTGGTCTATATGGATGATGATTTGCTCTTGCGCTTCTTTCTTTCTTCCCTTTTGTTGTATTTTAATTTCCCTCATTTTTCTTCAGCTTCCCATTCCTTTCCCTTTCATGCATAACAATAACACGACAAAAGAAAAAGAACAGGGAAGACGTAAAACAGCATCCCGAAGCAGAAGAGAAGACGAACGACGATGCTGATCAAAAGAAAGAAATAGCGACAGCAACCATGCCGGATAAACTGAGGGAAAAAGTCGCAAGATTTCGTTATCTTTTGTTGTCAAAAGGAAAGAATAAGGAAAATTAACGCCCAAAAACCAGACACACCCTTGTTGGTCTTTTTTGTTCCTTCATGCAAAACATTAGCCGCCCTGCAAGACCGGACAGACATATATGCACAAGCACACACGCGAGAAAATGTGAAAGAAATAAGGAAGACAGAGTAGAAGCTGCACCATATGGTGTACTGGAAACACAATACCATAGCAAAAGGGCAAGGAATAAAAGAGAACAGAAGACGACGTGGGAAAATTACACATGGAGAAAATGGATCTTTGCCCTGGTTTGGGAAAAGCCTGTAGGTAAATTGATAAAAAGAAACAGATCAAAAGAAAAACAGCGAAAGGAACTAGTACACGCATGAGAAGGCGGAACGGCAAAAGAGAAATAAAATATCAGGTAAGTTGTAGCAAGAAAACGTAAAGAAAAGAAAAAAAAAATTGAAGACAAGGAATCAAGAGAAAATTCGTTGCAAGTCATGACAAAAGCCGGTAAGGTAAATCCCCGAAAGCCGCACAACATCCGTGGAATAAATGCCGCCCGGGAAATAAAATAGTAGGAGATGGTTTTGGTTGCGTTAACATTGCAACTTGTTCTATAAGCCCAAAGATGAAATGGGGGAGGGAGTCAACCAAAACTCTCCTTTTTCGTTTTTTAACTGCAATAGGCCACATCGTCGAAGACCGGAAACAAACACAATATTGCTCTCCTTTTTCCTTTTCCTTTCTTTCATATTTCCTTTTTTTTTTTTTTTTTTTTTTTTTTGAAGGGGCATTTTGTGATCTGGATTTGTAGAGATTTTGGACAAAACAAAAAATCTACCACCAGGAAGATGGACCGGTGGGGCCTGATGGGTTACCATAGCCGCCTCCTCCATATCCACCACCGTAGCCGCCTCCATAACCACCAGAACCTCCGCCGTAGCCATAGGGACCACCAGCACCGGAATCACCATACCCGCCCCCGTAAGCAGGACGGCTGCCACCCATGCCGCCACCGCCATAGCCACCGCCAGTGCGACGAATGTCACGGGTCGAGCTTGATCCCCCACGGCCACGGCCACCACCGCGACCACCGCGGCCACCACCGCTGGAGCCGTAGTAGTTACCTTGACGGCCGAGTTTTTCTAGGAAGTCGGGCACTTCCTGGTTAGCGTCCTTGAGCAGGTCGACGAGGCTGCGGGCAATCTTGAAATTCTTGCTGCGGCTGAAGAAAGCAGTGGAGATACCGGTGTTACCAGCACGGCCGGTACGACCGATGCGGTGAACGTAGTCATCGATTTCGTTCGGGAGGTCGTAGTTGATGACGTGGGTGACGTTAGGGATGTCAAGGCCACGGGCTGCGACAGCAGTGGCGACAAGAATAGGGCAGCGGCCTGTACGGAAGAGTTCAAGAGCACGCTCTCGCTCTCGCTGTGTGCGGTCGCCATGGATAGCGGTAGCTGGGAGACGGTGATCGAGCAAAAAGTCTGAAAGCATATCTGCTTGCCGCTTGGTCTCCACGAAAACGAGGGTGAGACCTGTAGAGTCGCTGCAGAGGATATCGAGCAGAGCGGAATCCTTGTCCTTATCGGATTCGCACTCGACAATGCGCTGGGTGATGTTCTCAGAAGTTGAGCCCACACGACCGACGGAAAGAAAGATGTGATCCTTCAAGAATTCCTCTGCCAACTTCTGAATATCCGGGGGGAACGTGGCGGAAAACATGAGAGTTTGGCGCATGTGCTTATCAGGCATATCGGAGCCTTGCACGATACGGCGGATCTGGGGTTCGAAACCCATGTCCAACATACGGTCAGCCTCATCCAAGACCAAGTACTGGATGTGGGCCAGCGAGATACGACCGCGCTCCATCATATCGACGAGACGTCCCGGGGTGGCAACAAGCACATTGCAGCCCTGGTCAAGTTGGCGGAGTTGGTTTCCCATCTCAGCTCCTCCGTACACGACGCGAGGATGGAGGGCAGTGCGGTAACAGAACTTGCGAGCTTCATCATAGATTTGAGAAACAAGTTCACGGGTAGGTCCTAAGATCAGGGCAGTGGGGTATGCCTTTTGCTGACGACCTAATCCTCTGGCAGCTTCTGCTTCGGGTCCGCGTGTGTGGAGGCTTTGTGAGAGGATGGGGAAGAGGAAGCCACCAGTCTTTCCGGAGCCAGTTTGAGCACATGCCATCAGATCCCGACCACCCATGACAATGGGGATGGAATATTTCTGAACCGGTGTGGGAACTGTATAGCGGGCTAGCACGATATTCGAAAGCAGGTGTTCATGCAATGGTGGATTCGTGAAGGCAGTAATGGACTCAGGCACGTCATGGCCACTAGCTTCGACAGGGATACTGTCATAGTTTGAAAAGTTGATGCCTGTGTGTTGTTTAGTGGGATCGTCAGCCTCGCCAAAAAGCTCGCGTTCGAGCCGTTTGTTCTCAGGGCCCTGTGCGTGTTTTCCATTTTCGTCCCAGTATCCATGTCCACCAATTCCGCGCGTTCCTCCGCTTCTGCCGCCGCCATACGAAGATCCTCTGAACGAGTTGGGACCCGGTTTTCCGTAGTCATTTGCGTTAAACTGACGGGGAGGAGCATTCCCCCAAGTAGTATTGCCGTTCATGGATGGGGGTCCAGCAGGAGCTCCTGGAGGGCGATCACGGGGTGTAAAGTTTTGGGCATTTGCCCAGTTATGACCAGCACCTGGATGGGGGCTAAAAAGAAGGCATATCTATCGTCAGTAAACAAGAAAAAAAGAAGATCAAGCAAAATCTAGGAGTATTACAACTGGATTAAGGAAACTTACCCAGCGTTGTTCGGAGCCCATGTGCTCGCGTTCAAGCCCGGGACAGCTTGAGCAGGCCCGCTTCCATCAAGGCCCATGGGAGGACGAGCGACACTACCGCGTAAATGGGGAGGGATATAAGCAGCTCGACCAGTGGTGTTGGGCCCAGCAGGGCGCTGAGAATCATCGATCTTGAGAGAACCAATATTCAAGCCGTTTGCCATGTTTGCGTTGGTTGAAAGCCGGTTTGAAGGTTGTTCTAGTTTTCTGTAGCGTAATATAAAATATGTTCTAAGTCAGTGGCGATCTCGACTCCGAAAGCGGAAAAAGCTCAGCGAAAAAGCACAAAAGTTCACCACAGACAAACACAACACATACCAAGAGTAAAATTAAGTAGTAGCAATCACAGAACGCGCCAGCTCTCGACGTAGTTAGAAGGAAAAAAATCAAGAGCGTGTTATCAAAGGAAGGTCGAGATGAGCTTTCCGAGCGTTTCTCTTCTGGGGTATATTATCACAAGGAGAGAAAGGTAAAGAGACCGTCTTTTGTGGGCGAATATGATTAATATATTTGTTTTAGAAGTCTCTCACACACTCAAAATAAGTAGGCCCTGTGAGAAGAAGTAGAATATGGAAGTAAATAATTAAGACCTGAAGACGAGATATCGTAGTTCGTTACAAGGAAACAATCTCTCTCAAGTCTAGAAGTCTATTCGTGGGGGATGATGTAAGCTGAGAAAACAACAGAAACAGGAAAAGAGAAAAGGGGAAGACAGATCGGATAGAAGAAAGAGAAGAAGGGGGAGGGATGTAAGTGAGACAGAATGGGAGTTGTGAGGGAGAAGAAGAAGAAGAAGTTGAAGTTGGATGAATTTTTTTTTTGTGTTGGTTGAGCCGCAGCTAAGGCTGGCTGTGGCCCTAATCCCAATCAGGAAGCTTATGCTTTTTTTTTCGCCTCCCAAAAACCACATGGAAGCAAACAAAGTCCCTAGCCATACAAAATTGTATGGCGAGTGACCTCTTTTTATTTTTTCCCTGCTCCTTTTCGTCCCCAAACCTTCACCTTAGATTTCCACGCAAAACCCAACACCAAGGGTAAAACCTCCGATCAAGTCCCAAGATTCGTTATCATAATCGTCCAGTTTCCCTCTGCCCCAAGTCACCGTCCAGTACATTAGCCAGTTGCTCGCTGCTCCATAGTTATGCATCAATCTTCGAGCCTGCCTGATGCTCTGAGAAAGAGCCAACCAACAATCAAAGATTTCTAATTTCTTTTATCACTCTTGACGCCACCCTCGGGATCTCGAATTACTCTAGAGCTAAGCCTTGGGGTTTATTCTATTTTCCGCCCTTCACAAGTTCATGTTAAAAATTGCAACTTTTGCATGCCTGGGCACACGTGGCCGTATCTGCACAATCTATATATACTACAACATCAACATATCATATGTTTTTTGAATTTCTTACACCGTCGAGCCCTCCATTCCGTTGCTGGCCTACCACTAGCAACCTGGGTCAGAGGGTATATATCCCCAGCGTCATATTACTCGGAACTTGGGATATGAAAGGTGGTGAAAATTGCCCTCTCTTCTCCCTTTCTCCAATATTCCGCGGTATCTAGAGCTTTATTTCTGTGTTCCATGTGAAACGAGAAAGCAAACGCGGATTAAAAAAAAGGGGGGGAGGGGGTGGTTGGAGAGAGAGGGAGATGTGGCGCAGGAAGTTACCAAGTCGTCAAATATTAAAAGCTTAATTTCTTGCCAGTTTTGGGGGTGGTCCAGGAAAATTTTTATGCCAGAATTTTGAAATGATGTCGATTGGATACCACATAGGTACCATGATGCCAACCATATGTCATTTTTGCATTGTGATCCATGTTTGGTTTGGATAGTTGATACCATGGTTGGAGTATACTACATCTCGGGCCGAGTTGTGATCCCAACTCTCTAAATTGTTATTCTCCAGTATCGAAGTCTCATATTGTTCGCACTCTTCAACCGAGAAATGTGCTAGTAGGTGTTTCAAGGAACTCCACACGCTATTATACTCCAACAATGATGAAATACTGCGTGACCCGGGCGCATGATGTACGATTAGAAACGGGCTGGTAAAACTACCGTTGCATAAGTGATAAAACTGGCTGGAACTTCGTGTGTCAGTCATGATAAAGGTTGAGTCCGACAAGGACTTGTTGATTAACAGAACTAAAGATATAAAGCAATATCCCGAGAAGAGACAAAGCAAATAGGAGCGGTAGATCGTCGTTCCAAAACATCGAAATCACGTAACGAATGCCTTTCCATGCTCAGAAATCATCCATATACCCCAGCTTCTATAAACTGATCTTACTGCTTCACGGCCTTTTTGTTCTGCACCTCCGCAACGACGGCATCCACAATCCTCTGCAATTCCCACCCTTCCACCCCCACCAACCCATTAGAAACGATCCCCCTCTCATCAAAGTCACCCTCAGACTCCACATCCAGAATATTCCGCACAATCATATGCGAAACACCACTGGCATCGCCCCTTGCGGCCTTTGCCTTGCCTTCCTCAAACAGCTGATCCAGGTCGGCATGATTAAGCGGCCATGCAGAGCCTGTGGCTGTCTCCAGAGCGTTGAGTATCTCCGCGAAGGTCACGGTGACGTCGCGGATAGCGAGGACTCGGTTGGCTGTGTTTGGAGAGATGGTGGGGGCGAGGGATTGTGAGATTGCGTCAGCGAGGAGGGGGAGGCGCGAGGTCGAGAAGGGTACGTTTTTGTACCTTTCGTCCCAGAAGGTTGTAGTTTTGTTGGCGATGTCCAAGCCGAGGAAGTCTGTTTTCAGGGTTCTGTAGACGCGCGAGTGATTGCGTAGAGTTTAGAGTTAGAGAAGGAGATATCGAAACGTCGAAATTACTTGTTAAACAAAAATTGAAGATATTTATAGGGGAGACGGAAAATCGTGTCTAGAATGAAGATGGGTAATTTCTTTTGAAGGGCACTCAGAATTACGGGTACTTACTCATCCAAAAAGGGCCCAGAAAGGAAAATCGTCCACTCGATCGTTTCCTGCTTCTCCAGGAGGTATTTTTGGACCTGGTCCTTCAGCACGAAAAAAGGCACGCGCGAATGCGAGTTCTTATTCCGTGTTTCGCTGCCAAAATCGCTCGGAATGAACCTCTTTACTCCTGCCTCGATTGCAGCATCAATTACCTTGGCCTGCTCGGGTACGGCGGCGCCTGCAATGGCCGACACAACCACATCCTGGCCCTTTAGCGCTTGAACGAGGGAACCGTGCGTGTAATCACTTTTGAGGCCTGTGACGCCTGCTGGTGGGCTGTAGCTGGATCCCTCCCGGGAGAGAGTTGACACAGAATATCCGTGCGGGGACTTTAGCAGCGCGGATACGATGGCAGACCTAGATCCAAGGGGAAAGAGTTAGCCAGATGGGAGGGCGTAAGGCGTTGTTTCTGTATCGTCATAAGGTAGACTTAGATGTACCCTACTACCCCGCCTGCCTATTGGCCATTTATCAGTTATCTAATTCACACATGGTATATGAGTATACGCTATGGCTGGATATAAGATACACACCGAAGCAACAACGACATTTTTGAAGATGGTAGACATTTGCAAGGTTTATCTCAGTACCGAAGCTAGGAGAGAGCACTACCAGTGAATGAAGATGAGGATCCAATTGAAAGATATTATCAAAGGAAATTGGGTTATATCGCGCCTTTCGAGATAAGGTGATCTGTCTTGAATCGAAGTTATCTGCTCCTGCTTAATTTCAAAACTTCAAAGCCAGCTCAGCGGAAGCGGAATGGGCCTTTTATAGTAGAATGCATCTGTCCTTTCGCGAGATGCCCGCACATGCTGGACTAGTATAACCAACGTATGTTGGGTAAGCTGTACCCATCATAAGCTACAAACATCGCATATCTCCAGAAGATTAAGGTCTGGACTCATGGCTTCTGGCGAATAGGCACGTTTGGTAGACAACCATCGTAGTCATTCAAGATTCAAATCTCGGGGTCCAAGATCGAGAAGATGTCCCCGATGCCAGGGGGGAAGGGAACCTACGCAAGAGCAGACTTATAAATGGGAAAGATTAGTAATTCTGGGTTCGGAAACCGAGCAGAGTCGGGAATTTATGTTTGGATCTGGCCAAAAGGATGGTAGTTGACGATGCATTGCAGAAGAACGGTTGGTGGAGATAAACGGAGATAAAGGAAGCTCTGAGCTCATAATTTCGTGTATGATAGAGAAGCGGAGCTAAGAGGAGCCCAAGTTCGTAAACCGACAGAGATACACATTTGCAGGGAATCCTTGGACTGTAGCGCTGTAAACTGATCTGATAATTGATAATCAGGTTTCGTTGCTCCAAATTGCACATTTTTGGGTGCTCAGTCACTACCGGAGACATCCATAATATTTGTTTTTTCAAACACTTCCTTCTGAGATTGACTCTCCATCCAAAACAGTTGTGATAGGGCTCTGTGTTCAAGATTATCATCAATCAATCAGTCAACCATCCCCCGCTTTCCAGGCCTTCATCTGTAAGAGTAAGTGAAAGGTGGTTGTGCCAGGGAGATACGACGAGTAGTTTTCACGGGCAGTCACTGCTCTTTCATGGCTTCGCCTTTTGTAGAATTAAGAGCAGCTGTCAGCAATCTGGTGTTTTGTATACTTCTTCCCCATGGTGGTTCAGGATTTGGAAGCGGGATTGCCGATAATTATATCATGTGACTAATTTCTCGGCATCCCGACCGACCTCGTCTCGTAGCCAGTGCTTTGACTCAATGTCTATCCTTTCGCTCTTCAATTGTTTGATATATTGAATACTATGTATGTTAGTACTCAAGACGCGCTTTCACTTTCTGCTATCTTTCATTCCCCATGGTGCATAAGCTTGAAGCGGAACTATAAATATATATCCAGGAAAATTCTCGAGGCGGTTCGGAATAATGCAAGCAGAGGCTTTGCCAAATGCATTCACAAGTTGAAATGACATCACTTGTTCACAGGGAGATCAACTTGTGGTGACCAATTTCCTTTTTATCTCTCATTTGACCGAACTTAACAGCGTTACATGTTCGAGGTAATAACGAAAGCGACAACAGGTGTCTTGAAGTAGGGAACCCCTTTTCGTCTATTAATGGGGTATAATAATCAAGGCATTTTTCAAAGAAATATACAGGTACTTGGGAGACGAGATGTGGAAATGGGAATGGGAAGGACCAGAAAGCAAAAACGGACCCGCCCGAAAATACTCCGTAGTAGAACACATGTCAGCAGCTCCCAAAAATAAAAAAAAAGTGCCCCTTTCCAAATTCAAAACTGGGCAATACATAAATGTCCATTATAAATTGCCCGCCGAAATAGTATAGTCAACGGAAAATAAGAATCCGGCATGGGAAGAAATCCACACCAGATAGGGTTCCCAGTCTCTCCCGATCCACGCTCGTATATCAAACCAGCCAATCCCTTTCAGCAAGCGGAATTCCACTCCCGTTTCCAACTCTCCTGTGCTGGCTCTCAATATCACTCCAATTCCCAACACCCACCTCAAGCCACACTGCCATCCCACCCATATCACACACACAGTCCATCCACATAACCGTGATCATTACCGCCTTAAGCTGCTCCCAGCTCCGAACCCCAACAAACCTCATCACATCCCTACATCGTTCTACATACCAGTCTTCACTTGGTGTATTCCTCGCCGCCATGGTTCCTAACATCGTTACCCACAGCAACATCTCTGCCGCTCCAGTCCAGCAGTGGTAATTCCTACAAGAATCGTCGGTGGTGATGTTCTCGATGTCCGCGGCTACGAGCGCCGCTTTCAACATCCGACACAGGCGGGGGAAGGGTCGTTTGGCGGGTGGCAAGGGGAAAATCACCAGCATACTGTATATCAACGCAGCGAGTCGGAGGGGTTCGTAGATTTTGTAGTTGTAGGGCTGCTGGCTTATTGAGGAAGGGCTGCTGGGACCGACAACTTCTGTTTCTTCCTTCAATTCGTTTATGGACTTCAGGCTCAAGAGCTCATATTGGACCCAGTTGCGCCGATCGGCAATTACGGCGAGCTCTAGATAGGGGAGGAGGCCCTGGCTGTGCAAGTTAACGACTGTGCTATAGTTCTGGATTTGGCGTAGGACAGTTGCCAGGGCTGTGGGGATGTTAGATCGCGCGAATATGTCGCCTGGGCTGGTGGTCTCAGTGTTACTGCTGGTGTTGATACCCTTGGCATTGTTACTACTATTGTTGAGGCGATAAGGGGCGGGGCTAGGTTGGATATTCGAGGCGGGATTTGTTATGTCAATAGGCATAGGGCAGGTATGTGAGGAGAGATTCGGCCACTTTGGCGTTTTGCCGGAGGTACTATCTTTAAAAATTGGAAAGAAAGGGAGGCGGGGCTTCGCGAGATATTTGGTGGAGAGCATTATAGACGACCTATTGGAAGGGATGGTGAGACTCACGTGCGCAATCAAAATATAAAAGGAAACGAGTGTCAAGGGGAAGGGAATTTACTCACACCGAAAGGGTTTCTGCCAACCCTGGCAGTTTGAGCTGATCCAGACCGCCGCGCGTCTGGATCAGTGCAAGGAGTCCTTTGACGTGCTGGTCATTGAGTGATAGACCACCATAAACCTGGAGCCACTGGAGATTGCGCAAGGGGGCCTTGGGAGTTGGATCGATGTCAGATGTCCACTTGGAGTAGTCGGTCTTATTGAAAGCCATACACAGAACTGCTAGGATAACTTCGTCAAGGGCGGTTTGTTGCGGGTCAAGCATCATTTTATTCAGCTGTTTGATGGTCTCCGTCTCGCAAACAATCTGCTCTAGCTTCTCCTCGCGCGTCTGCGGTGCTATGACTGCAATCTCTAGCCGTTGCCGAGTCTGCAAGTGGCCTGCGGCTCCGTACAAAAATGCGGTGAATAAGGCTGGATGACTCATTGCTCGGGGAAGCCAGGATTGCGCTACATCTTCTTGTGTCCATTTTCTGTTTCCAGCACCGAGTACAAGACCAGGCCAAAGATCAAAAATGGCTAAATTTGCCTTTGTCAGATATGAACTCATTTTGAATATACGGCCTGCTTTATAGGTCGTTTCCAAGAAAGAAAGAGCAAAGGAAGAGAGATAAGCTTACCGTACCGCATCAGCTTGCTAACCGTGGAACCTCCAAGCATGGAAGGAAATGTATTTGTCGGCTCCCCGATAAACGCCATGAGTTGGTTAAATGGACCGGGCATCGTATTCCTTTCGTCTGCGTATATAACTGCTGCTGATTCCATACTCGATGGGGCCAATTGGGTATTCGAAGCAAACTTAGAGACGCCTCCATTGTTGTCAACTTCGTTATCTACGGGCTGTATCTCCAGAGAGTTTACCGTATCTTCATCATCAGAGGGAGACATATTGTATTCATCGGGAGGAGCAAGGGTTAAGACAGGCTCCTCGCCCTCGGTACCGTCCGATGATAATGGCCATGGCGTCTCCTTCGCTGCACCATACGAGGAGGTTGAAGCGATTAAAAGTTGCTTTCGTGAGGGAACAGATTTCACTGTGCTAGAACTGGGGTTGTTGCCATCTGTACGACTAGCCCGATGCTGACGCCAGATATATTTGCTGGCGTGCGAACGGATCACAGATCTGTTTTCGGACTTTTGAAATTCAGAGGATGGATTGACGCTGACAAAGTGGAATACCTCACTGGGTTTCGCATCACTACCGGCTCCCGTTGAGGTTGCAGCGGCACGGCGCTCCGATAGTCGACCCCTCCGAGCCCTGGGAGGCATAATTTGGTGTTGGTTGGACTTTCCGTTACTTCTCTGCTATGATTTGTAGTTAGTCTTCTAGTCTTCACACTAAAGACACAGATAACAGAATCTTGCTTAAACGGCCATTCAATGACAAGGTTCTTAGCGTACTTATATTATAGCACGATGCGACCTATATCTCGCCCGAGAAGAGGGGGTAAGGTTTTGCTGTAAAACAAAAGTATGGCGAACGTCCACTCTCTCTCGATTCTGTTCCCGCTGATCAGTGGCTGCAAGGTTTGGCAAAGAGAGAGCTTGAGGGTATAAAAGGCCTGCCGCTCAGGACTCAATAATTTTCGTCTGCCCACTCACTAATCGTCACCGTGATGTCAATGCGTGGTCCGTAGACGCAATTTGTTTCCCATGGGTTTGAAGCTAGTTGGCCTTGCTCTTTGAAAGCAAAATAAGCCCGGCTATTCGGAAAAAGGGGCTCCTGAAAGCTCAAAAAAAAAAAAAAAAAAAAAAAGGAATGATCCAAAAGGATAGTTCAAGTCGGTATATCTCCCATAAGTCATGGAGACAAACGGCGACTGGAGGAATACTCGATCTATCTAATACTGATTGATTAATAATGAACGATACAGCCCGCAGCACAAGAGGGAAAAATGGCCAGGGCTAAGTTGAAGGGGCAAAGAGTGGATGAATGAGATCGGGAGATTCTTGGGACAACAAATCTGTGTACCATTCGGCACATGCTGTTTCCTTTCCTTCTCTTTCGTTTCTTTTTTTCGTTCTGCACTCTCCTGCACACGGCGCACGTCCGAGCAACAAAGACCCTGAAAGAACTGGAGAGGCGGAGAAGTGTGGAAAACCAGCGGCCCCAAGAGCGCCTCCAAGCCTCGATCAGTCGGCTCGACCAACCGTTGTGTGTTACAATATATGTACGTGACATGGCTGTACATGAAAGTCTTCAGCAGAGTTCTCTCGAGATTCCCGGTTCCTGGGAATATTCGCGGCTCTCCCTGGCGGGTGGAAGCAATTTTCGACCGCCTCCCAAAGGCTACACGCAGCGGACGTGTGGCCGATTCAACAGGTTAATATATAAATTGTTAAGTAGTTAATAAGAGTAGACAATCAGACTACCAGCAAGGGAGTTGCAGACGCTCTAAGAACTTAACCCGCCATCAATTGGATGAGCCAAAAGTCGACGACTTGAAATACGGCCGGGAGATAGATCAACCGCTCCAGCGGCCCATGCAACGGCATGTTGGATGGATAAACTCAATTTTGGTCTAGATCCTTGATGGATGAGTTCCTTTGTTTGCCGTGACAGCAGCCAATCGACCCTAGCGGTGTGTGTCTTGTCGTTCGGGTGTCGGGGAAACTTCAAACTTCACTCGCTTGCACCAAGCTGGGAGCCTGGGATGGAGGGTTTGTTCGATCATTGACGATTGCATAAAAGAAAGTGATCGAATCGGGGAAGAAGACAGAGTCAACCGCTGCTAGTCTATCACGTTGGTGCCCTTCGCAGGCGGGCCAAACTGGCAACGAAGGGTTCCGGGGGCCTGGTAGAGTTTGCTCATCCCAGCTTTAGTCTTTAGCTATTTCTGGCGAAAGGTTTGGTTTGTAAACATCAGATACACTTAAGGTGAGTTGTCTTCCTGCACATAGTGGGCAGTCTATAATGGTGATAATGAGTGTTCCATATGACTGGTATCTATGAAAAATTGAATATCTTCAATACGACATCAAGAGTATATGTATATGTGAATACAGAGAATATGCTAGTTAGAAATGATTTTTTTAAATGTAATAGACAATTTTAGTTGTAACTTGAAAAATCACTGAAAACTACGTCTGTATATCGCTGACTGGTATAAAAAAATAAAATGTTTTAGACGAAATTTAGACTAAATTGATATCATTATATAGAATTGCAGTTTCAAGTACCATGGCCCTCCCACAGCTGGCGGCGGGGGAATAAGTGAAGGCACGACCATAGTCACTCTTCCAAGGCTGTGTTCAGTGACACTGATACATGTTGGCATCCCTAACACTAGACCTAACTATTTAACCAGTGCTGCGCCCGCTAATACTAGTTGCAATGAATCATATATATAATTTGTAATGATCTTAGAATGGATGCATGCATCTATCCCTTTTAACGGCATTGACTCGAAGTAAGTGTCAAATACTTACTATTCAGGAAGATTCAAATATTCATCTCAATCTGAACGACAAAGTATCCTTTTTCAAGAAGCATCGTTAGCCATTGTTCTTTGAAATATCCACAGCTGTCTTTCCCCTTCCTTATGCTGTCCCTGCCAGGATTCAGGCTGCCCTAACCTTTCCCTCTTCAGCGATGGCGCCCCGTACTGTATCCCTTATTTAGACAGCAATGCAGCCACTCAGCGTGCACATTTTGCGATTTTCATCCCCTCTGCTACCAACCAGGATTTGGGGTCGCTTATTCACGTTATAGGCGCCCCTATGGCTGGTTACCAACTTGAGTTCAAGCGGAACTCCTCCCCCGCCTTGACCTAGTAGCCTCACACAAGGTACGAAATTGGGCAGATCGACTCTCAGTACATTGTCGACGCCGCAAATGACGCTCCAAGCAAGGATTCCACTCCAAAGGGTGCTGTGGAACTTGCAGCCGGCCAGGTTCCCCCACCAAGAATCAGCCAAAACTTCCTCGGCCCCGTTGATGATGTGAGTCAAATCAGTATCTGACCCGCCGCAGGGTGCTAATTCTAGACATCCCAGATAAGGAACAAAAGATGCCAGGAGGGGACGATGGAATATGTTCGTCACCTTGTCCACCTTCAGTACCTGGACGCCGGCGCAATCCAGATTGTGCAGTCCAAGCGCGATCCTCCGACTCATGGCATTGGGTTGCAGCCACTCGGGAGGGGCCAAGAGTTGGGCGGTAGACGTCAGGCAGCGGGCACGTAGGGGAAGAGGCCAATAAACGGGGCACTTTCAGTGCGTCTTGTACCGACATCACACGGAAGGGTTTCCGCGATCAAGTGTGCGGGGGAGACATCGTTTTTCTTCGTTGGTATTTCCCCATGGATGATTCTCAACCGCTGGCGATTAGTTTACGCCATTTGTTGGGAAGCAGGACCCAGTAGGGGATCGAACTGTCTTTCAACCAGCTGCCCTTATCCTCTCTGTTTTCTGCTCACACAGCTCCTATCTGCATGACATATTCCGAGAACACAGCAATTCCTTTGGGTACTGTTCTAAGAATCTTGGTATCTAGGTATTGCGCCACTCCCCATTGTAATCAGATGTGTATAGAGCCTTGCAATACTCCAAATAGTCTGGATACCAGCCAGCATGTGTCCGGTCGATTACCGACACGACACGCGGCGGATCTGTGCGGGAAACTATGATGTTGCCGCGGTGCAAGTCTCCATGAGTGAACCTGATTGTTCCATCATCCGGCAAAAACTCCCGATAAGGGTCCTTGTATTTCAATGAATCGGGGAGCTGCTGTTGAGGCAATGCGGAAAACCAGTCATTAAACTCTTTGACGGTCGTGAATGGCCCCGCTGATGGCATCGCCTGGAAGACGTAGTCGAGTAAATATCGACGAGTGATAGATCCTACGATTCATGTCAGTAAACAAATTATAAAGACTAATGCATAGATTGCCTAGCATCCCACATGCCAATAAATGAGTCTGAAGGGTCTGGCTCAAGCTGCCGCAGAACCGCAACAATCTCCTTCAGCTGAGCACAAATCGATATTTTTCCTTGGTCGTTTAGGTGATCCCATCGATCATACAAGGTTTCTCCCTGAATAAGCTCCATGTAAATAAACACGCGACCCTCTTCTACTCTCCAGCCATACACCTCTGGAACAGGGACCTTTTCAGGAAGGGTTTTTCGCAGCATACGAAGGCATATAGCCTCTTCAACTACCACACAAGGACCGAACTTGACAATAAGCCCAAGATGCTCGAACTTGACTGGTTTGGATCGGGGGTTGATGCGGAAATCTGGCGAACACACGGCAACTTCAGTTGGAGTTGGAAGGTGTTTCTGACCCAGCTTGCTCGCGAAAAAGGAGGAGTCAAGGAAGTCCATCTCGGCCGCTGTCGCATCAGCGACCCATGGCGCTTGGATTTCAGGTCTGTCGGGCATTTGTGAGAAGGAATTATGCTCACTTGTGGTTTGAACTGACCCTGAAAGGAATGAGATTATTTAAGCAAGCAATTTGATGGGCGAAAGTCAATATATTCTATCTGCGGCGGTCTCGAAAATAAAGCATTTAATACTGGGTTGTGCAACTACAGGTGAGTGCTTAGGGAATAATAAGGTGCCAAACCGTGGATGTATTTCATTTATTTAGATATCCTCGAATTGGCTTTTTGGTTCATTCTACTTTTTTCTCCTACATGCTAGTAATAGTGAACAGAGATGAAAAACCGCCAGAGAAGAATGAAATGAACTGTGAATAATAATAAACAGGAGCTGATACAGAGCCAGTAGAGTTTTTGCGTTTATACAAAAATCCTCCAGGTCATTTATCTCAAAAGGGGCCGTACTCGCAGCGGGCCGTAGACGGAAGTGATGCAATATGCTATGGAGTTGGCCGATTGCACTCCAACCACTCCTTGTTCTAAATATCTCTTTATTTCCCCTCCCTCATTGTTTCTGTCCCTGAGAGCGACCAAAGGGGGAAATAAAAGCAACATCGGCGGCGCCTTTTGTAGGTTCCTCAAAGCGCCACCCATGTACAGAGTGCAGTACATCCACTTCATGCACGGCCTGTGAAACACTGAAGGAGGAGATTTTCAATACCCGTGGGCCCGAGGCAAACGCATTGAGATGATGATCATCCCCACTCAACTACCTTCATTGCTTCCCTGTGGGATCAGCGATTACCAGCCGTGTTGGGAGTTTGAATACCCCCGGGGATGGCAAAAAAGAGGAGGAATGTACCCATTTAAGGTCGAGTGGGAGGCTGCCTTCTCGTTGCGAAGCATAATTCTCCATCAGTGGCAGGATAAAATATTTAGTCGATTCTGTGGGCCCCTATTCTGCTACTTGGATAATTAGATGCGCTTCATCATTGCCGAAAGCGGCATGTATTTATCACATCTACGGGTACAAGGCAAGTTTGGAGATGATTCCCTTTTAAGTCATCAAGTAAACGGAGGCCTTGAAAAGGGATGAGACTGGCCGATTTAATTTATCTCGGTTCCTGGCTCATGCTTGGATTGAACTCTGCGCTAGGAAAAATATGTCGGTAGCCAGGTCCAGCATCACTTGTATGTAGAGCATGTCTATATGGACTGCAACTGCAGTACACAGCACGAAGAAGTCTCTATCGGCTATAGAAGATTAAATTTTTTTTTTTTTTTTTCCTCGTGCCTTTGCATCTACTGCACATGCATAGTATATATGCAGGGTAGACACCTGCTAAGTACCTCGTTGCATGAGATGGTACCATACATATTCCTTCCAGGGGAAATAATGAAGCATTGCGAATAGGTTCTTGCTCATATAGTCTCCGCCAGGATGCCATGTGATAAACATATATGGATTTTTATCATTTCCCGTTCATATGAGCATCGCGATAAAGGGTTGGGAAGGCAGGCTAGGGAAAAGCATCAAAGAAAGCATGCGAAAAAAGCGCCTGAAAGGATCCACACAGTTTTATACCAAGTACTAAACTTTCTGAATACCTGCAGTAATCAAGTAGGCTTTGCTGGAGAATAAGCATGCTGGATATACCTGTATTCAATAAACTGGGTTAAGCCAAGAAATTCAGAATGTATACCAATTTTAACCAGCCGTTGGAGCTCCTCTGTATGCTTCTTGAATATCGTTGAGCCCAACATTCTTGATCCTCGTCGCATGTAAGTCAGTCAGACAGGCAGGCAGGTGGGCAGCGCCATTATCGCGATAAGTAGATATGATCGAGTGTGCATTCCGGGATGTTCTCAAAAGCCTTTCTGGCTCCTTTGTTCCTTTCAGGCTAGTCGAGGATAAGGAGCTCCCAGGAGGTTGTCAATTCGATTGCGTTCCCCGCTGACTTGACATGGGTTGACGTCGCTATCTGATTTCTCGAACCTAGAAACCTTGGCTGACTGCCAGCTATAAGGATTTGGATTGTGTTACCTTTGCTTAGAATGCCCTGGCTGGAAGCTACGGGACATATAGCGACAGGAATACGGATACATATATTCGTCACGGGAATGTATTTGACCCAAGTAAATGTACACATATATATATTTCCCTCTCTTCTCAAACGTCAATGTCACCGGCTTCATCACACTGGCTGGCTTGGGAACAGCATAAGTAGATATAAAAAAACTAGTCCACGTGGAAACGGCCCGATTGAAAAGTATCCAATAACGTATAACAAGGCACTGTTCTGCCTTGTTTGCGTCTGTACGTTTATCACTCCAGATGATGATATGTCAAATGAGAGTAGACTCCACGATGGAAGTAAGGGTCAGCCGGGGTGTAGACTGAGCGGAACTGGAAACTATGGTGTCGGAAATTTTATTCGTTACTCAATTCTAGTCTCAGCATTCTAATAGTATGTACTGTACTTGCAGTTGATGTTCAGCGGGCAAATAATAGTTAGGGGGAGACAATCTAGTAAAATTTCGTAGTTATTGTGCACTGGATTACCATGCTCTTCCTTTCAATTTTCCCTCCGCGTGCAATTCGCACTGGTTAATTCTGCCTTTGGGACAGGATCTTCAACTGGCCAGTGATTGGGCTGTCTATCACGTAGATTCTTGACATGTTTCACCAGGTCTGCGGTAGAATTATATATATGGTCCATGGCAAATGTTTTCATTCAGAGTCAAGACTGACCTGGGCCAGTGCAAATAAAGTCATGGTGATTGTAGATGGATATTTTCGTTCTTCAATCCAGCCCCCAACTCGTAGTTTATTGGAACTATACTATCAGTTGCGTCTCAGACAGTCTCCGATGTCCACCAAGATGAACTGGGATAAAAGGACTGGGTGTATAGCGCCCGAGCCATCTAGTGAACCGCAGCCTTTCGGACCAAAGAGGACGTTATTTTTGCGTATATCTGAATGGGCGACGCAAGAGCTGTGGAGATGGAGAAGCGTCAGTGTTTACTCCTGATACTGAACTCCTATCTGATTTGGTGGAGTGACCGAATTCAGATAAGGGTTGGTAATTATGGAACCAGGTAGATGGCTAAGGATGGTTGGTATCAAGGCCTCTTCCATACCTTTTTTTTTTTTTTGGATGACAATGTTCTGCTAGCAGACAAAACACGGTTGGCCCTCTCATCGTTTTCCAGAGGGGAGCCCGAGACATAGCCACATAAGACACATGGAGTGGCATCAATCGGAGAGGGTTCATATAACTTGCTCACTTAAAGCGATGTGGACGACTTAGCCGAAAACCGCGCTCAACATGCATGGTATATGGACGAGGGAGACATTCTACTCAGAAGTGAGAAGCCGTCTGGAGCAAAGGTGGTTAAGATGAAAAAGAATGATCCGAACTCTTTGACGTCTGTGTCATTTTAACTTCTCAACCCATTTCGGTTGAGCCTCGAAGTCCTTCCTATCTTTTCCACCATATTTCTCAAACCGAAGTCCCTGAGTTCTGAAAAGAGAGTCGCTGCATCACCATACGAGTCGTGTGTGGTCCAGCCATCACGAGTCACAATTACTTCTACAGACCTCCAAAACTCTTGGACATCACTCCATCCGTTACCCTCCGTTACCATCCTTTGTGCGTGCTTGAAGCTCCTCCTCGGTAAAGCGAATCGGACAAACAAAGTTAAAGCCTAGCTTAGGCCAATGTCTGGAGTAAAAGTTAGGACATGGTCTCCCATACATCATAAACGGATTTTCTCTTTTTTGCTTAGGGGGATGTTTTAGGGGATGATACACTCACTTACATTTCTACGTTAATTAGTGACCCTCTTAGAGGAAGTAAATCGTCATCCCATGTGTTGTTGACGAAGGTTATAGGATCACACATCTTATCCTCCCTAGCTTTAAGCGAAGCATTTGGTCCAAACGAGGGTTGATCTTTGCTGTTTGTTGTTCATAAAGATAAAGAACAATAGAACTAGGGATCTGTTTCCCTAACCGGGACTTTTCATTTGGCACAAGATCCTTAAAATTCACTGGGAGCTTCAAAACACATCGCCATGATGATCAATGGGTCGTGGATGACGCCTTTCAAGAAACAGAGGCCCAGCCCAAGCCCCCTGCCAGTCAATGGCGCTGGTGATGTGACCGTTATCTACGAAGAGATTGCCGGAATGGAGATCGGTGTGCTAAATAGTAGGTGCGACGATATCCGGGGCGGCTGTTATGTTAGGGATTGGTTCGCGGGACTAATAGAGATTTCAATAACTGGTTCTTAGATCAGCTTCAAATCCATTTCAATGGGTTCAACAGGAGCTCGTACCAGCTGAAAGAAACTGAAAGAAGCTTGTTCTCGATCAATAGTAGATCTTTCATGATAACGATTCTATCTTCTAGGGGAAGGTGATCCCACACATCCTCTAGCTTTGTCCCAGGAGCTTCCTCCATGATGATGTATGTATTCTGCACTATCAATGTATAAATTCCAGGCATAAACCTGAGGAAGAGGTATCTGTAGGATGGTGCCAGCCTGCAGAACACATTAGTTGCTACACAACTGGCAAACCGCTGAAGTGAGGAATCTTACAAAATCCATTGTCGCCACTTCTGGTGCAGTGGTGTAGTATTTTGGCCCGTCAATAGGATGGGGGATTTTGGCAATTGCAGCAGACTCATTATCCATCGCCAGTCGAAAGGTTTTGTTGAAAGAGCCCTCTGCTATTGTGGCGGACATAAAGCTTGCGAAAGCAGAATTTTCAACCACCCCCTGAAAATTAGTAGCAAAACACTTTGCTCATTACATTTTGGTTACAAGTACAGGTTAGCAACAAGACTGTCTCTGAAGTTGGTTTCTGTCTGTCCCTATGATAAATCTCTCTAATTCATGGGTGACAAGAGGAGCTAACATCGCTGTTTGACATGCCATACAATCTGATTCGATTGTGAGGTCAAAGTTGTCCACTGGTCTGAGCCCGACATTCGGACGACGATGCACCTTTTCTTCTTCAATTGAATTGTATATGGCGGGTTGTCTCACTTGCAGCATCTATTGTCCGTCATTGGCATCGCCGAGAACAAGTTGCTTCAATGAAGCTGTCCACGGCGTGTTTTGGAGTTTTAAGACAAAGCAATTATGCCTAGGATGTCCTGACAGACAAACAACAGAGGCTCCCATTCTGACAATTCCTAAACGCATCTACAAACTAGGTTGTGGGTCGTAGCCTGTTGCCAAATGATAGCGGCATCATCAGCAGGAACGTTTTGACAGAAAGAAGTACCAACCCTTCCGCACGGACTAGGTGCTGCAGAATAACCGAGTGCAGAGCAGAAGACGACACAATCCTGTTTCCAAAGATCTCAAGAATAGACTCACACATTGGATGGCCAACCGTCCTATGTGGGGTCTAAATGATAGACTCTTTTAGGCCTGCAAATGGTCTAGCTGTAACACCGCATCAAAGGCTTTTAGGATACATAATATCGTAACCTCGCGCAACAGAGAAACGATAAGTATTCAACCCTACCTACTCTATTCCTTTGAGATATGGGATCTGAGTGACACAGATTCGGCAGAACGCGGCGAGCACGTCTCCAGGACAGTAAATGAGGAATGGTATCATCTCAAGCAACATCTAGAGTTGGAATCACGCGTAGTGAAACGGATGATGTATTTGTATGTATGGGAGAAAGTAAGACTCCACCCAAGATTGCACATATTTGTCCAGCGGATGATTTTATGGATTGGTTGTGGGCTCGGTAAAAAATCAAGAAAAACCCATATCCAACGAGGTTAAAACCGGCAGGGGACCTCCTTCGATATGTCTATGGGTCAACGACACGACCTTACACACTGTTCCACCTCCCTCTTTCAGCTACCCTCGTCTCTCATTCGATCTAGAGATTCCTTGAAGATTAATACTGTGTAACTGGATAAAATAATAAACGGGGTCTAAACGGGCGGCAGAGCGAACGCAAGGGCATTTAATGGCAAACAACCTCCACTCTTCTGCTGGGACCGGGGCCCTGGAATACGCACACATGGGGATGTTTAGAACACTGGACAAGTCTCCCTTTTTAGTTTTCTCGCTCGCCGTCATGTTTATTGTTTCAGTTTCTCGGTCAATTGTGCGATGAGTCCAGGTCGACCTTGATAGATGAGTTGGAAAAGGAATTAGAGCATCAGCAAATGCTTGTTTAGAAAACTAAAGAATGACAAATATCACTTGTATATATATTTGCACTTTAGCATGAAAAATAAGCAATGAAAAAGAAGGGAAAAACATTGGATTTTGGTCTCTTTTCTTCCTTTTTCTTCTCTTCTTTTCTTTTCTTTCACCAAGCAATTCAGAAGGATGAGCTAGATCTCATCATGGCTATTACCTTCCTCGGTCATTGCTAGTTCCCCGGACTTGGCTATCTTCACGGCATCCTTGGGTCGATCCCCGGGCTCTTTCTCGATATTTTGGATCTTATCGACGACCTCGTAGCCCTCGAGAACCTCGCCGAAGACGACGTGACGCCCATCGAGCCAGCTGCGGATTAAAAAAATTGTAAGTACATGCACTTGGAATGTTGGAGTTGTCAGGGCGCTGCATACCTAGTGACCGCAGTTGTGATGAAGAATTGAGAACCGTTGGTGTCCTTTCCCGCATTGGCCATACCTAAAAGGATATATATGTTAATTGATATCAACAGAAAGGACCCGTCTGGCTCCTGGCCTGGGATAACTTGACGTACTCAAAATGCCTTTCTTGGTGTGTCGCAGCTTGAAGTTCTCATCAGCGAACTTCTCGCCATAGATGGACTTTCCACCAGTACCTTTTGTCAATTATTAGTATGAAAATGTAGTATGGGTGCATTGTCTCTCGGGAAGGATCTCTACTGACCATCACCCTTGGTGAAATCGCCTCCTTGAATCATGAAGTCCTTAATAACTCGGTGGAAGGTAGAGCCTTCATAACCGAATCCCTTCTCGCCTGTGGCCAATGCGCTTCAGAGCAGTTAGCTTTACTGATCTTGGAATATTGACTGGACGGCAAATATGCCCCTTACCGGAAATTTTCCGTAGTCTGTCCACACACCAAGTTTACATGTTAGGTGAGCCAATAACCGTAACAATCCAAATGAGAAGTATAATGCAGTGTGATCTTCGCACCTTAGGGACTGTCTTCCCATAAAGTCCGACTACAATCCGGCCCATTGGCTTGTCTCCATGTTCAATATCGAAGTAAACCTATATCGAAGCATTAGTCCCACTACTCAACCTGGGGGAGTACTTAAAAACAAACCTTGTGGGTGATCTTGGGCCCTTTAGCCTCTGCATTCTTTCCAAGGAAGAGGATGATGCCCACGAAGACTAGAGAGGCAAGGAAGAAAAGACGCTTCAAAGGCGCCATGGTTACAATAATCTAGGTACAAATAAGAAGGAAAACAAGAACGAGGCCAGCTTGCCATCTCCAGTTTATTTACCTGTGCTAGCACGAACACTATGCTATTAGTAGTAATTATGGCGTATCCTCCGGGTCAATGTTGTTCCGCAGATAAATCCACCTCCATCATTTGACGAAACATCCAGGACGCAATTGTGCTGCGGTATCGACACCAACAACTAGCTGTTGCCGATAGCCAAAATGGTAAGTAAATCACGTCTTCTTGCATTCTCGCCAACTCAATTGCCCACTCCAAACGCTGCTAATACGTTCTCAAAGGTCTTCATTCTCGGCATCAACTTCCCCGAGCGACAGCTCGTCAAGGCAAGCAAACCCAACTGCCCGCACTATCCTGCTCAGTAACCTCCTCAAATGGGACCGTCTAATATATATATATATATATATTTAAAAAAGTCACTATAATCTAACTCCAGGAAACAGCAAGCGCTCCAATCCTTCTTCGGCATCGGTCCCCTGACATGTAACAAGCTCATGGCCCGCTTCTACGTGCACGAGACAGCGAAAATCGGTGATCTAGCGAACAAACAGGTCCTCAGTTTGACAGCAGCATTATCGGAAATGAAGATTGAAAACGACCTCAGACGACAGATCTTGGATGATATTCGACGTTTAAAGGATACTGGGACGGTTCGGGGCAGGAGACATGCGCTGGGCTTGCCGGTTCGCGGACAAAATACAAGGTCACAGGTATGGATTATATGCTATTATTCTTGGTTCTTTTTTTGGGCTCTCCGTTTGAATTTTATTGGCCTTTGGCATGCGTAGACGGGCAGCGCAGTTTAAGACATGGGCGGGATCTTTTACTAATTGCTAACGATGGTTTATAGATCAAAACGGCGATCAAACTAAATAAGTTGGACAGAAGGCTTGGGCTCAAGGGTCCAAGGTAATAAATTATATGGGACGTCTCTTTCTTATTTGGATATATTGTATGTTATATGTGGGGTCTTGTAAATGGCGTTTAAAATTCTCAATTGTATACTATAACATAGATTTGGGAAAATAGAAAAAATTAGTTTCTGGGGATTAATGACAACTTAATTGTGTACATCTAGAGAATAAAATAGAAGGAAGGAGCCCTTCATGAAGAGCATAAACTCCAAAATATTTTAACACTTGTTCTCATTGCCCACTCATCTTCCTAGGAGGGAACAGGCGGGCAAACTATCTATCACTGCCTCCGTTCGGCAATACCCCTTCGCCCCTATTAATCTGTATCATTTTATCCTCCCCACTACTAACGATCCCCACAGACTTATCCCAGCAAACATCAAACACCTTGACACCCTCCCCGCCAACACGCTTTCCAGCACCTCCCACGCTCTTCCTTGGGATCGAATAGATGCTCTCACCCATAACCCCGTCTTTGTCTGTCCTGGTTGACCGCACATCCCATATCCGACATGTACCATCGTGGCTACCACTAATCAATCCATATGTACTATCAGGATCGCGAGCCAGACAAACGACGGCATTCGTATGGCCTCTGAGCGTTAGTGCTGAGACCGTTGTCGCTGAGGCGCGCGGGTCTATTAGTGTGATATGTCTAGCGGAGGTCCCTGAGGCAAGAAGGCTGAGCTCAGGCATATGTGAGACTGATAGGAGCGAGTGGGAGGCCGTACGTGTGTCGACTAGGGTGCCGGTGACCAGATCCCAGGTGCGCAGCGAATGGTCCCATGACGTGGAGTAGCCGACAGTAGGGTCCTTCGCATCAAATATAGCAGCGGAGACAGGGGCGGTATGCGACTTGAATAACGCGAGTGGGCCACGTTGCGGAACGGAAACGGACGAATTGAGCTTTCGTCTCTTCGAGCTTCGGGAGGTATTTGATGGGAGCAGGCTTTCAGGAGCTGCGGGGTTTTCTGATTTTCTGGTCGACCAGAATCCTACCGAATGGTCCGCTGAGGCAGAGAGGATACGATGTGATTGCGCATGCATGGATATTGAATCCACGCTGCCTTTATGCCCATATAGTTCCAGTTGTGGAGTAATCGAAGCTGAGAATCCGTCTTCGCTTTCAGTGTATTTCCACAATCGCACTGTACGGTCAAGCCCGGACGATATTATTTGGCTTGGCGAGACCATTCTCGCGCACTTGACTGAAGCCGTATGTCCCCCTTCGCGTGCAGCTGGCGATAAAGCAATTGTCTCTGAAGACATGTTCCACATTCTCAATAATCCGTCATAGCTTGCCGATAATATCCTCTCCTGGCCTGCATTTACTCGAGATTTGCTTCCAGCTATCGAGGTGTCCGAAAGGACATCCACGGCGCTCACCCAGTCATCGTGAAGGAAAGAAGCGACATGCAACGGCGGAACGAGCGCACGAACATACTCGACGTCGAGTGTTGTCTCAGCCGAAATACCATTTGCTGTTAAATACTCGTCGATAGACGTTCGTAGGTATGTTCCGTTTATTAAAAACTCGAATGGAATTGGCTTCTCGGATTCCAGCAGGTTGTTCACCAGAGTCGATAGAGCGTATCGGCGTAGACCTTCCGTGGGGCAAAATCACACACAACACACAAAGCATTAGTCAAAATGGTGCTAATTCACAAGAGATCAGGTGTAGTTTTGCGCAAGAACGTACCGGTAGGCACTAGAATTGGCCCGGTGCTTTCTGGAAGTGCTATGTCTTCATGCCGCGAAGTGAGTTTTAGGCGTACTTGTCTCTGGGGTTTCTGCGACGTGGCTGTGCTAGCATCAAGGGGGCCATCCTCTAGCCCGTCCATTTTTCGAAATATACGTAATAACAAGGCCTACTTCCCAGCTTTCCAGTATGTATATGTTTTCCTTGCAACTGTCTCAAAGTTATGCGGAGTTTAGTCGTGTGGGATTTTTTTTTACGGTGGCCGGAACGGCAAAGAGTGCAAATCCAGCGAACGCATCCTAATCCCGCCAACAGAAGCTTCAATGGAGAAACCTCCAGGGCCAAAAGACAAATAAATGAGAATACAATAAGCTTAAACGAAGTCTGACTGAGGAACAATCGTCCGTTAAATTAATTATGAATACATTATCTATGTCGATATTCATTAAGCCTTGCGAATTTCAGCAATTGCTCTTCTCCGATGGTCTGAATCCGCAAAAAGCGCCCTAATCAGGTCGGTTACCTCCTCCGATGAAAACTCGAGTTTCAATTCACCTTCCTTCCATAGGTATTTGATGTCCGCTAATGAGCTTTCCAGGATATTTATCAGATACTGGAATTTTAGCCAGTTCCGGACATATAACGCTGTCATGGGAACAACCTCCGCTTGTCCACTCGCCATATCTTGACCAGGTTTAGATTCCGGAAGAAACAGATCCTCGAGTTTAGAAATCTGGTTGCAAAATTCAGTAAGTCGTTGTGATTCAGCATCTGAAATATCGCTCAAGTCCTCGATATCGAGAATCATTTTGTTAATGACGGTTGAGAGCAATGAACCGACGGATTGGAGAAGTGCGGACGGTGACAGGATAGACTGCCATTCTTTATGAACATGTCGCATTCGATCAACTGTTGCGCTGACTGCGTTTTCACATTCCCCTAGGTATGGCTGCACTGCGCAGCTGTCAAATCCTTGGCTCCCATCCAGCAGATCGGACAATACTGTGCGTTGCGAATGCATTTCCTTGCTGTAGGCAATCTTCCCAAATCGTTCGAGAGTTTCAACATCGGGTTGTAATCTGGAGAGATTATGTGTCTCCATCAACAACCGCAGCTGTTCGGCAAAATACATGCTGTCATTGTACAAGAACATTTGGCCGCCACTGAACCTTTGAGAGTAAAACATGGGTGCCAAGGCCTTGAACATCGCAATGACTAAAGTGGGGAATGAGAGCAGAGCTGGGCCGGACGAAGCGATAGGAATATTTGAATATCTTTTGGATAGGATAATTAGAAACAAGATCGATTCTAGAATAGAATTGGACCAACTTACTCGGCTGATGCCAGCTTCTCGGAATCTGAGATTTGGTTCAAAATTATCCTCATGATGGAATCCGGTATGTCCGTGATAGTGTAGAACTCGCTTAATGTAACTTCTCGAAGAGGGGAATCTTTTCCGTCTCCATGGCCTCCATTCATATGAGCTGAAGCTTGATTCCCAGAACCAGATGCTTCCGGAGGAAGGCCCGCACTCTCGTCTTCGTCACCCCAGCCCCAAGCGTCTTCGTCTCCATCTCCTTCTATGGCCGGCTTATTTTGCTCCTCTGGTTCTTGCGTATCAGGCTCGTCAAGGCCCCAAGCGCTAAAATCATCCTCCTCCTGGCTGACAGGTTCCTTTTGAGTGTTGGCGTCGTTGCTTTCTTCATTGTCACTGGCCCATCCAGCATTCCAATCGTCAGAATTTTGAGCAAATACTTTGTCCTTTTGAGACACCTGTTCTGTTTCTACCCTTTCCACCTTACGCGTCTCACCCGGGCTGGCACATAATGCAACCCTGACTTCATCCAGAGATTTGATTCGTCGTTGATTGAGCCATATTCGAGGTATTTGTTGCGTGAACGACGCTAATTCAGTGGACCCGGAGCAGCCAAGTCCATCTAAAGCTTGTTGGAATTTAAGGGTATGGTCCAATATCACCTGAAATTCTCCCATCCCGTCAACGCTTGCGGGAATGGAAGGTAACAACTTCTTCGAAACGAGGGATGAAATCATCGGTGGGGCTAGCTTCGCATTCAAGAGATCTGTGATCGTAGCTGGTAGGTATTCCCGAAGATATTTTAAAAACAGTATGAGGTTATTAAAAATGTCAACGGGTTTTGCGTTAGAAGGTTGGGGCAGCAGTCGAATCGAACCTCCATCACGCGAGATGGTCAAGGCTTTTGCTGCTCCAGGTGGTAAGAGAGCTGGATCTAAGATATAAGAATAAATATCGCGATACAATGAATCCACAATGAAGTCTAGCATGTCCAACTTTGTAAGGGTGGTGAGAACCTTGCCTAGGCTGCAAGGGGATTCTGCTTGCGAAATCAGTCAAAATAAGTTAGTAGAGGAAGGAAAGGTGGCATAATAGACGCACCAGAATTGCCAGTAACGACGGTCATTTGGCCCAATTTGGAGTCAATCTTAACCAACGAATTCCATTTTTGCTGTGCGGTAGACACAAGGGCAGTGCGCAAACCTGTCACATTTCCAGACAGTACACGGAGGACAGGAGTAGTCGGGGGCAGACCCGTAGTCTTCATTAGCATCTCAATCTCTTCAAAAAGTCCAGTCGCAGTTTCCAAATCATCCTGCTCAATCGCCATCTGTACAGAAGATATGCGATAGTCGATAGTTCGGACGTCCTCCAGGTTTCTCGCCAGGATCTCGTTGAAAGTGATCTCGTTCTCCAGCAGCTCAACCTTCTTAGAAGCATCCATAACCTGACTTTGAAGCTGCTGCCCAATTTCATGTTGTCGAACAATCTCCCTCGCCGCCGACCTTGACCGCTCAATGTCCTCATGGAGCTGTTTCGCCTGGGATATCCATCCATCCACGTTTGACGCTGTTTCTCGGCTAAGAGAGGCGATTTCGTTCTAGTAGAAGAAGGTTAGAATTAGGACTCATGGCATCAACTGTTGTCCAGCGAGTTCATATGGAGTTCTACCTCAACCTCCTCTCTTGCTCTGCATATCTGTTGGAGCTCCTTAGCAGCTGCGGTAGAGTCAAATTCCGCGGAAACAATGCTTTCTTCCTCGGGGAACGATCCATCGGTCAGAAAATTGTAAATAGCTCGACAGGTAGCCTCATCGGAGATCTTTGGGGCCATTTCGAAGCGTCTGGGCACTGCCTGCTGTACTGGGTGAACCAGGAGCTGGCGGTGCTGGCATGCGGAAAGCAACTCGGTTGTGCGATCACCAACAACACACTCCGGAGTAAATGTCAACGGGTAGCTGCGTGTGAATTATAAACGAACAAAAAAACTCATGGTTCGAAGCTCTCGTTAATTGGCTTTGCTCTCCGTAATAGATTGCTGGCTACTTAAATCCACCAGTGTCTCTCAGTGGATCTCAAATGCCAAGGCTTGGATCCTCACTTTATTGGTTTTGATATTAATATCACGATAAGCCCGAGCCTCGTGTGGGAACTGTTCAAATACTCAACAACACACAGTTCCCAGGTTGACTATTTTGAACTTCTTTGTATGTTCATATTCTTACACAAGAGGTGCGGGCTCTTTTGCCTACTGGGTAACATTTAGGGAAGTTCAATCAACTACTCCCCCGCTATTCAACGAAAAAGCCTTTCCTCTCCGACACGAATTGAATAAAAGGCGCAGTGTCTTCCTTTGTTAGCAAAACTCCCTGGAGTACGATCGTTAATGTGAGTTTATAAAAGAGTGTGTCCCTGGAATGTTGAGTAGTACTATCTGATCCTACCTACACCCCCAATTGCCAACTCTGATGTCCCTGGATCTGGGCCTCAAATACCCTCTATATACTATCAACCTGAACATGTCTGATTTTCCCCCGCTGAACCCATAACTGATTTCCTCTTCTGGTTATCCTTGTCCTCGTGTTGGTGAATTTCGCTGCAAAGCTGTCTCCGTCCTGCTACACTCATAGCATTGAGCTATAATGTGCGTTTGCGGCATCCCCTGCAGCTTCAAACGGGACGGATGATGGCATTACTTGCAATACCTCTTGTCATGTTTTGTTATTGGGTTTAGTTAAATTTGTATTCATGATAACGGATCCATCGAGGGTTGCGCTGACAGCTGTTAGTGCTCGAAACGACCATTCTTTCCGAATTATTACAACAACCCTCACTCCAGAAGGCTAGTGTCTCGAGCCAAAATGGCTTCCCCTGAGAAAAAGAATTATTTTCAACTTCTGCAAAGGTTTAAGCCAGATTATTCTCCCAACTACTTCACCCAGTATGAATCCGAGAGGACGGGAATGAAGGTGGTGGTCATTGACCAGAAAGGCCCAAAGGTTTCGGGGTATTTTGTTCTTGCCACAGAGATTCTTGATGATTCTGGTGCACCTCACACTTTAGAGCATCTTTGCTTTATGGGATCTAGAAACTATCAATACAAAGGGTTCCTTGATAAGCTTGCTACTAGAGCCTATTCCCATACAAATGCCTGGACTTCTACAGACCACACCGCATACACGTTGTATACTGCGGGCTGGGCTGGATTTGCACAAATTCTGCCCGTCTACCTTGAGCATATCATTGATCCCACTTTAACGGATGCCGGATGCTATACTGAAGTGTACCATGTTGACGGTACGGGCAATGATGCAGGTGTGGTCTATTCGGAAATGCAGGGCGTACAGAATAAATCATCTGAATTGATAGATTTGAAATGCCGACGCCTGCTGTATCCAGAAGGCATTGGCTTCCGTTACGAAACTGGTGGAATGATGGAACAACTCCGGGTTTTGACAGCCGAACGTATCCGTGAATTCCACAGGAAGATGTATCAGCCGAAAAACCTCTGCCTAATCATTACGGGAGAAGTTGACCACGACAACATGTTGCAAATTCTGAATGTATTTGAGAGCACGGTCCTTGACGTGATCCCAAGCCCTAATGACCCCTTCAGAAGACCCTGGATGGAATCGCAACCAATACCCCCTCTAGAGAGGTCGATTGTAGAGAAAGTTGAATTCCCCGAAGCAGATGAATCTTTCGGCGAGATTGAGATTCGATTTCTTGGTCCGGATTGCAGTGATACCCTCCTTAGTGAGTGCTCTACAAATATCCCTTCTCGGCATTGCAGCTAACTATCTATAGGTGATGCGCTCGATGTGGTTCTTCTCTATCTTGCGGGTTCCTCCGCGACGATCCTTGAAAACACCCTTGTGGAGAAAGAACATCTCACAAGCGCTGTGTATTACTCCACATCCCAGACGCCTCGAACCGAAATCTCTTTCACCCTCACCAGCGTAGCCACCGAAAAGCTTGAGCAGGTCGAGCGGCGCTTCTTTGAGGTGTTAAAAGAGGCCATGCAAAACGAGATTGATGTGGAATATATGCAGGAGTGTGTGCGAAGGCAACGTCGGAGCTGGAAATTCTCCACTGAGTCCTCGGTCTCCCCTTTTGCGCACTATGTAATCTGCGATTTCTTGTTCGGCAAGCGGGATGGCTCTACTCTTCGCCACGTTGCAAGTCTTCACGAGTACGATGAGTTGGAAAAGTGGCACGACCACCAATGGCGCGCGTTCATCAAACAATGGATATCCGAGGCCCCCCATGTGTCAATACTAGGAGTGCCGTCCTCCAAACTTGCCACCAAATTGAAGGAGGACGAACAATCCAGAATCGCAGAACGGAAGAGAGCTCTTGGAGAGGAAGGCCTAAAAAAATTAGCAGAAAAGTTGGAGGAGGCCAAGGCCGCAAACGACAAGCCTATACCTCAGGGAGAACTGACCAAATTCGAAATTCCTGGGGTGGAATCCATTCCTTTCATCAAGACAACAACAGCAAAATCGGGACTTGCTCTTAGCACCGGTCGTCCTAATAACCGAATTCAACAACTGGTCGATGCGGATGCGCCGGATTCGCCTTTGTTCATTCATTTTGAGCACGTCGCCAGCAACTTCATCCAGATCTTCCTGAATATCTCAACCACATCTGTGCCAGCAGAACTGCGTCCGCTTCTAGCCGTATACATGCAAGCCTACTTCAACCTTCCTGTTCTTCGAAATGGAGAAAAAATTCCCTTTGAGCAAGTCATTGTCGAACTGGAGCAGGACACAGTTTCATATAATATGGACATTGGGCATCATAACCCTGAGATGCTCGTCATTAGCTTCCAAGCGGAACCAGACAAGTATGATGCTATCATATCCTACATCACCGAACTTTCATGGGAATCTATATTTGACGTGGAGCGGTTGAAGGCCATCACTACTCGGTTGCTCTCTGATGTTCCAGATGCTAAGCGGAATGGGAGTCGTATGGTAGATGCGGTGCAAACGATGGTCTCACACACCCAGGAGTCAATTGTCCGTGCCATGACACCTCTAACTAGAGCTTTATATCTGAAACGTACCAAACGCCAGCTTGAGCAAAACCCTGAAATCGTTGTGGCCCGAATGGAAATCATTAGGAAGCAGCTCTTCCGATTCGAAAATTTCCGAATATTTGTCATCGCAGATATGGATAAACTGCGCAACCCTTCATCATCGTGGGGGCCATTCGTCAGTCGACTGGATGTTACTCAGCCACTCAGTCCGATCATACAACTACGAGATCGTCTGAAAGATGTGGCCAAAAACCCGGGGACCATGGCGCATATCGTTCCGATGACGACCATTGACTCCTCCTTTGTACTCACCAGCGCCAAGGGTCTGGACTCCTACAACCATCCCAAACTCCCGGCCCTTATGGTGACCATTGCCTATATGAATGCGGTGGAAGGGCCATTGTGGGTAGCTATCCGCGGCACGGGGCTGGCTTATGGCTCTCGATTCCTACACGACGTGGATACCGGGCTTCTCCAATTTCAAGTGTACCGATCCCCCAATGTATACAGGGCCTTTGAGGAGGGAAAGAAAATTGTCGAAAACCATTTGTCTGGGGCGGAACAGTTCGACCCACATATGGCCCTCGAGGGCGCCATCAGCAGCATCGTGCTTGATTTCGTCAATGAGGAGACAACGCAAGCTAGTACGGCACTGGCCAGTTTTGTCCGGCAGGTCATCCGGGGATTGCCCAGTGACTACCAGGAGAAGCTACTGCGGAAAGTTAGGGAAATTGGTATTGAGGAGATCAAGGAGATTTTAAGGGATTTTATCTTGCCCCTTTTTACTCCTGGCAAGTCTGATATCATAGTTGCTTGCGGTAGGGTGCTTGAAGAGGTGAGAAATAGATGTTCTGTTATTCTTCCTTCTGCCTGCTTTTTTACTTTCTTACTTGTTCACGTTTATAAATGTCTAGGATATAAATTTATACTGACCATTTCTAAAGACTATCAAGAGGGGCTTCGAAGGTGTTGGATACAAACCGGAAGTGCGCAGTCTGAAATTTTTTGAGGATGACTATGGATTGAAGCTCGAGGGAGGCGAAGACGACGAGGATGAGGATGAGGATGAGGACGAGGAAGCCGAAGAATCGGGGAGTGATGACAGCATGGACAACGATGATGAAATGGCAAATTGACATTTACTTATTGCATGAGACTCTGAGTAGACTTCAACGTTACAGGGGAATCATAGATGCGACTGGCACCGGCTATATTGTTTTCAACGCAAGAATAAATGCATAGATAGCTGTCTACGGATTCTGGGTTTCTTCCTCAGCATTTGACTATCAACCAATCTACTAGTAATCTTGATCTGGCAATTGACAAACGAACAAGATATGTATGTTTGTGTAACATGTAAGAAGGCCAGCTTGCAGGAACCAACCACCAACACCAGACAAGGAAGAGCTGGGGCCATGCTTGGCATTCTTGGCATGCGGAGCCGCATTTGAACAACATTTCCAACTCCAACACAGTCCTCCTGCTTTTTGCTGCCTGCTGCCATCCGTCTGTCAACATTACTGGCAGTGGCCCTCTTCCCATCTCTGGTAGTCTGGATTCTGGTGCCATGAACGTCCTTCAGGTGTGTTGTCAAATCGCCTCTCATAGTTATCATTCTTGACCCTCATACTGATCGGAAGCTCCTCCGTGTAGCAACTCGCTCTGCTGCTCGATCGCCCATTCTTCCCCTGGAAGAAGGTGATCGTGGGCTTTTCGGTCGGACAGTACATTATCGAAGGATTCCTATCGTTACGGCAGTATAAGATCCTGCAGCAAAAGAAGCCGCCAAAGGTGTTAGCGGAGGAGGTTTCGCAATCTGTCTTTGATAAGAGTCAGGTATGTTCCGCTAGCCACCCCCCTGTCACACACACAAATATATGTGTTCTCTGTTAAATCTTAAATCTTCCATTTAACACATTATCTTTCACGTTTATCATAGGCATATGGACGGGCAAAGGCCAAATTTGGCTTTGTGTCAGGCCTGTATAGCCAAATCCAGAACCTTGCATTCATCTACTACGATGCCCTGCCAAAATTGTGGGCTTTAACTGGCCTTTTCCTCTCTCGCTACATGCCCAAGCGTTTTACCGGAGAAATCTCTCATACCTTGGCTTTCGTTTTTACCTTCAATGTGATCTCCACTGTCCTCTCCCTACCAACTTCATATTACAGCACCTTCGTCGTCGAGGAAAAATTCGGCTTCAACAAGCAGACGCTCAAACTATGGGTTACGGATATGCTCAAGGGTCAATTGTTGGGCATCGTTCTTGGCACACCGATCATCAGCGCAATTTTGAAAATCGTCCAGAAGACCGGCACCAGCTTCTTCTACTACCTATGGGTCTTTGGCATCTTTGTCCAACTATTCGCTATCACTATCTACCCAATTGCCATTCTGCCGTTGTTTAACAAACTGACACCCCTGGAACCCGGAAAGCTGAAGACTGGTGTAGAGGACCTGGCCAGAAAACTCAATTTCCCGCTCAAGGAGCTGCATGTCATTGACGGTAGTAAGAGGAGCGCTCACAGCAATGCGTATTTCTATGGGCTCCCGTGGAAAAAGCATATTGTCATTTATGACACTTTGATTGAGAAGAGTGAGCCTGAGGAAGTTGTTGCGGTTCTGGGACATGAGTTGGGCCACTGGAGTCTTAACCATACTACTAAGCTTTTTGGAATTGCACAGGTATGTTGCAGAGGCTGCTGCTTTAAACATGAATGACGCATGACTAACTGGATTTATGGCTTCTAGTTCCATATGTTCTACATCTTTGCACTTTTCTCTGCCTTTGTGAACAACAAATCATTATACCAGGACTTTGGATTCATCAACGAGATGCCCATCATGATCGGTTTTATTCTATTCTCTGACGCCCTCGCCCCAATGGACGCCGTGGTTAAACTCCTAATGAACATCCTAAGCAGAAAATTTGAATTTGAAGCCGGTAGGCGTTTCCCTACCTCAACACCCCAGCTCAAAAGCCAACCCTCGTTTACTTGTCCTAACATGAAAAATGTGATAGATGCGTTTGCTGTAAATCTCGGATACTCCACCGAGCTCGCCAAGTCGCTGCTCAAACTCCAGATTCAAAACCTTTCCACCATGGATGCAGACTGGATGTATGCCAGCTACCACTACTCCCATCCAATTCTTCCGGAAAGACTTGCCGCGCTCGGCTGGAGTGGGGGAAAAGTGACTGAGGGCAAATCGGAAGACAGTGAAAAGCCTGTTAAAGCTGCGGATCGGGAGCTGTGAAAAGTGGGACGAGAGTCTCTGCAGAATGTTGCGCATAGAGCTTGATGGTTAGAAAATTAGGAGATTTTATTAAAGACTCGGGAAATCAAACAAAATTTGTACGGCTATTTAGGCAGAATTTTATTTTTTTATTTTTTTCCTTTTTCCTTTTTGCTTCTTTCATTCGCTTTCTGTATTGTTCGAGGAATTTTAGGGAAACCTTACCGGAGTTAAAGTGGTTTTCACCATTTCAAACGCCAGACCAAAATCAGTATGTATCTCACATCTTTCCAGCCGACAGAAAGAAAGGAAGCAAAAAATTAAGCCCAAGCACCCTTCCCAAATTCCGTTTCACCGTGTAGTCGTAGCCTTCGATTTAACCCTCTTCTCCTCCTTCCGCCTCTCTTTCTTCTTCCTCTTCCGCTCCTCCTTATCAATCACGCCCGACTCTTGTCCAACCCCAGCCTCAAAACCTTGATCAGTATCCATCTGCATTTGCATCGACATCTGCGCCTGATCCCCCTCCTCCCCCTCCCCCTCCCCAACGTCCATAACCTCCTGCGCCCGCTCATAGATCTCCAAATCCTGCCATCCATTATCCACCGCCTCTTTCCAATCTCTCCTCCCGTCCCCACCCCAATCTTCTCCATCCCCTCCAACCTCTCGTGATTTCAACGCAAATACCGGTCCGCCGCCATCCCCATCCAACCTCGCAAGTGTCGATCCCTCCCAAGTACCTCCCCCGCTAATCCTGCCTGGACGCGCTTCAAATTGTGGATGACGAGGTTTGGCGCAGAGCCTGCGTTTGCGGAGACTGGCCCGTGGGTGGAGAGGGTGGAGTCGGGTTGTAGGCTGGGGTCTGTGGCGGCTCGGTCGAGGTAGGCGGAGAGGAAGTCGTGGGCGACGGAGGGGGAGATGCGGTGGGTTTTTGAACTGGAGCGGTGGATTGTGGTTGGGGGAAGGGGTTGCGGGGCGGATTGGAAGGCCATGGTGTATAGTTTTGGGTTATGGATTCTTTCCTGCCTTCTTTCTTTCTTTCTTTATTTCTTTATGTTTTTTTTGTATTCCGTCCTTGGGTTTGTCTCCTTTCTGCTTCGGTGGTGCTGTGGTGGTCTCCGTGAGTGGATTAGATTAGATTGGATGGATGGATATTATATTATTTTTTTATTTTTGCTGTTGGATTATATGAATTGGGGTATATGGGATGGTAACTAAAAGTATTAATAGGGTATTTTGCACATGGGAGAAAGTATTTAACAAGCAAAGGAAATCCATAAAGAAATCAGATATCTATTCCCGGTTGGCAGAAAAAGTTGTCGGACGAAATTTTTCCAGACTCGTCCATAAATTAACCCGAGCTTCAACCTTCACCGGCAAACCTCAACCCCAGTTCTTGCTCATGTTTCAACATCGACGACAATTTCCGTGTCGAGCAATCACTCTTCCATAATGGCATGTCTGCATTGCCCAAGGCAAGCAGTATCCCTTTTCTCTGCGAGATCTCTCCTCGGATCGCTCCCACAGTATGTCTGCCCCTTGCGCTGCATGGACGAGCCCCATTGAGTCAAGTCCCCCTTCGTCTAACTAGAGCAATTTCAACATAAATTCTAATTATTACAGCCGGTCTACTTCCTCCCTCTTCTTAAAATCTCGATCTCAATTCCGGTCCCGAATCCAATCACGCGCCTTCTCCCACCTCCTCTCCCGACAACAATCTACACCCCCATCCTCCGCAGATTCACAACCATCGACGCTCCTCCAGCCCACTGCCGCTACTGCCTCTCCCACTGCGCAATCCACTACAATTAGAGCGACGACAACCAGTTCCCCGCTACTATCACTATTAACATCGTCTTTTACCGGCAGTATACCTGCTCGCCCATTCTCCTCCTCCGCAGCGCTCGGGGCGAAGCGGGATACATACAACCCTAGCCGCCGCGTGCAGAAGCGCCGCCATGGCTTCCTGGCGAGATTGAAGAGCCATAGTGGGCGAAAGATTTTGGCGAGGAGACGGGCGAAAGGGAGGAAGTATTTGAGCTGGTAGATGGAGAGGTTGTTTTTCCTTTCAATGACAACTTTTCCTTTTCTTGCTATTTGTTACTGCTGCTATTTATGCTGAATTTCTGTTGATAAATGAAATACTTGATTGGGCTGGTTTGGAATTTCCGGGACGGAGATGTGTGGAGATTTCATGCTCCGGGCTTTGCTGTGTACGATATGCACAGGATATGTGCGGTAGAGAGAGATGGGGAGGACGATTGAATCTACCAAATTCGGTGCCTGTTCCTCCCACTATTTACGCCGCGGGGCGTGTTTGGATGTCCATGGGAAATATTCGTATGCTTTGCTTTGCCAGCGTGGCGTCTTTATCGAATAAGGCTTTGTACAGGATTTGGGTTGAAAATCCTTCCAGTCTGCATCGCGCATGAGTCTTAGAATATTTATTGCTACATACTCATGGAGATCGTAATCAGTCAGTACCTTTATATTTCGCCTTCTTGTATCTTGCGAGCCACCTGGGTATCTGAATAAATCTATTTTCTTTCCGCATTATTGCATTTTTGAGAGAAACAGGCATCGTTGTCGGAGTACATTGTTGCCTTCGAGATTGAGGGGTGATATGACATTTACCTTGTTATGGCTCATACAATATATATATAAATCTTCGCCATATTCTCCTCACCACCATCCCCAATCACATAGAAACAAAAATACAAAGTTGAAAAAGGAAAAACATGAAAATCGGCCAGTGAAATTTCTATCTCTTAACCGACAGAGATAAAAATCAAATGGAACTCAATTTTTGGAAGACGAGACAGGGCAACGCAGGACGAGTTAATAAAATGCAATGGATCAGGTGATAAAGGGGGACATCCATTTCATTGGACAGGACAGGTGTTAGAGAGAATTGGTATCAGTTTCGATTGTTTCTTTTGGCTTTTTCTATATAGCCCACTAGTTATTCTTATTTTTCATTTCAATGCCTTAGTAGTAAGATCCTTAAGAATTGTTCATTTTTCGCATATTCTCCTTCTTCTTCTTATCCCTCTCCTTCTCATTTCCCTACCCACTTAAATTGATTGATCTGCCTTTTCTTCTCTCTGTACCAACCACATCATTCTTTTGGATAAACTCTTCTGCCTCTAGCGAAATTAGAGCCCCGGGTTTTCCCTCGCGTTTTTGTATGACCATATCAAGGTGTAGCAGTCGCTGGTTGGACATGATGAGATAGACTAGGGGGTGGGGGATCGAGAGGGAAGCAAAGTGACGAAAAGAGATCAACTCTCAGTCAATGATTGGTTCAAGTGTGTTTCCACTGGAATAAACATATCAGTATTCGTATATTTGAACGGAAATAGTGGCTGGGAAGATAACCGAACGAAAGATAAAAGAAAAAGAAGACCAAAAACAAGAAGAAAAGGGATAAGAATAGATGGAAGGAAGAAAAACTTACGCGACAATATTCGCCCACCCAATCAAACGCCAATGCTTATCAATCCGTCGACTCAGCGCAATTTTCTCCCCAACCTCGGTGCACGCAGGACTCGTTAAGCTCAATTTCGCGGCATCAGCCTTGACGCCCATCACCTTCGCACCCGTAGCCGTCGAGCCAATGTTAACCATTAGCACCTCATTCTTTGCCAGCTTGGATACCTTCGCCTGTTTCCCGTCTGCGGTCTTGACACCCAGCAATCGTCTGAGGAGGAAGTAGTTAACTTCGATTTCCGTGTAGATGGCTGGCAGACGGCCGCGGTGGCCCAGGACGAAACCTAGTAGACGATCAGCCCGGCAGAGCGTTGGATCGACACGGGTTCCGACACCGATGAGGCCGCCGGGCACTGCGAATTTCAGGTCATTCTGCTCGGCGAGGAGAGAGATGACGCGGCTAAAGATGGGTCGGCATTGGATCTTGCCCTGTTCGTCTTTGGTGACGATCCCCGGCCGGATTTCGATCTCGTCACCTAGTTTGAGCACACCGGTAAGGATACTGCCGCCCGCGACGCCACCGCGGAGGTCCTCGATCTCCGCGCCGGGCTTGTTGACGTCGAACGATCGGATGATGATCATGTGCGGGGCCGCTTGGAAGTCGCGGACTGGCACGGGGATGTGCGACACGAGATACTCGTTGACGGCATCGATGTTGTATTTCAACTGGGCTGAGATGGGGATGATAGGCGATCCGTCCGCGACGGTGCCGCGGATGAATTTCAGTATCGACTGGTAGTGTTGTAGGGCACCGTCTTCGCGCATGAGGTCGACTTTGTTTTGGAGAATGATGATGTGGTTCAGTTTCATGATTTCAATTGCAGCCAGATGTTCCGATGTTTGTGGTTGAGGACAGGTTTCGTTGCCAGCAATTAGGAGGAGTGCTGCGTCCATGACAGCTGCTCCTGAAAGCATAGTGCTCATGAGGATGTCGTGTCCGGGGCAATCGACAAAGCTGGGATTTCGCAATGTGTCAGCTGCGGGTCCACGAGAACATTTTTCAAATAAAAAAAAAATCCCATATGAGCTAAACAAACTTACGAAACATGTCTGAGAAGACGATATCTGCCTGTGCATCCATCTCTTGCGCATGGAGGGTCTACCTCTTTCTCACTCTTGAAACTCCTATAGCAACCAGGGCGGGGACACTCTTCATTGTCACATTTGTAGACCTTGGCATTGGCATAACCCAGCTTGATGGTGATATTTCTCTCCTGTTCATTCTTGAATCTGACCGTTTGTACACCAGAGATAGCCTTCACCACCGTCGATTTGCCGTGTGCGACGTGTCCAATGGTGCCAATGTTGATCGTCGCTTGCCGCGCAATTATTTCTGGTGTCAGTGGCGTTAGGGTGGACAGGTCCAGAGTCTGCGGATCCGGCTGTTCTGGAAGCTCAGGTTTCTTCTCCGAAACCATCGGAGGCAATGAAGTTCGCCTCTTCAAGGCCGATTTGAGAGACTGACTATCATGCTCATTGTCTTGATCGAGGGCTTCCTGGTCCTCGATCTCGTCCGCGTTGTTGGCATTGCCCAGTACCGGGGAGCCCGGTTGGGAATCATCGTCAGAATAGTCGCTATGGGTGGCCATAATGGCGGTTAAATACTCGATAGCCCAGTTGTCTGTCGATATTGTGTTAGTCTTCCGAAATTGTAGGCCTGGTTGATCGCTGAGCGGGGATATATTGCTGGACGGTATAATTTTGGCGAGCAGCTTATCTGTGGGGTATTGTGTTCCGGACCCTTAGACGGAAGAATGAGAAGGTATATTTGCTTCACTTCTGTGGCAACTGGCAACAGAATTAAGCCACTGGGAATGCGAAGCGCTCCTAAGACGGCGAGGATAGGCCCTGGTGTATATGGAGTCTAGAGATTGAAGTTTTAATATCTGCTTGTCGCCCGTCGATGATTTTTCTAAACATGGATGAGATCAGAACTGTCACGTGAATCTCTGACTCATCAACCCTAACTTGAAGTTATTGGATGGATGGAGACTGCGTGGGTATAATGAAACTGATTTTATTTCTATAATACTCATACTCATAGTATTGACTTGGGTATCCAGGGAAAACTTTGTAGACTGTACCCAATGGGACAACTTCAATGCGGGAGAATTATATTAATCCTCATCGTCTGAGCCACTACTATCCTCATCCTCATCCTCATCATCATTACTACCAGAAAAGTCACTGCCATCCAACTCACCCGTAGGAGGCGCCAGCATAACAAATGCCTTCATGCATGTGATCCGGTTGCTAGATTCATATGTGCCTAGAAGTCTTCCAACTTGAGCCACGGCAGTACTGGCACTGGCACTGGCACTGGCACTGGCAGATGGGATTCCATTTTTCAGCTCCTTTGAATCCGACCTGCCCTTTTTCTGTCCAGGAAATCGATCTCCAACGGCTGCTGGGAACTCTGCCTCATTCAGCATCCACAATTTCACAGCACCGTCGCTGCCAGCGGTGACTATTAGGAATGTTTTATTGTTATTCCATCCCTGAGCTTTCACCGGCAGGACTTCAAAATCTTTGATGCGGCTTGATTGGCCGTGGTTTTTCCCACCTAATTGTGCTATTAGTTGCGCTTCTGGGATAGGGGATTTGGTATCGTCTTTATTAGACCCCGCTGTGCTCTGGGATTGTGGTTTGGATTTAGTAGAATAAAACAAAATCCGTCCATCCTCGGTTGATACGGCTAGTAATTCACGTTTATTCCCGCCAACCATGTCCACATCGATGTATTTCAACTGGTGAAGCTTTGTTCGCGGTGATGGGAGTAATACCTGTGTGGGGACAGAATCCTGTCCATTTGATATCAGTAAATCGCCCAGGGATACTAATCAACAATAGAGTAACATACTATTCCAAAAACCACAGCACCCCGTTCAAATGCAACAGCAATATGTCTTCTCCTTCCGAGTCCCACGATATCCGCCGCCCTTCACCCACTGCTATATTTGCCCTCTAAAACCGATTCGAGAATCCTCCTATCAAAATTCAACACCCCAGCCTTCCTCCCTGTAACTAAATTCCACAGACGCATGCACTTTTCCCCTTTCCCCACTGTGAGCATGAGTTTCATGCTAGGATGCACCGCGAAATCATTCACGCCCGCAGGGGCACCACCGGGAGGCGCAGTGTCCCCGCTAGGCCTTCCTTGGACCTTTGGCCGGGGCACTTTTATCGTCGAAACCACCGACCAGTCCCTAGTTCTGGTGACTGCTATTGTATTATCCTCAGCGGCTGAAAGCAACTTCGAGCGCGAAGGGAAATATAGAGCTGTGATGGCAGAGGAATGGTGGAGTAGGGAGCCTAACTCCCGATTCTTGGGGTTTTCGAGGATTTTGTTTCCTGCCAACGTCGGGATTGTGGGGAACTTGGTGCTGTCCGACGCTGGAGGCGAGGATGCCGATAAAGTGTATAGATTGACGCGTTCATCGGTGCCACCGCTTGCCAGCATGACTTTCTGCGGTGCGTCCGATTGCTGGTGGTTTTGCTCTGGTAGGGGGCCCAAGGCTAGACATTTGATGGCAGAGGCATGAGCTTGGAACAGGAAGTTGTCGACGAACTGAACTGACTGAGATGGCTCGTCGTCAGTAGATAGTTCGAAAACGGTAGCAGTTATCCCGTGCAAGATCCGTTCGTATGATCCAGTGATAATCTGGATAGTGACCGCGTTTGGTGTCCGTATCTGTTGCTCTGACGCACGGTTATGCTTCTGGGAGTTGTCATTGCCATTTTCATTGACATCTGCTTTGAGAGCTTTCCTGGTCGCCTCCTGTCTGTAACCAGCATCGTCTCTCTTTCGTTTTGCCATGGGAGAGATTGGTATATCGAGGGTGGATGGATCGCCTAGATATCTATTATAGATAGATGTAACAGGCAACCTGAGACCAATTAGCAAAAGCTATACACAATAATGCAAAATCACAAGCCAGAGACAACAGCAGAAGCAAACTGAAGCCCACTTTACCTCTATGCAGGATTGTTGCCAGGCTATCAAGAGAACAGGATGTTGGATGACACCTGCTCGTTGCCACAAACGCCAAAAAAAAAAAAAAAATAAAATAAATTATGCTTGGGAGCGGCGGCGTCCGCTAAAACTAAGCTCCGTGGTAGGCCACCAGTACCCGGTACCTCGCCCACCACCAGCTCTGGTACCAGGGCTGAGGTACCTCCCCAACTCCGCCGGCGGTTGACTCCTGCCTCGTCTCGGTTTCTCTCTCCCTCACCAAACTGACCAGACTCACCACCCCCATCAGTGCCCTGCAACCACACCCACTGTCCCATCACAACGCCATCATTTCCATCTATTCCGAGCGATTTTTCTTGCTTGCATGCCCTCGCTATCATCCTATCTCCAGCTTTCTGCGCGTAAATCGGATGTTGGCTGCCCGAGATAGGCTCGATGCTCCGTGACGAGCTGCTACGGTCCAAGCATGATGAGATCGCGTATGTATTTACTTATTCCAACCGATCCAAAATTTTCTCTGGGCTCTCTGAACTTCGAATTTTCGCTTACTGTAATTTTTAGACGTTGTTTGTTGTCGCGGAAGCGCAAACTGAGCGAGCTCTATTTTGCGACCGTGGGCTTTCCTGCTGCGACCGATGGCTCCCCCAAGCACCACCAATACCAGCAGAGGGAACAGGAATTTCTCGACGCCAACGACATTACAAAGTATGTCCCTTTGTTCCATTCTACTCCTGTCCTCCTAACATTACCCACTGTCATTTTTCGCATGTATAAATTCGAACTAATTCATCTATATCCAGAGGCCGACTTTTCGATGCACGCACGCTTCCTCGCCGACCGGAACCCCCATCCCTTCAGGTTTCTCCAACGGATGAAAAGCTTAGCCAAGGATCTCTAGGTACAAGTGCAGCGGATCGCGTTACGGATGGCCATGCAGTTGGACTCGTTTCTTTGCCGGCTGGGATCACAGCCCCGTCACCAAAATTGTCTTCCGCAAGCCACCATGGCGAACTGGAAACTCAGGATACCTCGCGACCCCAGGATCGAACCCGCACTGGAGATACGGAGTCCGTGGCAGCCCAAGCCGGTTCCGACCAATTGCCCATCCCTAAAACAACACTCAACGCTTCTCACGAGGCCATACGTGAGAAGGAAGCATCGTCACCTTCCTCGACTCAACAGACCGTCGCTGCTACTGTAACTCCTGTTACTGATCTTGATATGGATGAAGCTCCTGACAGCCGGGGCAAAACTGATAGTGGCGAGATCCTCACTGTGGAAAGTGGCTTACCTATTGGCCCTGGGAAAACCGTCGTTGAGATCCAGGGTAATGCTACGGGTGCGTCGTCGTCCACTTTGGACGCCCTTGAACGTCAACATGGAAAGAACTCTGCCAATTTGCCTTGCCTGGTTACCGATGCTTCTCCAAAAAGTACTGACCAGCCTCTGTCTCCAGCTTCTTCCCGGGGTCAATTATCAAGCTCCACCTCTGTATCTGATAGAACGCCAGCGAGTAGCCCAGCCAAGGACCAGCCGCAACGAGAACCACAAAATGAAGCTCCAACCCCCCCCCAGAGCGGAGGAGGCATCTTAGGCCCTATGGATACCGCAGATGTATCAGCTGCGCATAGAGCTCCGGCCACCCCGGATGAACAACTGAAATTTGAAGCCGAGCAATCGAGCAGACAACAAGCCGCAGCAGCTGTGAAAGTAACCGAAAGTGTACCTAGCAGGGACTCTGCGTTTTCATCCTTCCAGCCTACTCCAGAGAATTCATTTTCATCTCGAAAGAAACCACCTGACGGTTATAATGAATCTGATGTTTCTAATCAATCCAAAACCTCCGTTGCCCCCGACAATCGACCCATGGTTAATGGCTCTCTTCGACTTGATACAGAGAGAGGTAAATCAGAGCTACTATCAAAGGTCAACGAATCCAGTTCAGCGCCAGAAGGTCTTACTCTGCCAGAAGGTGCCAGTGGCTCACCACTCCCCGGTGTTACCCGAAAGGCATCACTCCCAGTTGGGGCGGCGCAGAATCAATTCCAGCCAGAACGTATGACAACAAGAGTTTCTTCAGGAGCAATTCGCCACCGGTCTGTCTCTGAAATCCTAGGGGAAACTCCTAAGTTAGCTGCGGATAAAACTTCCGATAAGGCTGTATCGGAATCACCCACGGCGACTTCTGAAAGTTCTCCGGGCCGTTCTCGTCTCAAGAACAAAAGGGAAAACCAAAAGGAGCGAAGCAAGCTCTCAACTGTAGTTTTCCCCAAGCAACAAACTGCTGCTGAGAAAAGCGAAACATCAGACTTGGTTCGTGCTCCGTCAGGGCATACGAGATCTCTGAATGAAGAAAAGGATTACCTCTTCACCCTTTTCCAGGCCAAAGCACACTATCCTCCCCGCAGTATGCACCTAAGTTCTCTCCTCTCTACCGCGCACAAAACCCTTACAACCGCAAACCACTTTGTTGAGTATCAAGAACAAATGGGCTGTCGCTTGTTAAAACGAATTTACCAGCTCCAGCACGCGAATCGTTGGCCCCTTCGCCAATTACAACGGTCTACAGAACCTGAGCGATCAGGGACACACTGGGACATTCTGCTGGATCATATGAAATGGATGCGAACAGATTTCAGAGAAGAGCGAAAGTGGAAAATCACCGCTGCGAAGAGATGTGCAGATTGGTGCGTTGAATACGTTAATGCTCCTGGTGAACGCAAAGTGGAGTTGCGGATAACAGTTCGGACTCCACAAACTACTGGTAAGCTGGGTGAGAGCGGTTACAGCAAGACTGCCCCATCATATAGTGACGATAGGGTTGATGATGTTTTGCCTCACTCTCAACCGACTCCCGATTTAATCATGGAAGATGATTCTGTTAGCGAAGGTTTTAACGATGAAATCCATCCAGATCTGTCTGACGGCGTTGTTCCCGCAGCGATATTTTCGCTTGGTTCGGATGAGTTTACATTTGGGATGGAACGAACCCCGGCTTTTGAAAAAATTCTAGAAGAGCTTCCGCTTTATGCTCCCATCAATATTTCCCCGGAAACCAATTTACCACAATTTAAATGCCCGCCGGACTCCTCGTGGCGAAAGGAGCTGTTACCTGTTTCCAAATTTGCTACGGGCAAATTGGAATTTACTAACAAACAGCCGCCTCGTAAACGAAGCCGATATGATTACTCTGATAATGATGACGACGTTGATGTCGATGCCATTGAAATACCCCCTGAGCAAACTAATGTTGCCCTCTTCCAGTCGCAAAATAAGCATATACGTGATCGTATACATCCTGGTCAGGTATTCAGACCTCCCACCGAGTTCCTGATGCCATCTCTAGGATTTTATGAGTCACGACAACCTTCGCAATGGACCTGCGCTGAAGAAGACGAGCTTAGGCGAATTGTTAAGGAGTACTCGTTTAACTGGTCGCTCATATCAGCTTGTTTGACTCCCTCGTCGTTATTTACCTCGGGCGCGGATAGGCGGACCCCCTGGGAATGTTTTGAAAAGTGGGTTCAGCTAGAAGGGCTTCCTACGGAGATGCTGAAGACTCCGTACTTTAGAGCATACACCTCTAGAGTGGAGTCGGCGCAGCGGACTGTCCTTGCAGCTCAACAACTGCAGCAACAACAACAGCAGCAGGCGCAAGCGCAAGCGCAGGCGCAGCCCCAGCAGCAGGGCAGCAATCCACCACCAACACCAACGGCAATTCTTCGGAGACGGCCTACGACACCCATGAGAGTGGAACGGAAGCGGTCCTCCAGACACTTAGCACTCCTTGATGGCATGAGGAAATTATCTAAGAAACGGGAAACCTTGCTTCAGAAACAGCAGCATGGTATGAAATACCTTTAAAATCACGCGCATGTGACAAACGCTTCAAATTTTGTGTGTATTTTGTGCTAATTTTATGTGCATCTCCTCCCTTAACAGCTACCCATTTGGCAGCTTCACGAAAGCTTAATGAAGTGAATCAACCACGACCACCAATATCGACTCCAGCAGAATTCAGTCGTTTAAAACATGAGCGGGAGTTGAAGATTCAGGAGACCCAGGAACAATATAAGCAGGCGATGATAGCACAGCGAGTAAGTTGTATCACATATTTGTCCATTTGCTCTTTATCCTAACCGACCCCTTCTTTTTAGATGGCGATGGCGCAACGCGTTGCACAGCAGCAGCAAGCACAACATCAACAGCAGGCCCAGCAGCTCCAGCAGGCTCAACAGCAGGCTCAACAGCAACACCGGCAAATGCCGAACCAGCAAGCCTTGGTTAATGGTGTGCCTCCACGAACTACTGCTAGTGCTCCTCCGAATGGCGTTATCCAAGCAATTCCTACCCCGTCTGGTCTTCCTAATGGTCTGCCAGCCACTGCAGCAATGCCCCAATCTCGACCCCACCCTGGCATACAGCTGCCAAATGGTGTTCAGGTCAATGGCATTCCAAATGCAAGCATGGGACTGAAGATGATACCTCAACCTGGCATCCCGCAGGCAATGAATGGGCGTCCAGGCATACCTACCCAAGGGTCTCCGGACAATGCGCGTATCATCCGTGAAGCCAGTCGCGTGCAAGAAGAGCAGCAACGTATGGTACAGTCACGCCAGCAACAGCTTCAGAATCAACAACAATCATTCATCTCTCAAGCACCTCATTCCTCCTCTAACATGAACATTGGAAATATGAACGTTAACCCCAATAATCCTACAATGCTATCATTCCAAGCCGCGAGCGGCGCCAACAGCCCTTCTTTCCATGCTCCCTCTCTTGCTCAGGGGGTCTCTACTGCGTCCCCTCGACTCAACCATGCAAACGTTCTCGCAACCGCCGCTGCCGGGCTCCCGACTCTAGCCAGCATCCAAAACACCATCCAGCGAACTAATCCAAACATGTCCCAGGAGCAAATCACCAAACTAGCCACCGAAAGGCTCCAACACATTCAACAACAGCGTATGTCCCAGGCAGCTATGAACGCAGCTGCTGGAAACATGAGCTCCATGCAGACTAGCTACCAAATGCACCATGATGGCAACATGCACCAACTGGCACACGCGAACATGCCGAATGGCGGCTCGCCAGCTTCGATGCAAACGCATCAGACGCAGGGATACTCGCCGCTGATGCGAGTGGCACAGCCTGTGCAGCAGCCGAACCGGATGGGCGTGAATGGATCACCAGCAATGAACGCGGCCATGGCTGCTCAGCAGGGTCGAAGTGCGACGGCACAGGCACATCGGAGTGCAAGTGGGCCCGGGTCCGGCCCGGGTGCGGGTCAAGCTTCAAACCCAGGACAAGGTCCTGGTGTAGGTCCTGTTGCGGTGAAGAGTCCACGGCCGCCACAAGCGCAGATGGCATCGAGTTGAATTATAAATAAAATTTATTTCCTTTCCAAAATTATATATTGGCAATGGCTGGGGTTTTCGTTGTAATGTTCCTCCTACACATACCTACATACCTACCTTCTTGTTTTTCTACACCCTATACACCAAATCACCTACCCGGCCTGCCATAGATTTCTCACCCTCTTCCTTCTTGTACATATAATTTAACGAAGAGGATTTAATTTAGCCGCTACTCACCCTTCATATGCCAAGCAACAAAAAAACACTCCTCCATCCGCACTAACCTTCTGGACTTCGCGGTTGATTCAACGATTTTTTATTTCTTGATTTTCTTTTTCTTTTCTCCCGTTTATAAGTTATGCGCTGTTGAACGGGCACCGGGCGAGCGGGTTTGTTCTCTTTATTGTTCTTGGTTTGGTTTGGTTCTTACTGTTTTTCCTCTTTAGGGGTTAGGTATTATTGCTCAAGTTATGGTATACTACTGGGTGGGGGGAATTCTTACTTGTTGTTTTGTTTCTTCTCTTTTTCTTTTTCATATTTTTTCTCCTTTTTCCCTCTTCTCTTGTCTTCAGTTGTCCTTGTTTCTTTTTGCGTGGCTCTGACAACTATGTATTTGTATTGATAGAAGGGCCATTTTTAGTGGTTCCTCTTTGCCTTTTTTTTTTTTTTTTTTTTTTTTTTTTTTTTTCATTTTTCTACTATGATGTTAAGGTGCTTTGTTTCCAGCCATAGCATTGATTTCTTTTCCTTTCTTTTCCTTTCTCATTTTCTCTTGTGGTTTGTGGTCTTTGCATCGTGCAATAGACGGGAGGAGATGAGAGGAATATATTCGATGAGAAAAAGTTAGTGATGTTATGACTGATGTGAGCATGCAATAGTAATTCTGTTCATTGTGTGAATCCTTCATGGTTTTTCTTGAAAATAGTAAATAAATAAAATAAAAGAGGAAGAAATCCCTTTCCATAATGAGCATTTCATATTTGCCGGAGCGCGCTTACCGCGTCTAGCCATTTGCCACCAACGTCGCCTGAGCCGCTAAACTGCGTCGGCCACGCAAAAGGAGCGCCATCTCAAACTCCCCCCAAAATCCAATGACACGCCAAATAGCATAGTTCGGAGTCTCCTTGTTTCTTTTCTTTTCTTTCCCCCTTTCTTCTCGTTCTATTCTCATCTCCTCTCTGGCCCAGGCTGCGGTATTCCACTCCTGTCGCAGCTATGGCTTCCGAAGACCTCGACCACAGCCCGAAACCAAAACCCTTCTCCATCTCCCTCGCTTCCTCCTCACAAAAGAAGAAATCATCCCCATCATCTTCGACGTCCACTACCAGACCCACAAATAGCGCTGCCTCCTCTTCATCCTCGAAACCCACACCCGAAATCCTCCCTCGTCGCCCCCGCACATTCCAGGACCATGACTCCGATAACGAAGACAGCCACCAACCTCCTGTCGTGGAGGAAGTGACGGGCTTCGACCGCGAAGCTGGCGGTGCCATAAGCGCCCAAAAGCGTGCGGAGCAGGAGAAGCAACCGCTCGTCATCAAAGTTGAAAGCAAAAATAATTGGCAGCAAAGACCGTGGCTGAGGAAGAGAGGGGGGTTGAATTTGTTGCCGAAGGAGGTTAGGGCGCAGAGGGAGGCGGAGGCGAGCGGCATCGTTGCTGCTGATGAGACGACGGAGGCTGAGGGCCCGAGTATGAAATTTGGGCTAACCCTTGCTGGAGAATTGGAGGCGGCAGGGGTAGATGGCGATGTCAAAATGGCGGGTGCTGGCGGTGTGGAAAAAGAAAGGAAAGATGAGGACAATCGGGTTGAGGGGCAGGGGGAGGCACCTAAGAGGCCCTTAACGCAGGATGAGATTGCTATGCAGGCTCTTATACGTGAGAGCAAGGTAGATGGGGAAGAAACGACGAGGCGGTCCGATCTCGTTATCCCTGGGAAAAGGAAGGAGAGGGATGAGGATGAATATGGAAAAGAAGATTATGGTGCGGAAGACGGGCGGTTTGATGAGACGAAGTCATTCCGTGCTGATGTTGCGTCGAGGCCCGATCCAGCTAGTTTGGCGGCTTATAGTGCCATTCCTGTGGAGGAATTTGGGGCTGCATTGTTGCGCGGTATGGGATGGAAGGATGGAGAACCTATTGGTAGGGGAAAATATGAAAGTTCGAATGCGAAAGCTGCTACGAAGGCCCGCATTCCAGAGAGGAGGCCTGGGTATCTAGGCATCGGAGCCAAGGAACTTCCGGGCAAGGATAAGGCGGGTAGTGGTTCTGAAATTGAGTTGGGCACTTGGGGCAAGTCGGCCATGAGGAAGGCTAAGAAGCCTGGCGAGGGGCTTTATACCCCTGTTCTCATGAGGAATAAGAAGACAGGGGAGATGGTTACGCAGGAGGAGTTTAATCGCTTGGTTAAGGCGGGTGAGGAACGAGGGCTTAAAAAGGACGGTGACGATAGCTGGCGTGAAAGGAGGGATCGGAATTTGCAGTTGAATGGAAGAAATAAACTGCGTGATTGGGATCGCCGATCTGAACGGGATTATGACAACGACAGTGCTAAGGGCGATGGATATAAGTACCGTAGAAACGGGAGTGGAACATCCGGCGATAGTTATAGGGCCAGAGATAAGAGGAGACGTCATGAGGATCGCGAAGCTGGCACGAGTGATAGCGGGTTGGAGGATCGATACGCTAGGGACCGTGGAAGTGATCGTGATGATCGGGATCGAGATCGGGCTCCAGCGCGAGGAAGCGACAAAGAACGAGATCGGAAAAATAGGAGTAGCCGGAGATCATATGACGACGATGGTGATGATGGCCATAGGTCCCGTCCTTCATCTTCATCTTCGAGACGTGATCGCGATGCATACAGAGACTCGCATCGGGATAGAAATAGGTACTCGACAAACGATAAAAGGGATCGCTATGATAGGGACGACAACGAAAGGAGTCGGTCGCGTCATGAGAAAGTGTATTGAAATGTATATTAGATACCCATTCAAAGGCGCACTGGCTTCATGATGTTATATTAAAGTTGGGATGTAATATAGGGACTGCTCATGTAATGAACAATAATACACACGAAAATTCATATATTATGTAGGTTAAATATCGTCTATCATTCCTCGCATCAAAAGGGGTATCCCTTTGCCCGTCTACTTTTCGATAAATCCCACGAATTTTTCAAAACCATCATTTTATGTATTATCGTACAACCAAAAAAAATAAAAGGGTAAATTCAAACGCCAGCCATAATGACATCTTGACCTCGTCCCATCTCTGCCTCTCCATTTAACAACCCGCCGCCGCCAATTCCCCCATCCATCTCGCCAAGAACCCATTCTACAAGATAGCTTTCATCTACAAGCTCCTCAATCCTCTTATAATGCCGTTCCGTATACGCCACTAGCGTATCTAGAATCTCTTTCATGGACTGCGGCTTATATTTATTCCGACCACCAGCTTGGTCCCTTGGCACCGCACGGCGATGGCTGGCTAAGTCGATGAATATCGAGGGTGGGTAGGATCTTGACAGCGCGTAAAGAATGCGCTGCGCTATGGGCGCAGTTCTAGCATTGGTGTTCCAGTCTCGAACACGCAGGAGGAGAGAGTAGAGATTATCTTTGTCGAGGGATTGGAGAACGATATCGATGTCTGGATTCCCAGTAAGGCTCTCCTTTTCTCGTTCTGCGCAACTTGTAGTTTGTGATCCATTCAGAGCGGCGGTGAGCAGGGATAGGAGTCGAGCGGGGTGGTTTAATTGTAGTGCGAGAGTAATGGCCTCTCGGTAAGCTCCAGCATGTATGTAGTTCTGAAGTTGCTGGTCCTGCTCAATCCGCTCGGTACTGGCATTTACCGCTGCCGACAGTGTGGCGGAAGTGGTGTCCTTCCAGAAGGTGACGACTGAGTCGGCTCCGCCAGATATTAAAGCGAAGCCGAGATTACCATCGGTCGATTTATCAATCGAGGATGTAGACGGTGTTGCTAATGCCCAGACGCGATCCTCGTGGTTATCAAGAGTTGTTTCTATTTCTCCGCTGTACGGGGACCAAATCTTGACTAGGCCATCAGCGCCGGCTGATGCGACTAAAGGATGCATCTGTATGGCACCACGTGCGGATATGTCTTCGTTTTCACCATCAATTAGTGGCGGGGGTAGCCAGAGCAGCTTCAGAACACTGTTGGTATGTCCTTCAAAAGTCAGGAGGCAGCTGTAATCTGAAAGACTCCAGAGCTTGATAGTCTTGTCGGCCGAGCCGGTTGCGACGACACCTCGACTAGTACTAGTTCCTGAATCTGAAGTTATGACTGGAGTATCTTTGGGACCGAAGCGGATAGACCAGACGCCTCGCTTGTGGCCACGTAGGATTCCTAGAACGGAGCCGTCTTCTACGGACCATATTTTCGCAGTGCGATCTTGGGAAGCAGAGGCAAAAAGGGTAGAAGAATGATTGACATCAAGCGCATTGATATCTTTGTCGTGTGCTTTCCGCGTGTATAACGCCTTCGGTGCACTGGGGTTGTGACCGTTGGACGCTGATATTTTAGACGTATCCCATCGTTTGAGAGTGCGGTCTTGAGATCCAGTGAAAAGGAAAGGGGGTGGATGGTTCAGTGGATCTTTGTAAGCGGGAGAGCTGGGTGGAGGTTGGGACCGTGGAAATGCAATAGCACCCAATGACTCTGCATGGCCAGTAAGAGTCGCAAAGCAGGTGAAAGATGATGATTCGGCATCGATACGCCATAACCGTGCCGTATTATCTTTAGCACCCGTCGCCAGCCAACAACCTGACCAGTCGACATCCAGGCAGATAATAATATCATCATGCCCTTCTAGGTGAGTGACTTCCGCACCAAAATAATTTTGCTCTTCCCTGGACTGAGAATCCGTAGCATGCTCCTTGTTTGTGGATACGATTCTAATATATTCAGTGTTGGTTGCCAACGCCACCAAGGATCGATCGCGGCCAACGCAAGCCAAGTCGATAACTTCGTCATCGTTTCCAGAAATTCGGCGTATTATAGGTAGGGGCTCGATTTTCATGCCGGGCTTTAACGACAGAAGGGGCTCGATGGAATTCAGTCTCAAAGTTTGATCCGCATGGATCGTCATGATCCAGGGCAAATTTACAGAGTATTCGCATGCAATTATAGCTTCTTGTTCATGGCCGGGATCTTGGTCTCTTATGACTTCACTGCCCCTGTTTGGATCCCATATTCTCAAACGGCCATTTTCTCCGCCAGTGTAGCAGAGCGATTCATCCGACAAAAAACCTGCTGCTTCAACACTCTCAAGAGCCGGAATAATCCTTCGGGTTTTCCAAGTTCTAGCATCCCACATAATCAAGGTTTTATCGCGGCTTGCGGATAAAAGCGCATTCTCAGAAGGCGAAAAGGACAGGCTGCGCACAACAGAAACGTGAGACTCGAGAGATGCGATGCTGCTCCTCTTGTGAAGATCCCATATTAGAATTTTGCCATCTTCACTACCAGAGGCAAGGCGGAATCCCGCAGCGGAGGGGCCACGATCTCCATTTCTGTGGCGATCGCTGGCATATGAGGATTTCGATCCTGTACTCTTCTTATTTCTGGAAGGTCCATCGGCAGCATTGGATCCTGCTGCTTCGAAAAAGGATAGGGCAGATATTACCCCTCCATGGCCATGGAAAGTATGTGTAGCAAATCCCCGTCGTATATCCCATATTTTTATCGACCCATCTGAGCTTCCTGTAGCCAAAAGGGTTCCCGTCGCATCAATGGCTGAAGTTACTACAGGAGATGTATGGGGTTTAAGGGTTCTGAGGAGCTCCACTTGTATTGAAGGAGAGGGTTCCTCCAATTGCGTCAGCGAGTAAATCCGCATCGACAACGATCGCGAGCATATTGCTAGGTGAGATGCTGACGGGGTTACTAGATACAAATGTTAGCAATGGATTCAAACGGGGGTTTCAACCGGGAGAGCATACTTGATATGCTTGTAACCACAGCTCCATCCTATATTGTAACGGGTTTCACTTGTCAGTGAGATCCATTTAAGTCAGAATATCTGCCACCAACTTACCCCCTCAATCGTCGCCAATTGCCCACCGGCCCTTAGATCTGTAATCACGACATCTTCGCCGACACATGTCACCAAATGCCGGCCGCTTGCGTCGAGCGAAATACTTCCACCTGTATAAATGGGACGAATGGTATTTGCTACTTCGAAGGTCGTTTTAATATTGATTTTCGACATTGTGGGGGCTAGCTGATACAAGAAAATTTATATCAACATTGCTAGGGACTTCTCGAAGAACAATCCGACTATTATTGCAAAATTTTAGCCTGAGAATAGTATGTTCCGCTAGATATAAGGAATTATGCAGTCGGTCAAAATAAAAAGTTATCGCGGCTAAAAACTAGGTTGGCTCCATGCGGTTAGACGCCACAGCCGCGCTGAAACGTCCCGTCCGCGCATGGATATGGACATACATTATAACGCCAGCACTTTTAAGTCGCAGCTGTTCCGATGTAGCGTCTAAGGTTATACTATACACTTGCTGTCACTAGGGGGTTTCTCCACGTGGGGTCTATATATCGCCGCTCTGTCGCCGTGTACTCGCTGCTATCATGGGGAGGCAACCCTACATGAACTTGCTTGCCCTGGTATGTTCCTCTGGCGTTCTTTAATGCTCTCGAGGCATGCTCTTATAATTTCGAAGTTCATACTATCGTGTTATCTCTGCTCAAATTTCTCGGGGATTCTGCCTATTTATTGCGCGGTATTTCATGAGAAATTCTTTTTCTCTCAATAATTTCCTTCATGCATGTTTGACAAACCAGTTCGCTACATATAAGTTTGCTTTGTCTAGATAATTCGTATTCTACATTTTACAGCTATTGCATGTTTGGCCCCTGCTTTACTAATATTCATAATAGGGGCGATCCCCTTATGAGGCACCAGAAACTCCTCCTCAGGGTTATGTTGCTGGAGAACGTCGCACTGAAGACAATGTCAACGCCGATGGCTACGTTCAGGAGTATGACGTCCGCGGCCATCCTGTCAATCTGAGTTCAAAAGCTCTAGCTAGGCAGCTTCGGAGGGCGAAAAATGACATTTTGTCTACCATGGGAATTGTTGTCAGTGGCGAGGACGGCACCTTGGGAATATCAAAAGAACGGCAACGGATGAATCTTCTGTCAACGGAAAATGACTATGGCCTTGCCCTGGCGACACTAGACCAGGTTGCGATGTTCTTTTCATCGTGGTGGACAACATCGCTCGCCGCCCGTATTCAGGTATGACCATAGCGCTTTCGTTGTGGAGATTGTAATACTTACAAGGAATACCCAGACATTTAAACGATATACCCATGTCCCATTTCTACAAATCATACGCACAGAACGGAGTGAAGTCGGACTTTTTGGATTCTACGGCGCTGGTATCCCAGCTTGGACTGTTTCGTTCATAGTTTCAGTTTGCCGAAATCACTTTCTAGAACCTGCTTTCGACTACATTCACGGGAAGGTTTCCGTATTGTTTGACAATAAGGTCTATAAATTCACCATCCACCATATATTTAATGGTCTCCAATTAAGGTATTTGCTTACTCTTTATCAATGGTTTGTGTATAATTTGCTAAAATTTCGCAGCTGCAAATTGGCCCTTTTTGTTGTCCTTGGACAAACTTATATGTTTTCGTTACTTCAATCACTTCACATGCTACCGCCGCTTGCGGTTCCAACACTTCGCTCACTTCTTCCATTTGGCCCTACCTCATTAATCCAATTTCCACCGCTCCCAGCAAGATTGTCACTAGCTGGTATCGGAAATTTTGGGGTTAAACTACTTACCGCCCCATTTGCAGTGCTGTATATGTATGTTTATCTTCGGCCTATAATAGAGTCCAGAATTTACCGTATCATACGACGGAAACTCCCCAAACCAGACCATCCAGATATCCTGTCTCTTCGTGTCGCAGCGGAAAGTGGCCTTATTGAGTGGACAGCTCCATCGTTCGGAAGGCGGTCTGATGAGGAATATCGTCGTAGCGACCTTACAATTGGTGAGGAATTCAAATATGAATTACGCCTCTTCAGAAATTGGATTTTGGGCATTTTTGGTTTGCAAGTCGAAAGGCCGTCTGATACAGGGGATAGAGGACGATTGACACCCCATTCTCTCCAGAATAGACTCGAACAACTTAGCCGTGATTTCAATACGAGCACGGCTCCTCTCCGAGAAGAAATAATCCAACACGGCGAAGTCTTAGTGAACTCAGTGCAAGCCCGGGGTGAACAGCTTTTAAGCGGTCAGATCGAAGGAGCTCGGCCAAGATCCCCGACACCGGATGCCGCAGCGCAAGAGCAATTTGGCACGAACCAGATCTTATCCGGTGATGGGCAACGTATGTCACAATCACCCTTCCAGCTTGCAGAAGACTACTTCGACCAGGACGATCCATCTCAAGGTAGGCCAGGAGTGGAAGAAGCGTTCAGGATGGACCCTTCTGTATCACCCCAAGAGCCCAATGACCAAGGCCTTGAAGTATCCCATCGCCATCACTTCCATTCACGTTCCAATACTTTATTCTCCCATCCCTCAACCCCAGAATCGTCCCCTCTGGCCTCACCCCGTGTCAGAGCATCACTGGTGCATCAAAACTCTGACGTAATAACCATGCAACTCGAACTTCTACGGAGCAATCACAACTCCCCGTCCCACGCCCGAACAAATTACGACAATGATTCTATGATAGCTGGCTCTGAGACAACAACAGGACTCACCCCGAGCGAAGTTGATCGTATAGTATCCGAAAGTCTAGACGCGCTTCAATTAGGCCGTGATCCAGCCCGATCTGACAGCCTTCACCTCCCCGATCAACCATGGGATCAAAGCATGGTCCTACAACAACAAGCAGCTTTAGTAGAACTCAGCTCCGCAATCAATCCAGCGAGCTTGGAAAACCACGAACAAGAACCATCCGCGCGCCCTACTACCCCTACCGCCCCCCAAGAACCTCCAGGCACCCTCGAGCCACTCCTAGAAATCCCCGAATCACCCTCCGCCAGGACCCACCGTGCCGAACCCACCGCGGCCCTCGTAAATGAAGAAAACCGGAATACCTCACAGCCTCCCCCCGCACAGTCAGCATGCCGTTCCCGCCCCGGACGTCCCGTTTTCCCTGACCACCGTGTAACAATCCTTTCCTCACTCCCCGTCGACTCCCTTTCCTCCCACCTTGCTTCCCTCCTAACCTCTGCGTTCTTCTACCCTCTTGAATCCATGTACCTACGCAACTTCGCAACGCAGTTTTTGACGACTCCGTCATTGCTTGCGCCGCTACCCCTCAGTGCTAGTGCTACTAGTGCAATGACGCTAGGTTTGAGGAGTGATGTGCGGGATATATTTGGGTGGTGTGGAGGAGGATCGAGAAGTGATATGCTCGCATATTTGGCAAAGATGGGCCTTGTAGTGGGCATGGAGGCGTTGGTCAGTGTGGCGGTATGGGGTATGGGAACTGCAGTGACGGTTATGCTTGGGACAAGGAAGTTTGGGTGGGGGAATCTGTAGAAGTTTGGCGTATGGACACATCGTTGGATGGATGGATGGATGGATTGGGGCGCTTGATCTATGTTTTAAAATGTGTGACGGTAGATACCAAAATTTTTATATTTTGAGGATTACCCATCGCAATCAAGGGACAGTCATTATTGGGACAATTGGCTATTGATATGCAAATTTGAGATATCATACATAAATATATATAGGTATATCCAATACCGAGTTCAGTTTCAGTCGCGTCTCCTTTTTTTGTTGAACTCAGAACCTACCATCATCAGCGGAAATGCCATTTCATACAGAGGATGTCCTGAAATCTAGTGAATTTGACGCAAAGTGTATTAAAAGGTAAATATACATATCTCCACACGGCATGCAAGGTAACCAAATTGGGTCGTAAAAAGGAAAGGGTTCCCAACTTCCCACATGCTAGGGGTTCCTGACGAACGTAGTCTCACAGAATACCACCTACATAGGAAACCTTTACGACTTCACCTTTCCCATCCCTTTCCCATCCGCACCCGCCCTCCTCCTCTCCCAAACCATCAAATAACCTTCGCGCGTGAAAAGCGTCTCACTCTCCGTTCTCTTCACCCATAAGTCCTGGATTTCCAACCACTCAGGGCCTCTGTGCTGCTGCGCATGTGCACGCTCATTTTCCACACTCATAGCCTTATCGTACAACTGCACGAGCCAAGAGACCTTATCATTGCCTGCGCCGGCACCTGCTGTCATCGCTGTTGAGCCAGTCACGCCGGCTTTATTAGCGTTAGTGCTACTGGATGTATGGCCAGAGCTGGAGCTTTCGCTGTTACCGCCAACGCCGGGTGCAGTGACTGTTGCGTCAAGGATGACGTTTGCGACTAGATCGTACAGTATAGGTTCGCCGGCTGAGCACACGGATGGATTCGGTTCGACGTAAGGGGACATGTCGAGGGAACGTGGAGAAGGGAAAGTGACAATTGTTGGGTTGCGTTCAGAGACGAATTTGTTTTTGCTGAACCGTTTGATGTGGAAGAGGAGGTAGGGGGGTAGAGGGTGGAGGAGTCGGTGGCGAACACGGTGGGAGAGCTTTTCCGACGCGACAAGGCCGTTGTATTTGTTTAGAAGAGTTGTAAGTGGTATTTGTGGGATGATGGATTCGGCATTTGTGGATTGGAAAAGTGGTGTGGGAGGGAGGTCAAGCGTTAATATGAGGAAAGGTGTTGTTTGCGAGGTTGTCTCGCTAGATTCGGAGAAGACGAGGCGCGCGTTAGCTGCGTCAGAGCGGGCTGTTATAGCTTGGCTTTCGATACGGAGATGGCCTTGGAAGGCAGAGTGGATTACACTGGTTGGGGTTGGAGAGGGCTTTTTGGAGCCACCTAGGCTAAGGTGGAGGTTGTTTAGGAACCAGGAGAGAAAGTCGACAGGATCGGATTGTTGGGTGAGGGTGAAACGCTTCGATGAGCGTAGGGCAACCTCTTGAAGTAGCTCGTGTGGTGAAACGTGAGATTTGAATGCGCGCGGATTCCACAACTTGCGTACTAGGATGCCGAAGCGCAGAGGGAGTTGGGGAGTTCCGGGCATCGGGAACTGGTGAAGAAGGAAAAAATTCCTAATGGGACGGACGTGTGACAGGACTTGAACAATGACGTTTAGGTAGTCATTGGATTTGATATTATTCATTCCGACGAATCCTATAGCGTATCGGTTCTTGTCAGTTCTGCACCCAATATCACTGCGGAACAGAGTCAGATGTACCTGGTCTGTATCGTTTACCTGCCAAATCCCAAGCATCAATAACCGCCTTATCAAGCTTAGCAACTTCCTCCTTTTTATACTGAGGATCAACCACATATTTAATATCATCCAAGCTTCTGCTCTTAACCTCATACCCCTCCGGTAGCACATACACCTTCTTCGTCTCCATATTCACAAAGACATGATGTCCAACGTCGAGCGCATGGAAATAGGCATGCGACTTGGGCCCACGGCCCTGATAGTATTTCCCACACACAAGACAGGCGTAGACATTGATATTCGACAACGAAACTGAGCATTGCTTCTCGAAATCGAAATCAAGTACCGATCGCTGTATTGTATCTAAGTATAGGTCACTGTAACCCTCTGCGGGCGCGGTCTGGCGAGCAGGTGCGGAAATGGCCGACTCCTCTCCCGCTTCCTCTTCATCGGAATCGAGAGCTCCGTGAATAGAACCCTCCTCGATCTCTTCCTCCTCTTGATCTGCTGCTGCTAAGATGTCCTTTCCATTGCGTTCATCGTCTTCCCATCGCCGTTCGCCAAGCGGACTGCGACTGCGATGTTGATGTTGTAGTCGCTGCTCGTCCTCTGGGTCTTCCACCCGCGCGCGTTTTGAGGTTGGAGAGTTAATTGGTGATGCATCCTCCAATGATGTCTCAGCGGGTCTTTTGGCCATTGTGTACGTTGTCTGATAAGCCGGAAATTGATATTGTTTGGAGAAAAAGTTATCGAAGATGATGTCGGAATATTGTTTGCTGGGCGCTCTGGTGATGGATGCAAACAGAGCAAACATATCCAAACTATCAAACGAAATCAACATGGGACAACATGCCCGTTATAATTTTACGGATATGATACACACGAACAACTTAAAACTAATGGACCATGATGGTGGCCAAAAGCCATTCCAAAGCAGAAGTCATTAAAAGAATTGTTATGATACATCATCGCCATCCCAAGAAAAGTCAACAGACAGTCTATGCGCTCACAGCTTGTTTACTGTTATCAAACGGTACTTCTTCGATTCCATCTTTCCTCACTACTTTCACCAATACCTATAAAGAAAGTTAAGGTCAGCGTAAGCCCATCTGGCTTGCGCAGGACGCGACAAGGAGGGATAACAATAACATGGACATACTCCTTTGAAGTCAATTGGTAACCTCCGCTTTAATTCATCTGTGCACATCTCGAGAAGCATCAAGCCTTGTTCTAATGTGATATCTGGGTGGTGGTGCTTATCGAGGATCGATAGGCAGTAGTATCTAATGTACTGTTAGATAGTATCCTAGAGCAAGAATGCACCGTCTTCAATCGCTTCGCCATCAGCAGCAAGTTCGGAGATAGACGTACTGGGCATAGCCATGTGCAGCATACGGTACCGGAGCGAGCGCCGCCAGGTAATCGAGCCAGTAAAGACTGGGTTTTTCCGTGATGGGATCCACACCGCCCAGCAGGAGGTTTACAGTGTAGGGTCGTCTTGATCGTAGACTACGGGCAAGCTCCCCTCGTACGAAGCTTGCCACAGCGGATGGACTGAGTTCAGCTTCATTTCTCATGGAGTACAGTTGGACATTTGCTTGGATGTATTCGGCGAATTGGACTATATGTGGCAGACAATTAGATAAATAACCCCCTTCTCGTGAAGATGAGCAGAACTGATGTACCGGTGTCCCCAGCTTCTCCCGAAAATGCCATGATAGTATGTTTGCTCAGCTCCCTGGTCTTATCATCAGAAGCTTTAAGAATGGTGGCCCCTCTCATAGCAGCTTTAGAGGCCGCGATGAGAGTAAAGTCCTTGCCAGTAATTCCAAGTAGAACCTCCCTAGGTATAGGTTAGCCATGCAAATTAGCTGAGTCGATGTCCGTTGAGAGTGAACCCACATGATGCTGCGATAACCTCTGTCGTGTTCAGCAAATGAAGAAAACAAGTCCAAGGCCCACGGAATGGGCAAATGTCTACTATGCCGTTCTGTTCTATTGTCTGGGTATCTGGGTATCAGGGTATCTGATGTTCTGTGAACTTACGAGGTGAAGCTTAGACTGGAGACACGCGTGAGCTTGGGGCCTTGACCATACCAGATCAGGAAAGGTTGGGCCAGTACAGATGCAAACAGCGCAAACTGTGCTGTGGAAAAAAGTTTCCAAAAATTTATGTCGGTTAACTAGTTCGAATAGCGGTGTTTTAAGGTATCCGCAACAGCTCCTCATTCGATTTCCTAGCCCTGTAACTATTCGACAGGGCAGTATATAGGAGCCAGGCTTTTGCCATGTCCTCTTTCTTTACGCTGCCGGCATCCCAACGCAAGCGGAAGAGAGATGATGGTGTTGCTGCTCCTGCCTCAAAGAAGAGGGGAGCGTTAGCAAAAAGTGGCGGGAAGGGTACGCAAGATGCTGGCCGGCGAGACACGAGAAACCAGAGAGATGAGTCGATATCTGGAAGCGAGTCTGATGGTGATGACTTGCCCCAAAGTGAAATCTCAATTGAGGAGGAGGGTTCAGAGGAAGAGTCAGAAAACGAACCTGCCGCAGATCGGAGGTTGAGACTCGCGGAGAGATATCTGGAAAATATAAGAGAGGAGGTTGATGAGATTGGCTTTGACGCTGCTGAAATTGACCGGGACTTGATTGCGGAGAGACTAAAAGAGGATGTGGTATGTTTTAAAGTTATCAGTAGCAGAACAAACTATCTACTCAATATCTGCCAGTTGCTCATACTTTCAATTGGTGTAGGATGAATCGAAGGGCCGGATATATCGACAAATCAGCTCTCAGTTATCTCTTTCCACAGCGTCACATTCCTTTTTCCGTGCAGATACGCAAAGTACCACTGCGATTGCGGTACATTCACCTTTCGTCTATACAGTTTCCAAAGACAAGACCCTCATAAAATGGGAGCTAGCGACCCCATACCCTAACCCCCCAACAGAGCAAAACGCTCAGATAAAAAACGGAGAACCAACGAGAACCAAGCGGCCTCAACGGAAAAAACCAAAGAAGATCAAATCCGTTCGGGGGCTACAGCAAACCGACGAAGGGGGTGAGCCTCAGGGCCACATCGGAAATATCCTCACAGTGGCCGTGTCTCCCTCAGGCGACTTTGTAGCAACTGGAGGCACAGACCGACGCATAGTCATATGGGACTCGGCGACACTCACCCCTCTGAAAACCTTCAATCAACACCGCGACTCCGTGAGCGGGCTATCATTCACGCGACGAATCTCCTCATCTAGCTCCGGCGAACAACTTTTCTCCTCCTCCTTCGATCGCACCATAAAAACATGGTCGCTCAGCCCTGGCGCGCATGCCTACGTAGAAACCCTATTCGGTCACCAGGACCACGTCATTGCCGTTGACTCCATGGCGCTAGACCAGTGTGTCAGCGTTGGTGCCCGCGACCGCACCGCACGGTTATGGAAGGTTGTTGACGAAACACAACTCGTCTTCCGGGGTGGCAACTCAAAGGGCAGCTCGTATGTTGAGGGTTCAATTGATTGCGTGGCGGTATTGCCGCCTGCACATTTTGTCACCGGCTCAGACTCGGGAGCCATCTCGCTCTGGTCGATATATAAGAAGAAGCCACTCTACACGATCCATCAGGCCCACGGGGTCGACCCTGTACCACCCCTCGATGAACTATCGTCTGAGTTGGACCCTGTAGTTGCAAAGAACAATACGCGGAACATGTCGCCCAACCCCCGGTGGATAACCGCTCTCACAACTCTGCCGGGAACAGATATTGTCCTAAGTGGAAGCTGGGACGGATGGATCCGCGCCTGGAAAATTTCAGAGGATAAGAGAATGATCATTCCACTAGGACGAGTCGGCTGCCCAACTCAACCACCATCACAACCCACCGTCAATGGAACAGATCTAATCAGTAACGGTAATGACAACATGGACCTTGAAGTCCCTACATCCACATCTGATGAACACGGTCCTCATCCAAATCCATTCCTAAGGGGCATTGTTAACGGAATTGACGTATTCGAACGATCAGCTCCTGACAATGCCCCAGCCAATGCTTTCAAAATGAAATCGAAGAAGGGCAAATCTAACTCCTCATCCCAAAAAGACCTAATCCAGGGGCAGGAGCAGAAAGGTATCTGCATCGTTGCCGCCATGGGAAAAGAACATCGACTTGGTCGGTGGAAGTATCCTACCGACAATGGTGAGAATGGCAAATGTGGTAATGGAACTGGGCTGGGGGGAAGGAATGGGGCAGTGGTGTTCGAGGTGCCTTTTTTGCGGAGAAGGGAGGATGAGGGCGCCTGAAATAGAGGCAAAGGCGTCGGTTGTTGTTTGTCAGTTTGAATAGAGTATGTAAAGGGGTATTGAAGTAGGATCTTCGAACGAATGAAGGCTAGGCTTACCATCATGTTTTTAGTGATGTCCTTGTACATGTAGTTACAACCGCGTGGGCGTTATCTTTATTTTTCTTTTGTTTCTTTTCCGAAAAATGGTTTCTGCAATGTTGTTGCCAGTGCGTGTACGGTACAAATAGACGTTCGCGCATAAAATATCAAAAATACCCCTCGCTTCACTTATTGTCATATGCTGTTTTCTCTTGAGGTTTCCATTCCTATTTCTCTATTTCTATCTTTACTCCTATTCGTCATACAGACGGTTCTTCCTATGACTTGAGTTCAATGACTGTACCAAATCCCATTAAAATAATTGGATTGGGTCCATTGGAAATCCAGTTATATCCTCTCCAGTACAAGGAAAAAGGGGCAAAACAATCTCGGATAGCAAGATCAAATAGCTATCCTAACTATCATTAAAAACATATATCAATAAAATATACGGGACAACTTAATGAGTTGCCAAAAGGAAAAGAAGAAAAAAAAAGAAAAGAAAAAATTCCGATATCTATACCAATTCCTGGCTTTCTTGGACTCCTTGCTAAACCTGAATAGCACTTGTTGTACGTTTTGTAGGGCTGTAATAAGTATGCTCCGGAAACGCCCACTACATCCCAGACACCTCATTATTGTCTTTTGGTAACCTAGACCTTTTTGCATAAATCAAACGCTTTTTAGTGCTTCCAATTGAGAAGAAACGACGGCGCCAATACTTTGAAAAAAAAAAAAAAATAAAAAAAAGGGAAATGTAATAGAATAGGATAGGGGCATGGGGAAATGGGATGTTTAGGTAATTATATGTAGATATTAAAAAGACAGCAATCTGGTGTGAGGAAGGGAAATCAGTCGGAAAATTGGCGGGTTGTAAAATGATGTCACAAGAGAGGCATTCTATAGAAAACAACAATTATGTGTGCAAGAAAAAGTAAAGGCACCCTGGGATATTGAATTGCCTGGTGAGAGAAGGTCGTTGTGTTGAGGATTCATTTAACTCCTGGGAGGATTGACGAGGAGTTCATGGGAAGTAGTTGGCGCTTGTGGTCGACATATTACTGGCTTAAGAGGGGAGGATGTCGTAAAGTATAGTGCTGATGGACCAGAGAGGTTAGAACGGTCAAGGAATAAAGGAGTAGAACTTGTCCATGCCATCATTTGAATTGCAAAGAGTATATTGCAGTGAAATCATGACACGACAATACCAGCTCGAAAATATCGCAAGTATGGCGGCCTACCCAATGGGCTTTTCTCTGTAGAGGATAGAGCTCGCAGGTACATCGACCCAGCGAACGAGAGCAAAGAGTTTGGTTGAGTCACAGGTATCCCGCTTCCCCGTTACTTGGAGGGGCGCATATGATTAATTATATCCTTTACCCGGCTAGAGTATAAAGATATGCCAGGCAAGGGCAGTAAAATGGTTGCGAGTAGAGAGGCTCAGTTAGAAATCTCCGGGGCCCGGCCTTGGTGACGACCTCGGCGCTGGCTTGGTCGTATCCGGCCTGGCCGTGAGCCTCTCCTTCTGCTGCTTATGGGGGCGACAGGAACGTCGGAATCATCATCGAGAGGTTCTGGGCTATGCACGTTTGAGCCCGACGCGCGAACACGATCCAATGCATTTGAAAAGGAAAAACCTTCTTCACAACGCTCGTCATCATCGCTATCACTAACTGACGTCCTTGCGCTAGCGTTTGTTTCGCGGTATCGGAGACGAGTAGGATGATCGATAGAAGCGGACGATATCTCGCAGCGTCGCTGAACCGCCCTCGTTGGCGCTCGTACAGGATCATCGTCATCATCATCACCATCGTCACCATCATCTATCATCCCCTCTGTTTCCCCATCATCAACATCATCATTATTGCCATAATCATGATCTTCGTCATCGTCATCATCACCATCACCAAAAGTTGTTGTTTGCCGGATACGAGACCGAAGAGCTCTAGACCCTACATGCACTTCTAGGTCGCTCTCAGAGTCCGATACGATGGTAGTTGCGCCAACAACAGTTGAGTGATCTGTTTCTATGCCTTCGTCTATTGTGCCATCATCAATAAAGTCAGACATCTCCGAATCATGTAAATCTTCATCCTCGCTGTGATCGGTGCTCCTATGCATTACGGATGATCCGTCGCTTATCTGACGAAATCCGGGATGGTGATGGTGATGGTAGTACATGTGATATTGTAACTCAGGGTCAAGTTCGTTCCATGCTATACCATCCGTATCGACTGATGAAAATCCATCCTCGACATCATCGATTTCATCTGTCATTGAAATAGAGTCATCGTCATCGGAAATATCACTGTCCGAAAGCCCATCCACCATATACCCACAATGTAAACATCCCCCGTCTTCGAGCTCCCAGGCACAATGAGGACACCTAGTAACACCATCTGCGATATCGTTGATCGGCTCATTCAAGGGTAGAGGACATTTGAAGCAGCCTTGAAATAGGCCGCCATTTACTGGGTCGGTACTCGACTTGTCCGATTCCATTTTCTCGGTCTCCGCGCGTTTGTTCAAGAGATGTTCCTTTGTGGTTCCATCGTTTTCAAGCAGTTCCGCTCGGGTGATAAATGTGTGGACAATTTCACGGATCTAGTAAAGGGTACCGTTAGATAAGGAACTGGGAGGGAATGATAAACCGATTGGGCCCTACCAGATAGGCTGGAGCAGGTTGGGCTGAGACAGAAGCTCGACAGTCTGGACAAGTTTTTTTCCGTTGGTGGCTCACAAACCATTGTGTCAGACACTGCAGCGGGTTAGCTAGATATTCCATAGGATAGGCAGGAGATTTGCTCACACTGTAACAAAATGTATGGCCGCATGCTAGGGTGAATGGTTCGTAAAGCAGTTTGACACAAACTCCGCAGTATATCAGAGCTCTTATATCACCAACATGACCTTGCACGGTTCGAAGAAGCTTAAACAGGATTATATTGTTAGTCATGATAGTAAATGATCCTGTGAGTCTATTTCACTCACTCCTGATGTGTCAGTCGTGAGCGAGGAGCCAGGATTCGTAGATGCGGCACCGAGGCCAATGGTTGATGGGGCTGACATCACGCCTCTATTACGTTCCCGGTGCCCGTTTGGTAGACCAACACACGGGTATGGATTAGGTATTGAGCAGCAAGAGGATTATCTTTGGCGTTGGATTGGTAGGCACTCAAAGTTTTGCGTCCATGGGTTGACGGACAAGGTTCTGCGAGACAACAAAAGTTTGAGGGCGTAATACCTTTGTGCCCCTAGAAAGACAGTGGACATGTCAGAAGAAGATGCTAACCAGCGTTGAACCGTGCCAACAGCGGCCCGATTAAAATTATATTTCTCATGAGAATGTAGTGAGCCGGAGGACGTCACCGCGTCTTCGTGGGGTGATATGCACTGCCTTATATAAGCTCCACACGTGACTCCACCTCCTGCTTTGGGTTTCCAGCAAGAGGACCGCGTCCGTCCTCAACCTCTTCTTCATTCTTCTTCATTCTGCGTAGAATCGTGACTGGGATTTCTATCCCTGCCATTTATCGAATGCAGTCTCGAATTCCATACAATATGCGAGTCGTACCGACACCGTTACTTTATCGCTCTTTATATTATTGCCTGTAGATAGCCCTTCCACGGCTGTCTACGGTGGTAACGCTCTACCTAACCCTAGGGCAGTTTAATATTGGAAAGGCATTCACAGAAACAAATTTTCGACTTGCCTTGTTCTAGTCAACAATACGTCATATATTGTGGGGACAATCGAGAAAAGCGCAGCTTGCTGCAGCCTGAAAACTTGGACCAAATCCAGTCGTCCAAACCTGTCGCCAATTCCAAGGTTTGGATATTTTTACCCGATTTGAAATGCTTGCCATTATTGTTATTTGGGGGTTAAATACCGTGGGATTCCCCAGTTTCTACCCCCCCCAAACAAAAAAGACATCCCGTTGAACTGATATTCACGCCAGCAATCAGGGGGGCTGGTATCAACATCCGAAATAGACAGAACATACGTCTCCCACGAGAGAAGATATATTGGTTTGATTTCAGAAACTCCCTGTTGTCGTGGTTTTGTTTAAGCTCGTAGGCTTACATTTGATATAGTTTCGCCAAACCGTCTTCGCGCTATCTTTTCTGTTGTCGACTGGTGAGAACGTCCTTTCAGATAGCAATGAGGCTGGCTTGGTGGTGTCGATATTTTTTTTCTTTTTTTTTTTTTTTTTTTCGATATTGAAGCATATATAACGGAGAATTATTCGCAGATTCTTCAATTGCTGCAAGAAATATTGCCTACAACCTCCATATGAGATGTGGAATGAAATTGAATTACGACTGAAATATATACCATTCTTGAATCTATGCACTTTATTTTTGCTTTAATATTCTGCCATTTTATTCATTTTTATTATACTCTTATCGTCAGATATAATATTTTGTCCTTTATTCGTTCATGTTAATTGTGTTTATTTCCATGAATCCCTACGCGACTACAACCGTCTCGAATATTTCTGATGAATGATCCGACGTCCCCCTGACGCAACTTTTGTTCCAACACCGAAAAACAAAGATTCAATTTAGGATCCCAGGAATCACTATATAAATTATAATTAACATCTGGACCAATTTTGGAACTGGAAAACTCGAAGCAACAATTTTATCTAAATGCTCCCCAATGCGACACAATACTTTCTGGAATAGTGAACGAAAACAATATTCAGCTATCCCTAAATTTAATATGCACAACAAATGCCACTCATGGATATGATCTTCGACAAGTAATTACGCTCGTTTTCATGACCGAAATCATTGGATCTTCGTGTCAGGATCCTTGCCAATGCACCTTTCAACCTACAGGCCGTTAACGCCAGCTCGTTTCTTATGACGCTCTTTAAGCTCTTCAGAGATCAGATGGCTATCGTCTGTAAAGCCCTTCGTCACCAGTGCGTCTTCAACAATTTCTTTGTTCATGTGAGCTAAAAATTTCTCTTGCTCAGCCAGGAATTTCTTCATCCCTTTGGTGTCGAAGTTTCGTCTGGCTTTTTTCCGGTCGCGGATTTCTTTAAGCTGCATCCGTACCCGTTCCTCAAGCATCTCAAGCCTGTATTCGGAGAACTGGAAGTAGAGCTCTGACAAGTCGGATATGGCTCGAACCGTTGTCAAAACGGTGTCATCTGGCAAGGCTGGCGAGCGCGGGCGGAACGATGTTACCATCGTGATTCTCTCTGTCCCGCCCACAGCACGCAGTGCTTGATGTTCGATGTATCGTCCTTGAAGAACAACAGCACATCCCTATTCACTTACAATTAGTATCCGTGTGAACACGACGTCTTTGCTGCTGAGAAACAGGGAAGTGGGCATACCATTTCCGGGCCTCTGACTTTCACAATCGATCCGTCTCCCTTGCGCAATGCTGTTTCACCGCCCACCATGTTCGTGCAGTCGCTGAGCATGGTAACACAGACAAATGGATAGCTATCTGTATGCCAATCGACGATTGGTTCATCATCCTCAGCGGAATTGAGAGTTTGACCTTTATCGACCTGGGATGGAACAGAAATGTTGACATGGCCTATTTCCCAGTCCATTTCAGGGACAAGGTCAATGCCAGCAATATTCGAAATGATTTTCAGTACTTCCGGGCTCTTCCAGGCGTCATAAACGAATGGAGCACATCTTCGTTCATCGTGTTAATCTAGTGCAAGTTGGACATGCGAAAAGGGGTAGAACTTACTCAGCAGCATACCCGCGCAGTTGACACTGTGCCAGATTACTGGAGAAGCGATAGCGTTCCCAAACTTTGTCACTGAGGATCTCCTTTCGCATTTGGTAAATCGCATCACGAGAGAAGAGCGAGAATGGCTCGGAAACCCCGATCGGGGAGACACCAACGTCATCACTAAAGCCCAGCTCCTTCATGGAGTGAACCCTTGGCGGAGGTGTGTACTGAATATGTATTTGGGCATCAAACCGGACCGGTTCCTCAGCTTGGGAAGCCGTTGCTGTGTCATGGGTGGTTTGCAATGCGTCGCCTTCGTCATTGTAACTGGAAGAGGGTATGTGGTCTGGGACTATGGGGAAGGAAGTGTTTGGGGAGAGGATATCTGCTGTCGCCATCGTGCTGTTCTTTGTTGTGTGGTGAGTGTTTGCCCCTTGACACAGCTTCTATGTAATTTGTGACCAAGTCTGCTGGGGTACTACGGTAGTCCATCATGGTCATAACGGTGATGGATGACGATAGACAGCAGGAAGCGCAACTCGACATCTTTCAGGCACGAAAAGAGAAACTCTTAACGTTTCCCTTCATCGAACTTCTACGAAGGGTAGCAAAAACTCACTCTCTGTTTTGCTGCTATCACCACTTGGGAATATTGTGCAAGGGAGTAAATATCAGAGGGAAGAAGACAGAAGAGGAACTTTCAAAGCTTTGTGAAAATGGCTGTACGAAAAAATATTTTTTAAGGATTCAAGGTAATGAATGATACGTTGCTTGAACAAAAAATGCCTCAGAACTGACTTGAAACAGGGTTTTGGGGGGACGAAGGGGATATTTATAGTTGGGGGTGGCCAATGCACTTTCCAGCACAGAATCTACCTAGGAACGAAGGTCGGGCAATGACCGCCATTTCTTCATGCTTGCAACAGCGAAATCTGCAGAGATCTATTCTACGAGGGGTATACATTTCCACGCGGCGGGTTCTTGCACTATCAAGATCGGGGTTGACAGAATGATCTTGAGAATGTGTGACCCAGCGAAAAAAGCGCGAAGTTCCGGTCCTGAGCAAGGTTGTCAGCATATCAAACAAACCACATCAATAGCTCATGACATGATGTAGCAAGTGGATCTCTCCGCCACCTCCTGCGTCTCGAGCCTGAGATGGAAATTGTTGCTTTGTTTGGTTTGGCACGGAGTTATGAATCACAGTTGACACTGTCTGGGCAGCAACGAGCTGGGTCGCTGGAAGGGTCCAGACCGCGGTCTCTAGGCGGGTTTGCTATTGCCAGGATGGTCTAAGTCACGCATTTACACTTAAAACCACGCTCAGCATACCCTTCCATGTCCGGAGGATTATACCAGCTGATGATGACCTCTACAATCGGCGTGCGGTGAGCGATTGATTACTCGACACATGGTCACTTATGATCACCCAGCACTCATCCGCCAAACGTTTTAGATCATAAACGGGATGGATCTAATATTCGTTATTGCAAAGAGGAAATGATTCAAGGTTGCAAGATGAGACGGCTATTTCGGTTCGTCAAGAAATTATGCTTTTTGGGTTGTCTGGATATGATGAGCAAAGTTGGCAGGAATTACGAAAGCAGTGACGGCAAACATGGTCTATATGCCGATGTGCTACTTTATCACGTAGATCATGAAAGTTGATGGCGGAAAATGGAGAAAGCGAATGTTTCGGCAGGGAGAGGGCGAATGATATAATCATGTAAAATCCAAAAAAAAAAAAAAAAAAATCAAATAAACAGCGGAGAGGGGTAGTTTTCTACTGCGGAACGCAGAAAGCATAATGGTCCCGACTCATGGAGGCACTTTCGTCTGTTCCATGTTGTTATTTGCTTTTTTTACTTTTCCCCACCACGTAAACTAACGCTTCCCAATCGAAACCGGGACCAACGAGAGCTTGATGGAAATTTTGACTCGATTGGGGGATTGGGGCGGTTATGGCTTGGGCCGTGAACTCTCTCCATCCCATATTTGCCTGGAACTTGGCTGCTCTGGCGGGCCACCGGGGCGAGACATCATTCCCACTAGTTACAACCTCACGATAACTGAAACTTTAAGCTATCAATCAGTCAGTAGGTTGAAACGGCGAGCCCAAGAACCAGTGTGCCATTTTGGATAATAATAAAACGAAAATAAATCTCAACTCAATTATGGTAACTTATATGTATCCAGCCATCTAATAGATCATACTCTTCCGGATTTCGAGATGTATTGGAACATAACAAAGCGTCCTTGCACAGGCTACCTAGAATTTATAAAATGATTAGTTACCAGTGGACAAGTCCCCTAAAAGAGCGGCTTGAGGCCTAAAGCTTAGCTGTCAAGTTAGGCATCAGGAGCCCCCCCAACGAGTCCCACTCCTCTCTTTATTGAGAATACTATATTGTCATTAATAGGGCTACTTTTTTTAATGAAATTTAACAGCGATTATGGAGCTACATGGTTGGCTTTAAAAAATTCGCGTTTATATATAAAAAAGTCTAAATCTTAAGCAAGTTATTTGAATGTTAGCATTGCTTGTCTCATAGAGGGCTAAAAAATACAGCTAGTAATTCAAATATATCTGTAATAGCGGTCAAATTTTCTAGGAGGTTATATATTAGTTAGTTACAAATTAATTAACTTTAATTAACTATAATTAAAATTGGTTGATAAACTGGAGGTTTACCCCTTTCTCTGGGGAAAAGGTTGAAGAACCGACCTGAAACTAAGGGGTAACTTAAGATAACTAACTGCTTTGCGTATGAGCAGTCAATCGTTCTTCAACTGCGTCAAGAAATACTAGCAAGCCCGAGGATATCAGGCTTCTCAAGATAACATCATGGTTATCAAAATTTTCAAGTTCCTCTGGTCTACAATCCACAATATTTGTATTGTGCACGGCATGGTGATAGAAGTCTACATATACTCACCATGTAGCAGTGGTTGATTCCTTCCCTCAAGCTCGCCGTAATGGCGGATACGCATGGAGGTTACTCCTACCTGTGGAGGTCGCAGGAAACCTAGCTGAAGAATAATTGTTCTGCCTTGTGTCTTCCGAAGGTGTTGGAGCAAGTCTGTGCTTCTTGCTCTGTGTTGCGGGGCAAAGGATCAGTGACGGATTGTCATTCCCCATGCCGATGGGAGTTCAAATGTCATCTTAAGGCCTTGCCTTAAAATACTGCAGCGTGTCCAGATTCCTCCCTAAGGCCGCAGGGGCTTTTGAGGTTAACCTCATGTTAACTAACGGAACTCCTGGGCAGGTGCTTCCCTACACTATTATGTTCTTCATGCAGGGAATCCTGCCATTATAGCTGAGTATACAGACTCTTCGCTATCGCTGAACTTGCCTACATTTTCTATGGAATTCCACCGAAAGTGCCATTTCGCTTGCATCCCGAATCTCGATTGTTCTGGTAGGATTGGATGGTCAAACAAATATCAACTTATTCCCCTTCAAAGTCGACGCTGTTTGCCTCTCATCGGGAAAACAAGCACAATCTATGGAACCCGCGTCTTTTGATGCCTTCTTGATAATAGTTAAGCCATTCACTCAACTCTTGGTTCATCTCGCCCTCAGCTGGCCTTTTGTTTATGGACTCAGGCCTGCTCCCCTTTCTTACCTACATTTTATGCCGCTTTTATATTTCAAACATCACCTTCAAAGCCCATAGCGGCTGAAGAAACTCCATAACTATCCAACCTCGCACTGTTATTGGCCGTCTTACCATCTTATGCTTCCTACAACAAACCCCCTTCCTCCGAAATAAAGATGTTGCATGGCAGTGAAATGGACAATCCCATACCGACATCCATCTTCAAAGAACAAGAGCTAGACGATAGTCATCATGGCACAGCTTACAAGGTCGAATTCATCGTCGAGCCACCAGAGGAGATTCGTGAAAATGATCTCTTCCAACGTCCCATGATTGTCAGGGTGCGGAACTTGGAGGATGGAATGTCGTGGTGCCCGGTGGAGGCCCAGATCCATGTCAAAGTATTCCATGCGACAGGTTCTGACCGCTTCGAGGTATGCAGAAGGGCTGGGAGACATGACAAGGGAGGCGTGTACACGCCCGGGCGCTCGATCAATGGCCTGACCTCCCATTTTATGACGGTACCTCTAGCTACCCAAGACGAGACCTTTGAAGTTCCCTTTGGCCGTTTTCACAAGGAGGGTCGGTACGTCATCTATGTCATTTTGGCGCTGGCTCCCACGGATACATCGCCAAGGACGACGCGAGAGGCATGGGCCAAGTCTAAAACCCCGATTACGGTGAAGAGATGAGGCAGGTATCAACATTTAGGTAGCGAGGTGTGCTTCTCTGGCTCATAAGCTTGCCAAATGCGTATTTCTGCAAGGGGAATCAATAACTAATTAGTTAACTAGAGGGTTGAAACATTATGTAATAAAAATGAGTCGTCGCTTGGGGTGTGGAAGGAAGAGTGTGCTGTCTGAAAGCGTTTACTGATGAGAGGGAATCGGGGTACAGTGACGTAGAGGACGTGATTTCTTTTAGGATTTCTTTCATGCTTGTTTTTGATAGTTAGTGCCCTAGCTGCTGGTCTTTCGTTTGGCTGATTGCTTGTCTGGGATTTGAGCAACCGTCATTTTCCTGTTCGTTCCCAGTTTGAATGCATAACAAGTCTTCCTCCAGAAGCAATAGCAATCTCCATCTATCTCCCTTTCCCTTCCCTTTTTTTTTTTTTTAATATATATATATATATATATTTGGCACGTTGAAGAAATGTGCTGGAACACACCCAGTTGTAATAATTTATTACCTTGTTAGCCGTTAGCCGCTTCCTAGCCGAAGGCCAGCCAATTAAACGCGGACCTAGTCCTAGTGTATAATAGTAGCCGCCAGGGCGCGGCAAAGCGGCTGCCATCGAAGTTTCACGATCCGAACTTGACCCTCGTTTGTATTCCGTATGGTCCTCGCTTCCATCCAAGACAGCCAGAGACTGGGCAATTCCTGCACAAGATGAGCGCGAACAAAGTGAGCGAGGAATCCCTGAGTTCCTGGGACAAAGCTAAGCCAGCATTCACGCAGTAAGCCCCCTCCCTCCCTGCTGCTTCAGGTGTGTTCAGGTGCTGGAATGGGCGGGATTCAAACAACACTACGAGTCACGCCATTTGCATTGGCTACGTCTCAATGTTACGAGCATCTTTTTCTTTCTTCTTTTGAGGGATTGTCGGAGACTAATTGCCAGCCACTAACCCGGCCTTTTTTTTTTTTTTTCATGTTTGGGTATTATAGCAAACCGGCAAGCGGATTCTACGACCCGTGTCAGGACTTTGCGGATCGAAGCATCAAATGCATGCGGCGCAATGGGAACGATAAGACGATGTGCAGTGATTATTTCCAGTGAGCAAAATTTCCCCATGAACTTGGTCATCATATATTATGCCCCCAAGAAGCTGCTATGGTAACCACGAGAGCAAGAAATCGATTTTGCGATTGAGTATCTTTTTTTCTCTTTCCATCATTGATGTTGCTGGATGGCGCGCTTACTGGTATAATTTCGGTATACTAGGGCATATCGTGATTGCAAAAAGGAATGGGTATGTCAACTTTTACACGTCTCGCGTCTTATTCGAGGTTGGGGACTAGCAGCTTTCGCAATCCCTAGCTGTCGGCTGGAGATACATTGGGAACAGTGACATTGTTTCTGGTCCCTCCTGCGGATCATCCGTGACTGTTTAGACATTCAGGTCCAGTTGTCTTAACTTTTTGGGTTGTTGAACTAATATACATGGTAATGTTACAGATGACCCAGCGGAAAAAGAGCACCTAGAACCTCTCCACATTCCCACGACCTGTGCTCCAATATAGCGAGGAGAGGAAACCGGTTTTAGAAAATAAAATGGAAGAAAGAATGAAGCGACACTCCGGGGAAAGGTGGGGGATGTCAAGAAAAAGCTGTCGAGATACTGGACTCCTCGCGGAACGAAAATTGCAATGAATCACGATACACACTTAGAATTACGCCCACAGCATAAATAATGAGCATGGCGTGAAAGTGAAACAAATATTTCACTTTTAATGGAAAAAAGATAATATCACCATATAGACAAATTTTTGGACGATGGACTCTAGGGTTGAAGATGTGGGCAATTGCACATGCAAGACGAGTCCTAGCAAGCTCGGGTTCATCAAAGTAGCAGACTTGGATGTACAGCTCTTTCATAGAAGAACTCGTTTTGTTGTTTTTGGAGCTCTAGCTGGGATAAATTGGGGTCATACGAATAAGCAATCCATCCTTCCTTCGACGTGTTGCGAAGTTCCTCGCACCCCGTCCTAAGACCTAATTTAAATATACCCTCCTGTTCGACCCGTCAGTCCTAAGTGTCATCTTTCGATGGATGGCTTCTCGCAACAACTTCTAAATTAACGGCTTTCCATTCAGTGTCAAACGATAGCTGATTGTTTGGTTCGCTCAGGGGCTTAGCTTCTTTGACTCTATTCATCATTCCTGGACCCTTCTAGTACCCTCCACTTTTACAATATTCAGAAAATTTACACGCTCTACCATGATGGTCACCATTTCTGGAGTGTATAAAAAGAACGCATTTTCGCACTTTTGAAGATGGCGACGGCATTGGAAATTACCAAGCTTCGTCCTCATCTTCTTCACTAGACTCGCCAGACTCCACCTTGTCGCTCTTCGTGCTTTTGCTTTTCAACTTTGCGAGCTCTAGCTTCAACTTTAAGCGCTCAATGTCATCTTCTGAGGATTCGTCGTCTTCCCCATAGTCGTAGCCTCGACCCTGCGGTAATCCAGAGTTGCGTCTGTTGATACCACGACGAGACGGTGGTGGGTTCCTCTTGGAACGGCCACCTTGCATTGACTGCTTTCCGGAAGGTGATTCGTAATTGTCCTTGCGAACTTCCTCTCGCGCGGCCAGGATCCCGTACGTGTCGTCCTCCTGGATCCCATGGATGTTACTAATATAGTCGTCAAAATGGGCGCTGGTCTGTGCTATGCGCATGAAATGCGACGCCTTGACTAATGGCCGTTTAAGCTTGGCGCTCTTTTTCCCTTCACGGAAGTCCCAATTTGCAAGAGCTAACGCGGTCTGAAAAGCATTTTTGATTTGTCGACCGTTCCAGCGGCGGGAGGGTTTATACTTATTCTCCTGCCAGTGCTTATTAGCGAAACGCCTAATCTTTTCATCTTCGACATCGATATCGCGGCCGTTCTTCATGATGTGCCCAAGATTTCTCTCCCAGATTTCTTTTGTTGAAATTTCGTCCAGTTTTGGGTAATAGAGACTCATATGAATGCGGGACCTGAAGGCTTCGTCGAATTCGCCAACGCGATTTGTTGTCAGAATGATGACCCCAGAGTAATACTCTAGAACCCGGAGGAAGACTATATAACGATTAGTGCCCATCCTGTTGCCGTCAATAAATTCCCCCATGTGGAAACATACCGGAAACAAGACTGTTGCGTATTATATCCCCTTTTTCTCTTTTCGCGAGGAAAACATCCGCCTCGTCGAGCAACAATACACACCTCCACCTGTGGGCCAAAACACAAAACGATTCGAGAGTCGCCTCTGCAGTCTGGGCAGTAGTACCAATATCTCCGCAGGTGATAGGTAACAATGGCCGTTTTAACTGGGCGGCTACACACTCAGCCGTAGATGTTTTGCCAACTCCAGGGGCGCCATGCAAAAGGATGATAAGCCCTTTGCCTTTACCCGGAACAGCGTCCATGGAAAACGGCCCGTTTGTCCCATCGGGATTGACCGATTCTTTCTTGGGCTGTTCGACCTGGTTTTTAATTAACGCTTGAAGTAGCATTCGGTGGCCCTCTGGTAGAACTAGATCCTCAAACCTCGCCCGTTGGACCTCTTCCCCCGTTGCTGGTAAATCTTCGACCTTATTGATATCAAGAGGAAGCCACTTATGATCAAGGAGACCGTATCCGTAAGCTCGATAAGGAAAAAGCATCAGATTGTCATTCGGAATGGGTTTCTGCTGTAATGTTCGGAAGCCTAGAAGGTCGGTGGTTCGGCGGAATTCATTTTGACGATCTTCTTCGAATTTGGAGTCGTCAAAGACGTCTGTAACCCAATCACCGTCCTCTTGATCAGGAAGCGGATCGAACGTCTCCCTCCTGTCCTGTGGAGTTGCTCTAGCAATGGCGCCAGACCCAAATTTCAAGCTTCTCCCAAACCGGTACACCTTTTGTTTAAAGTGCTCAACCCCCGCTGCTTGGTCTACCACTATTTCGCTATGCAACTATTATTTTATTATTATCGTGTCAATATCTGGCTTTTGCGAGTTTAAAATGTAGAAAGAGACGGTACTAACCTCGGTTTCTTTTATCATCCAATTGTTGTACCCTTTGGTGGTTTGGTTGCCCTCCTGGACTGTAGCTCCTGAGTACTTTTTATGGGTCCCGGGGACTAGTTCCGCAAAACGCCGCCCTCTTTGAATGAGCGACCGCTCTATATGTTCGCTTTCTGGCCCAGGAAGCAGCGGAAAAGGTACCAGTGATCTGATAGGCTTCGTGCCTTTGAAAGGTGGAATGGCAAATCTTTTCGATCGGGGCCCAAATTTGGTCCCATCGAAGTCGATATAGAAAGCGTCAACGATAAAACAAGTCGTGTCCATGCCGGAACATTTGATAGCGTCACGGCACTTCTCTTCGTTTTCCGAATCTGAATCCCCGATATGGTCAATTATACCAACGAAGGAAGCTTTGTAGCCGCTATCGAAGTATGCCCTTCCGCCGCTGATATTCAAAACACGATAAGCCTGACGAATGCTTTGATTTTCATCCGAACTTGAACCGAGAACGACATCTCCCGGTTTAAACAATAGCCATAGGTGCTCAAAGGCAATCTCTGTGATGTCCCCGTTGGATATTCGACGTTTAACATCAAATATATCGTGCAAATCTGTATCCATGAACTCCACAAGGCAACGAAGCTCATCCCTTTCTCGTCTCGCCCGCGTAGCTGCTGTTCTAGCGTTGTTTGTCTCCTCGACTTGGGTGACAGGAACCGGGCTTTGCTGTTCTGGTTTAGTGTCCTTTTTTTCAGCTCCTTTGCTAGTTGTATTGACATCAGGAACAGGGTTCTCCTGTGTTGTTTCTCCAAGCTTAGAAGCGGCCTGGTCGTAAGACATTTCGGCATCCTTGAGGAATTGTCTGATGTCGGATTCGTACATGACGAGGTACTTGAACGGGCGGACAAATACGTTTTGCGCGGCAGTGAAGCTCTCACCAACGAACTGACTCAATACCTCTAAGAGGTAGGTTGAGTTGATGGCAAGGCGGAATGGAATATCTAATTGTTTCGGGTCATCACTACTTGGATCAGAAGTGTTCTCGGACGGTTTCTTCTCCGCCATCCTTGATAGTTTATAACCCTGTCTCCGTAGCCGAGTTCTCGCATTGGCTTTCGAGGAAACAAGAAGGACGCTTTGCTGAAGATCAATTTTACCCTCCTTCTTGATCTTTCGCCAATCTCCTGGTGAAACCCGCTTGATAGCAATTTCTTGAAGATCCTTTTCATCCTTTGGGTCCTTCGGTTTTGGAGCTGCAATATTCTTGGTTGAATCGTCATCACTGGCGCGGATTGGGTGTTCAGTAAACGTTTCTCCAAGGAATTGGAGAATGCTCTTACCTCTTCTTTCTGGCAAGTAGTTCCTTTTGACCATCTGCCAAGGTCTCAAGTATATGCTTCAAATCGTTGTCTACTGGAGTGGATTGACACTTGTCGCAATGCGCCTCCAATTCACTTTTAGTCCTCTCGCTTTCGGGTGTAGGAGGTGCTGCAATTCCATTTCGTTCACCATCTGCATCACTGCTCGAAACGTCTGAAGACCCTTCTAGGCCGGGATGAATGGCAGCTGACATGATCAATTGAGAGTCGGAGTATAATGTCAGAAACACAAGTAGATGATTGTTTCCTTGCTTTAATTTTGCAATAAATTGTCCAGATAATTCGAGGGATTTCTGCTCAGTTTCATAAATGTGTAGCTCTTGAAGATCCGGGTGCGGGGTCAAGTTAGCAACCTCAAGCTCATGGAGCAGACCAATTTTGGGCTGCAGGTTGTTCACTGGAGCCACGACTCCTTTGTTTCTAGCGTGGGATAAACTCGGCATATTTATCCAATTCTCAATGGTGCAACCCCCGTTTGGAATTTCAGTCCAGTCTGGCATGGAGGAATGCCGTGTTGAACGTCGCCGAGCCTTGTCGAGCCTTGTTCAGCCTTGCGGACAAAACACATCCGACAAATCTGAGGCTCCGTGGGTCAAGTTCAAGATACTGACCCCTCAATCAACCCAAATCCTGAAAAAAAAAGTGACATATTGTTTCTGAAGAACGACATTGAACTCTTTACCGATATTACATTAGCCGTGGGCTCCGGACTCCAAAATGCCATCAATTAAATTTAGAACTACAGCCAGTGAAGCAAGCAATAGTACGAATAGTCATGACGCTCCTCCTTCCCGTCGACGCCTTGGTGGGCTTGCAGACTTGTATCTGCGAAAAAGACTCACCCGTGATTCGCATCCTGCTCTGAAAGCAGTAAGAGATGATGGAGAGGCGACTAGCGATATGTTACTGGTTCCCACGGCTCCAGGAACCACCTCAGACTTATCGCTCGTTCAACAACAAAGCCAAAATGGGATAAATGAGCAGATTGAATCGGATGATGAGGGTGATGTGCTGTATGCTGCACCGTTATTCCCACATATTCTGATCGCTTTTTCTGAGCTGACCTTGCATGCAGGCAAGATCTGTACATAGATGTTGAAGCAGAAAATAAACGCTTCAAAACGGCATTGGAAGAGTACGAAAGTACAACTGCCGGATCGAAATTCCAGACAGACGTCACAACAAAATCGGTACACACGTGGGAGGAAGTTCTGCAGGCGATTAAAAATGCGTCAGATGAATACAACGACGTATCTGGATTTTGGGGGCGGATAAGAAAAGGGCTCCGTAGCTTCGGAAAAAACCACAAAGCCTTTAAAGCTTGGGCGAGCATTCTGCCGTCACAATCGCATTACTTTTCTCTGCTTTGTGCAGGTTTCAAACTCATATTAGGGGTTTGTACCGCCCTCTTTTGCCCCAGAGTGTTCTCCACTAAAACTGCTAGGCCGCGGCACGCATGCACGATCTTCGAACCGACATCAGCGACGCCTTAACGGAGATTCCACTCCTCATGTCGAGCACACATAAAGCCTTAGGTATCTTCCGAAGGTCGAATGACCTGCGTCGATCCAGCGCGGCTCTCTATACCGCTACAATAGCCGCCGTACACCACATCGTTGTGTGGTATAAGGAAAAAGCATCTAGTATGTGCTCCCGATAAAGCGCACGAACCGCTGACTATTTAGGCTTACTGGCGTTTTAGAAAAATTATTCCGCAGCATCTTCAAACAAGATACCTACGATATGGAACTGAGCGATCTCCTAAAAGCCGTTAGAGACGAAGCTAAAGAGTTTGAACGGGTTGCTCAGTTATGTTCGTATGATGCGATTATGAATGCAAGGAAATTGATCATGGACCAAGGTGACGAATCGCGCAAACACCGTGAGATCGTACTGGGCTACTTTGACCAGTCGAGAAATGAGTTTCAGGATTTCCGGGATGATTTCAAACTGGCAGCTGGAGGTGTAGATCGAGAGGTCAAACTGATAAGCAATGAGGTTTCACAGCTGCGTAGAGTCCTTGCTGGGTTTCTCAGCAGCAATGCTCGAATGGATTTCAAAATACAGGATGGTTAGTTGAATATCTAGGCAGGAATTCAGCGTCCGCTCATTTAGCTAACCTTAATTTAGTCAGAGGGCCGATGCTTCCCTTGCGCAGGGCAGTGTCGGAAGCCAATCTAGTGCAAGGTACGGGATCAGGGGGAAATGATTTCAAATATACAGGAATCAAAACTCACTTACGGCCATAGATTACCTTGATGCGAAAAATGAACTGCTATCGGACTTTGACTATGAAAGCTCCGTTGTGCGCAATGACATTGATGCCAGTCTTGAAGCCATCTGGGCGTTGCCACGATGCGATCAAGATCGGGCAGTTGCAGTCATGCAATCACCGAAGCTGCATTCCTGGATAACCGAGTCCAGTTCTTCGGCTCTCCTGGTCAATTTTAATGACCCCAAGAAGACTGCGTCGACGTCTTTCATTTCCGCAAAATTAACGCATTCGATCCAGTCAGATGTCATAGATCCGCATTATCCCAGAAATATCTTTGCCTTATTTTTTCTTTGTGCAGAGCACATACGCCCAGACGACCCCGACTATGGGGTCAGCGGAATGATGCGAAATCTGATCGGTCAACTGCTCATTGCCTACCCCGATTTTGGAATGAGCGTCATCAAGCAAATCCAACGAACAGGTCAAGACGACATCCGCAGCCTCTGTCAGATTTTCCATATGATGATCGCTCAACTGCCACCGTATGCAACGGTTTTTTGCGTCCTTGACGCGATTACCGTATACGAACAGAACGGCTTGCTTCACGAAGAAGGAGAATATGCAGTCCAAGAACTCATGTCCATCGTGCAATGGACCAAAGACCATGGTTGTGATTTCAAGATTTTGTTGACGAGTGCATGGAATAGCCATGTCTTTTATAAGTATGTACCAGATCGGCAGAAAGACATCATTTGGATACCAGCGAAGGTGCCCCCGCAGGGCGGCTTTACAAGAATGAAATGGGATTCTAGTGTTGCGTCGGGTGTTGGAATGTTGGCAGGCCCACGTCGCTGACATTGGTTGGAGAATAGGAGTTTCACTTGTTTAAATGATCAAGCTGGTGAATAGCGATGCATAAAGTGAGAGATTTGCTGTAGACAATAGCACCAACCTTTCGGGCGTTCTCATCCAAATGCATTGTATAGACAAAGCTTGAGTATAGTCTAAGTTCTGATGAGATGCGGCTTAAGAAAATACGCTAGGCTTCATTAACGTGACTCACCACCCAACGAACTCCTATTTTTTCCATGAATCCCTGCAACTCTTCAACTTCAACCACCCGCCATGCCACCCAACGAAGCAATTATAGAGCAAGCGATCGCTCAATTGAATCGACAATTGATTCCTAAATATGCTGAGGTTGCAAAGGAATTCGGAATCAATCGCATTACCTTGATGCGGCGGTTCAAAGGTCAACAGGTCTCCAGAACAGAGGCAACATCAATCTACTGTCAGAATCTCACAAATACTGAAGAACAACGCCTCCTATTTCATATTAATCTGTTATCCGATCGCTACTTCCCTGTGACACCTCAAATACTGCGCAATTTTGTATTTGAGATCACCAAAATGCAAGTAGGAATCAACTGAGTGTCTCACTTTTGTGAGCGGCATAAAGCAAAGATCAAGAGCATCTATCTTCGTGCTCTGGATCAAAAGAGAAAGCAGGCAGATAATAGCTACTATTTTGAACACTTCTTTACTCTTGTAATTGCAGTTTTTTTGCTTCTTTTCGCGTGCAATTCCATGAGCTTTTTGCTGACTTCTATTGAATAGTTGCAGGAGAAGATCAAGCAGTATAATATCCTACCCCAGAACACCTACAATTTCGATGAAAAAGGCTTTCTTCTTGGCCTCCTTCGTACCCTCAAGCGAATCGTTTCTATAGAAGCTCTCAAACGGAAGCATACAATTGGAGCAGTGCAGGATGGCAGTAGAGAATTCATTTCTCTGCTTGCCGGTATTTGTGCAGATGGAACTACAATTCCACCTGCACTCATTTACCGCGGGGAATCAAGAGATATGCAAGATACGTGGCTTGAAGATTTTGATCCTAAAAAGGATCAGGCATACTTCGCTGCTTCAGAAAATGGATGGAGTAATGATGAATATGGGTTACCCTGGCTGAAACAGGTGTTTGATCCTCATACAAAGCAAAAAGCAAGAAATCATTACTGCCTGCTTATATTAGATGGCCATTCATCTCATATAAATATGGCATTCATTGATTATGCGGATCAGAATCGAATTTTGCTTGCTATTCTTCCTCCCCACTCTACACACCGTTTACAGCCGCTAGATGTTGGAATATTTGGCCCACTTGCAAAGGCATATTCAGATCAACTAGATTCCTATACACGTTCTGGCTATGGCTTTATTCGGACTACAAAGTGAGATTTTTGGCGATTATTTCGTGCTGCATGGGAAATCTCTACAACTGCGGAAAATATCAAATCTGCCTTCATGACCACTGGCATACATCCTATAGATCCTGCCCGCGTTCTCAAAAAGATTCAACCACGTCCACTTACACCCCCGGAACTGCTTCAGCAGCGTACACCTACATCTATACGAGCTTTGCAAGGCCTGATAAAGCAGGCAAGTCAACGTCACCGCCGACTTTCAGTTGATATTAAAAAAATTCTCCGCGCTGGGGAGAATATTGCTCTGGACAGAGAGGTTCTCTTAATAGAGAATAAGAATCTTCAGACTGCTCTAAATAATGAGAGAAGGCGACGCAAACGGGGTAAGCATATGGGGTTGCTTAATCCATCAAATCCCTCACTTGCTCAATTCTTTTCTCCCACAAAGGTGCAGGCCGCGAGGGAGCAAGCAGATGCTAATGAAACTGCGAAAATCAATGATCAGGCACGCAAGGAGGATATGAAGCTTCAACGAGCGATTCTTCGTGAGCAAAAGCAGGCAGAGCTCATGGAGCGGAAGGAACAACGTGAGAAGGAACGTTTAGAAGCTGCTCAACGCCGTGAAGAGGCCAAAGCTGCAGCTGCAGCTAAACATTGTATAGAGAAGCAACGGCGAGATGAACAGAAGCTTCAACTGCAAAAAGAGAAGGAAGAACATGCTGCTAAACATCATGAAGCACAGTTGGCAAAGAAGGCACTCGCGGAGGCCTCAAAGAGGCCTACAAGAAGATCAACTGTGGGCTCAAAACACCGTAGAAGCTCTATACAACCTTCTAAAAGCGGTAATAAGTGCCGCACGCAGGCCCCCCCAGTGGAATCAAATGATATTCCTTCTCTGAAACCTTCTACGCCGCGATCCGATTCAACCGTTTCAAAACCACGAGTTTCACGTTCCGGGCAGATTATTAGGCCAAGCAATCATTCTCTGAATTAATCATATATATTTATATGATGTATTCTACATATAGTTTTAATCTTTAATAAATAATATTAATATCTTCTTGCATTGTTGTGCTACAGTTGAAAATTAACGGCTCTATAGAGCGCTTTTTGGAGTTCGTTGGGTGGATGAGTTCGTTGGGTGGTGAGTCACGTTAGGCAAGTTGCTCGGCTAGCGCGACCTTGTATCTTTCCGCGGAATTATGTAAGAAGAGTACATCGGCAATCTCCCACCAAAGCTAGCCCCGCGCCTAACTGACATCCTCCCACCTGGATTTCCTCGCACCGCAGCTCTACCCGACTGGTCTTCGCCATGTCCGCCACCGCTGTTTTCGAGCGCCGGAACAAGCAGATCCAAGATGCCATCGACGGACAGAATCTCAAACAGGCCTTGCAGCTCTGTGAAAAGCGACTAAAGAAGGGCGAGGATTCGCATTTCCTGAGGGTTAGTTTGGATATAGTATCTTTCAAGTTCATTGGTCTTGTTAAAAACACTAATACAATGTGACTATATATGTTTATATGTGATATACATAGGCGTGGAAAGCGTATATTCTTTTCAGCCATGTAGATGACGTTCATCGGCGGCGGGGCATTTCGGAGACCCTCGAGCTCTGCCGCATCGAACCCCCTGTTTCCGATATAGAAGCGCTGAATATTCTGTATACCACTCTTAAGGGCCTTGATGAGCATGTGGAAACGACGCGCGCGATATGGGAGAGGGCAGCAAAGGCGAAGCCACAAGCGCTAGATATTCAATTGAGATGGTTTAATCTAGCGTTGGAGAAGGGCGACTGGAAAACTGCACAAAAGGTCCGGAAAAAAAAAACACAATTCTCATACGCTGGGCCCCAAAGCTATCCTCTCTTCGAGTTTATTCATGTGAATCAATTATTATATATATTCGTCTATGTGTTGGAGGAACCAAACTGACATGACCCATCCCTAGGCAGCTATGAGCTTGCAAAACAACTTCCCCAAAGAGCGCAAATACTACTTCTGGGCCACATTCATGTGCTACCTCATCGCCATCGACCCTGCGAATTCAGAAATGGACCGCAAACTCTTTGGCACGCTTGCTTACCGTATGATATTAAAAGCTGCCTCGAATGTGCCAACTGACCCGGTATGAATAAACCACTCTGGATACCTGACCTCCTTTCTTCTCGAGTATAAACCTGCGAGGCTCATTCGTTTTCTTCCTTTATAGAAAGAGTTATTAAGCCCATCAAGAGCAATTCAAACCTCTGAAGAATTCTTCCTATTGATCAAGATTTTTGAAACACAAGGGCAGCACGAAGAAATTGTTTCTTTCCTTAACAGCAAGCACTTAGGCATAGAGTCCCGCATTTGCCAGAATGATTGGTCATTTGTTCGTGCGAAAATTGCAGGTCTCGAGAATGCAGAATTGTGGGAAGAAGCGCTGTCATATACACGGGAACTGCTTGCCCTTCCGGCTGACCTTGCAAATGGTACAAGAACAGCGGCAGCCCAAGAGAAAGATGATTGGCAAGTTTGGGGCCTCCTTCTCGTGGCCACTAAGAAATTGGATAATAAAGAGTACGTGCTGATCGTCCACATGAGACTTTGTTACTCACAAAATGCTGACAACAAATTTTATTTTTTGAAGTATATCACGGGAAACCCAGGAATTTATCGCTGCTTACATTAAAAGGCAACCGAAATCACGGAATGCCCAGTTAGCAGCCCTTGACTTGACAGAGCAGCTGATTGCGATCAAAGAACTATCTCCGGGAGACCTTCTCGCTAAATGCAGAGAGTATTTTGACAGCAATTGCACTAAGCTCTACTGCTTCCGCGACCTGTGCAAATATCTGATTAAACTTGATCGGTCGATGCAAGACGAATTTCAATTTCATGTTTCTCAGAAGGTTATTGCAGATCAGAGTGTGGATGATCAGAAAGAGGTGAGGACAGAATGTCCTTCCTTTTCGGCTTTCTTCTAACACCACACTAAGCCGGTTTATATTATAGGTTTCCGACCCTTCCAAAGGCGTTGCGACTATCAATGCTCTAAAATATGAATACTGTTTCCAGTTGTCATTCGAGGGTGACAAAAAGCTCTCAGTGCAGAAGGTCGAAAATTTCGTGTCTCGGTGCCTTGGTATTTACCGAAATACCGATAGATCTAACCAGCACTCAGCTCCATCTACCATCGAGAGCCAGCCAAGTGACGATCTCTGTCTTCTAGCGGTCATGGCCTTAATTAGATTCCACCAAACAAATATTGGGTCTAAGCGTGATGCTCCTCATCCTGCATTAATCCAAGCCGCTGCACTGATAGAGAATTTGCTTCTCAAGTCACCCCATAACTATGAACCTCTACTCCTTTTAGTTCGGATATACCTCCTCCTGGGCGCGGGCTCCTTGGCTCTAAAGTCGTTCCATAGATTGTCGCTGAAGCAGATGCAATATGAAACGGTAGCACATAATCTCTTTACCCGCCTCGCATCGACACACCCCCATACTGCTCCACCGTACGAAGGATTAGAGGTTAAGGATTACGATCCTCAAAGTGCCATGAGGCATGCGTTGAGCTTTTATCGAAATTCTGAAACTGCGACTAAGTATTCGAGAAACGTTGGCCTAGAACATGGAAGCTATGTTAATGTGGCTGGAAGCATTGATCTCCAAAAGAGCCTTAAAAATAGCATCTGTAGAAGAATGTGGGCATTGGAAACCCGGAGGATTGGGCGACTGGTTGGTGGCGATTCGGTGGGACAATATGATCATATTGGTAAGGTTCAAAATCTATATAATATTTTCCTTCCAAGAACATACCACAAAAACTAACAATATATATATCATATTTAGTCTCCGACATTGACCCAGTTGTTGACAAGCGCAACTTCGACGGCTTTCCGAACTGTGAGCTTCCTGGCAAACCCAGCTTTGAAGAACATATCCGGCTCGGACCCAAGCCAGGGGTATGTTCGTTTTAATCAACATTTTTCCTTGGTTTACTAGTCAATGGAACTAATACCTGGCTGAAAATGAATAATAGGCCCAAGCAGTAAAAGCAATGACCATAACCGACGTCCTATTCGATTTCCTAATAAAACATAGCACCACCAAAAAGACGACATCATCTTCAACATCAACACTGTCAAATATTGATCTATCGCGTTACCTTGACCCCGACCTTGATATCCCTCTCTCAGAAACGGAACTCACTGCCGCTGAAATAGAAAATACAAACATCCACCTCACCCTCCTGAAAGCCATCGCATCCCTAGCCAGCATCGACACCAAACAATCCTCTCCACCAACACCCATAACGACTCACCTTGTTACCCTTGAATCATTCCTAACCGAAAAGCTAACCATGCTATCCTCCACACCCATATCCACTTCCATCCTTCCAACAACCATACCCCTCGCCTCTGTTATCAAGCAACAACCCGCCACGACTCCGTCTTCCATCGCCCCTTCCTGGCTCTATCTCCACACTACAATCTCCCTCCTCGAAACCTTAAAAGCTACCAACTTATTCCTCACCTTCCTCTCCCCACAATCATCAACAACAACAGGAAAAGCCGATCTCCCAGCCACAAAATCAAAAAAGCCCAAAGTCAACCCCCTCCCAACAAAGGAAACTGTCGAAAACCTGCACAACCTCGTTGAGCAGCTCGTCGACGTTATCCGCCGGAACACGCGCTTTTTGAAGATGCAAATTGCCGAGTCTGGAATGTGGGGGAGTTGGTAGAGTGGGTAAAGGGGGGAGTATGGCTTTGAGAACGACGGATGTAACAGTGGTGGTGATGGTGGCGATAACGACGATAGAGATGCGGTGGGGGAGGCGGAGGCAGAGTCAGTGGGCACAGTGAGGAGGGAGATTGAGGAGTTAATGGATACGGCGTCGTTGGAGTTGTTTTGCGCGTCATTGATGGAGAGTTGGGATGAGTCGCTTGACGGGGTGTTAGGTTTGTGTGCGGCGGTGTGAATGTATACTCTTTCTTTCTTTCTTTCCTTGCCCCTCCATTTTCATTTTCATTTTCTCTCTTTCTTTTTTTTTCGTGATTGATTGCTTGTCCTTGAGAGTGGCCAGCAAATTTTTGGTAGTTTCTGACGAATCCAGCCTTTTCTCTCGCAACGTAAGTTGGTTTGTTTTGACACAGATAACTTAACTATATACTTACAAATTATATAATTGTCAGACTTACCAATGGTGGTTGGGAGGAATACCACGGAATGAAATTGAGAACTTGAAAAATAAGTTTCATTGGCATTTATAGAAGAATACCGGAGAGGTTCGTGGGGCATTCATTTTATTTATTCAATCATTCGTTATTACTAGTTTGAGGTACTACTACTACAATTTCCTGCTGGTTAAACCCGCCTGGGTAATATCGTCCCCAGAAACACCCATTTCTATAGGGTAAGTAACTGATAAAATTGAATTCCGTCCTGAAGCCCCCCGGGTTGTGTCCTGTACGTATGCAGCCTGTTTTTTGTGCCAATATATGGGCGAGCCATTCCTGCCCCTGATTGCCCATGTGGGGGAGAGAGAGAATGAATAAGCTCAGCTCCTCAAACTGCGTCTATTCCTTTCAATACACCCACCCCCTCCCTCCCCTCCCCAACTATTTTCGGCACTGTCATATCATATCATCAATGGAATGGGTGTGTGCATCGCTCACATCTCCCCCGCCTTGTTCTCGTTGCACGGACAAGAGCCAAAACTTACGAACAGAGTGTGGAAAAGTGATTAGTAACTTTGTTTTTATAGAACGAGGTTTGAAAAATCATGACCAATCGGGATCCCATTTATCAGAATTTATCGAAGGTGCAGATAAAAACGAAAAAAAATGAAAAAAAAAAAATGAAATGAATGAAATGAAAAGATAAAAAGAAAAGAAAAGCAAAGAAAATAGTAGAGAAAACACACGCCGGGCTTGGAAACCCGCTCTAAACAACCACCTCCCCGCTTTCATCTCCTTCTCCTCATTTTTCTTCTTCCTCTAATTCGTGAGACCTAAAAAAAAACACAAAAACCGAACCCATCGTCTAATCTTGTCGTCCCTTTAGCAATCGCTTCGTGACTTTGTCCTTTTCTATGATGTAAACGTGAGCGCCCCAACCTGACAGGGCGTCTCGATCGACGGCATTAAGCAGGGCTTGCGAGATGGTCTCGAACAGGTCGTCAGGTCCCTAGTTCAACGGATGGTTAGTCAACGGCAGTATTTCCCCCCACGCAGCTATGAGAGAAATATATATATAGAATAAAGATGGATGGATGGATGGATGGATAGATAGATAAAGACACAGATAAGAAACGTACGAGATCCGGCTCCCACAGCCCCTCACACGTCCCGAACAGCTGGTCACTCGCCGTGCCGCTGACGATAAAATCCTTCGCGAAATCGATGCAGCCAATGCTGTCAAAACCGCATATGAACGGCTTGCCCGTCGTGCTGTTTATGCCCGCCAGCACGGGGCTGACGAAGTAGGGGCCGAAGCGCTTCTCGTACAGACTCGAGCTGATCAGGTTGGCCAGGGTCTGTGGCGAGATCTGCCGCTCTTCGCGCAGCCGGTACATGTTGACTTTGTAGCGGAGTAGGTCAGAGACGCTGGAGACGTCCGTGGCGAGCCCTGTTAGGCCGAGATAGGTCGAGGGGGCGTAGTTGAAGATCTTGGGGAAGTTGTTGGAGACGGTGAGGGCTTGTAGGCCTAGACGGAGGTCACAGGCAATGGCGACGCAGTCCTTGCCGACCATGGCGACGCAGGCACCGCCATCTATTGTTGTAGAGGGTGGTTAGGAGGGTAGGCTGTTTTGGGTGGGGGGTTTGATTTGGAGGGGGAATGGGGGAGTGTGTATATACTTATGTCGAAGGGTGAGGCCTATGTAGAGTGTTAGACGGCAGAATGGGTATTGTTGGTTGGATGTAGATAGAATGGAGGGTCGCTTACCATGATGTGAGCGATCGGCAATTGAATATATGGGAGAAAAGTGGCCGCGCAGATGTAGCAGGGAGGGGTTTTATAGCAGTGGTGGTGGGTGTTTTGACTTCTTGAGACCTAATAGCTGTGATGAAGCTCTCTCGCTCTCGGTCTTCTCCAGGTTGCTGGATAAACGCGCGGTGAGCTAGGTTAGTCAGCCGCAAGCCGAGAACTGATTGGATGGGGCGTGCTTACACTGGAAATTTAAGTGGAAATCTCGATACCGGAGACCCTTATAATGCCGCCCTGCCTAGAAGCCGTTCTGGGGGCTTGACACCTAAGCCCCCAGCTAAACTTTAGGCATCAAGCCCCTATTAGCCCCTGAGCCTGTTTGTAAACAAGCTTACCAGATAACTTTCTGCCCCAGATATCTGCTCGAGTTGCCAGAGGTCGACGCCGACCAGATAGATGTCTCCGTGTTGAACCACCTGAATGCAAGCGCCGAACATTTCAGTACAGAATAGCTGGCCCCCCAGGTGCCACGGCAATGCGGCCTTCCATTCTTTTATCATCTCAAGCCAGTCTGCGACGCACTCTCTTGAGCTGCTCAAGTCCCCTTCATGCACAACATGCCCAGCTCCAGCCTTCCTGCTTCACACTGCCATTATTTCCTAACAGCTACCTGTACACAACCATGTCCTCCAACATGTCTTCTCCCCTCAAATTTGCTGACACTGGCTTCGATATTGTTGACACTTCTAAAAAATTTGAAGAGGAGACCCTCCCGGACTATCACCCTGCAGACTATTATCCAGCTCGGATTGGGCAGGTGTTGGCAGATAGATATCAGATTGTTCGGGAAACTGGGCTATGGCGTAGCCTCAACTGTCTGGCTTAGCCGTGATATTCAGTATATCATTGCTTTTTCACTAGAGAACAAATCTAAATAATGTAGCATGACTGACTCACGCCCCAGAGAGTCCAGATATGTGTCCTTGAAGATATCTACTGCTGGGTATTCAACACAAAATAATGAAATCGACATCTACAAACAGCTAGAGTCTGCTGCCTTGGAAACCGACCACGTTGGAAAAACTCTCTATCGGCAATTATATGGCTCCTTTGACATCACTGCACCTCATGGTACCACCCATACATGCCTTGTCCAACAGCCTCTTGGACTGAGTATGGATCAATATCTTGATCTCCGCCACCCCGGACTTCTATCAACAGACCTTCTCAAACCTATGCTACCAAGTCTTTTAATTGCCTTGGACTTTGTGCATATAGCAGGTGTTGTTCTTCATACAGGTATGGCATTGATCAACTCATGGCACAATCATTGACTTGATGAACAGTTATGCTAATGAAGAAGATATGATAAGATATTCAGAGCAAGAATATACTTTTCCCAGTCAAAGATGATGCCATTTTTAGAAATTTTGAAGAAACTGAATTGAAAGAGCCAGCACCACGGAAGATTCTGAGTGATAATCATATCATATATGACCCGGCGCATTCCTTTAACCCCAACAGATTTTGGAGATGCCAGGTTGATAAGCAAGACCCAGCCAGGGGAGTTCATCATGCCTCATCATTATAGAGCACCGGAGGCCATTCTTAACATGGAATGGAATGACAAGGTTGATATTTGGAACATTGCAGTACTCGTGAGTGAATGCCTTATTGGTCTAAACATAAAATCCACTGGCTAAAATTGGTAACATTCCTTAGCTCTGGGACCTCGTGTCACCTGGCCATCTTTTCGGTGTGCGCGAATTGTAGAGGACGGAATTCAGGAGGTCATTCGTATTGCAGAGATGATTGCCATTATGGGACCCCCGCCGAAAGAGTACCTTGAGAGGAGTGAAGGCTGCAAGGTATTCTGGGATGAAAATGCTATGTTACCTTCATTCGACTCAACAAGCTCGGCATTTGCTTTGTTCTACTTATGTTGACGACTGCCGCTTTGTGATCCCTGGTTTAGGGAAATGGAAAAACCTTACTCCCATCCCAGACATAACACTCGAAAGCCTTGCCATAGATGTACAAGGTGAGGACAAGGAGGGCTTCTTAAGCTTCTTGCGTAAAATTCTGCGTTGGGTACCTGAGGAACGGCCGACAGCCGGAGAGCTTGTGTATGATGAATGAGTCCTAAAAGGCTTGGGCAAGAAGAAATGGATGAAGTTGCGAATGCTTAGCTCACCTGTTAATGGACGACTGGGTCCGACGAGGCCAGGATTGTTGATGGCATCAGTGCTAACTACGGGTCGATCCCGAACGGAAGTGAGTCGTCATCTACCGAAGGGCAAAAACAATGGAAGTATCATAAGACATTTATTCAATGCAAAGATGAGACGGGAACAAGTTGAATCAATACAGGAACAGGTTTTGGCTAAAATATAAACCACACCTTCTTGGAGCGGTTCCTCAAGGATGGTCTCCCACGCCATTTGTTTTTTCTCACGAACAATGGACAATACCTGTCGGCATGATTTCGAGCTGTTCGTCTATGTGCTTATCTGGCAATGTGCTCGTCACGGCCGGGAAAAATTAAATGCGCTACAGAGGGGCGGCCCAAAGACAGCAGGCTGAGGCAATGGTATACCGGAACTATAAGAAAATTGCATGTTAAATATATAGAAGATACCCCCGTACAGAGTGAGAGTATTATAAATACTCTTCTTTAAAAACTCAGCTCATATCTTTATTCTTCTCTAGAGCATTTTCTAACTTTTTTTTTTTACTTTTTAATCAATAATTCTTAGAGTATGCTATAGATTTATTTTCTCTCTTAATTAAACTGTCTGAGTATTTAATAATATAAAATACTTTATAGTCTTTTCTTATTTCTCTCTTCCAATGAGTTGTCTATTTATTTAATCATTATAAATCACGCTCTTACAGTTTCAGCATTGTATCCAGGTTCAACCCATCTATGAAACTATATGGATGTATATATCCGCTAGCAGCTACCCCAAGGGGCCAGAGTGTATCATTCTGATATAATCTCACCCCTACATTCTACTGTTTTGATATTTGATCCTTCTATCTGAATCCCTTCCGATATAACACTGTATTATCTTACATGACTCTATCCTCGACCCGCCGCTTACAAAAACTACAACATCATATTCAAGTAGCAAAAAAAGGTAATACAGAGTGTGAAGAATACACTCAATTTCAGGTCATCTCACTTGACAGATCAATTGCACAAGATACTCCAAGGCAGTTTCATACAGAGGGAACTCAATGCCATGAGAGAGAGTGTGTGTGTGAGATTGAGGGTTATCGGTGGAAGGAGGAGGAAGCAGGGGTCAAGCAGAGTGAGAGCGCTCCAATGAACAACGCCAGATGCAACACAACATGAGGTTGATGAAATATATAAATGTCTCACGAAATAATACAGCTACTCAGGAGGATATAGATAAATTCATCATCGTAGATTAACTACGTGGCGTTGGGATATTAATTTTTTGAAGTCCAAATTATCCATATTTTTATCGTTACCAGCCCGGGCAACAGGTACTCAACCACCTTGTAGGATAAACATCCCGTCCCCGCCAGCCGAAGCGTGTCCGGGAGTCCAGCTGAACCGGGTTCGAACTGTTCTTGACATGGTTGCGTGGTGGCGCAGGGTTTCATCCCCATCCCGGATGTCCACAGCTGAGGAATAGAACCAAGTGCAGTGTACGACGAAGACATGCACTATTTATCCCGCAGCGATATTTGTCGAGCGATGGGCGATCCTCGTCCGGAGTTTCTTGTTCTCAAAATAATTCAGGTTCTTCTCTGAGGCATGATGAATGCCTCAAGATCGCTCATGTTTAAGCTTATCGTGTTGAGCCGTTTTCACAAGTATACGCAGTTGAGTTCTGTGTAGTTACTAGTTAGTATAATGGATACTGAGAATATACGCCGCTACTTACATTGCATGACAGGACATCCGAGAGCTCTATGCCCTGGTCGTCTCGATAGCGCTCGTTCAGCATCACCATGGCCCTGAGCACTGCTGTTATATATAGAAGGGTTCTCTCTTTCTCTCAAAGTCCTAAGGCCGTTGATTAATTCCTTTATTAGCTATGATAAGCGCTTGTATCCCCTCTCTCCAATCAATTTTGGCAGCGCCCTGATTCGCCGAACTGTGGTGTATTTCCTGATGGCTCAACCCCACAGGACCACTAGTAAGGATATCCTTCTCTATTATCTCGTTCATCGTAGTTATAACTAGCTAGCTAGTTAATGTACTGTACATACTGTACATAACGCCTATCTAGTTGATCCCAGAAACCTTCAGCTCTTTGATATCGGGGACTTAATACGCGAGGGAGTCAGCACAAAGCGCTCATCAAGCTAGATAGGAACAAGACCATGTATATAAGTTCTGGGAACATGCACGGCAGGACGTAACACGCAATGTGCTATTAATTCCGTTTATTTGTTTGATGGACGCTGTGCTTCCACTCAGGATTTCTATATACATATGACCGTACCAAGACAAAACCACCGCAGCTCAAAGTGACCGCATCAACGGCATCTTCCAGGTCCTTCCGATAGCAGCAAAAGCTCTACTCTATCCCCGGATAGTAAAATTGCACTTCAAAACATGGCCAACAACGATTCTCCTCCCATGTACACGGACACTCCTTTGGCCGTCATCCCCACGCCAAAGTTCGAAACAGGCAACGTGCGTATCTGCACCTATTTCCCTTCTCAGCTCGCCCATGGTCAGCGGGACAGGAATCTCGTTGCTGACCGACCAATCCTGTAGGAAGACCCGTTCACCATCGAGGCTTCCCACATGGCTCTCAGCCACAACGCATTCATCCGCGGCTTCAACAGCATCTATCAACAAGCCTCTCGCCTCCGGGAGCCCAGGGACAAGTCAGACTTCGTCGACTACTGCCAGGCGTGGATCGAATGCGTCAAGACCCACCACCACTATGAGGAGACGGACCTGTTTCCCAACATCAACAAGGCGGCCGGCACGACTGGTTTGATGGAGGATGCGGTGCATGAGCACGAGCTTTTTTACGGCGGGATGGACCGGATGAAGGCCTATCTCGATGAAACGGGTGCGGAGTTCTCCGCCGCAGAGCTGATTTCCATCATGGACTCGTTCAAGGAGCCGCTGCACAGTCATCTCAAGGCTGAGCCGCCCGCCATCGTCGATTTGGCGAGGTACAGCACGGAGCAGAACCCAATAGATATCATGGCCATAGCCGCCGCTGCTGGTAAGACACTGCTTCTGCGCACAAAGCCCTTCCCCGCTTTCGTGTGTGAGTTTGTATCGATTGTATCACAGGATTTCAATTAACCATTGTCACTGGATTCCGATGCGTTTCTCTAGGCAAAAAGCAAATCGGCTTTAGCTTCTTCCTAAACACCGTGCCCGTCTTCTTCCTGAACATGGAAACGGCCACCTTCGAAGGCGGCATGTGGCACGGCGTTTTTCCTCCTCTGAAAGGATTTGCGAGAACTCTCGTGAACAACGTCGTGCCCATGTGGCACTCTGGCAGATGGCGTTTTGCCAGCTGCACGCCCGACGGAGAATATAAGCAGCTGGCTGTTTAGATTAAATCATCTTCGGAGTTAGAGTTGTTTTTGGTTGTATCTGGGCTTATTATTCTTTTGTTGCTATGTAACTAGCTAGTGTCGCGATACCCAAATCATGAATGAAGGGGATTTTTGTTGGTCCTTGGAGATGGGTGTAACTGTATAACGTCGAGATGAATATTTCCCAGCCTGGTCAAGGAGACAGGTACAGTGCATGTAAATACTTCGTTAAGACAGTGGTCCCTCGATTTGATGCCAATTCTTGAAGTATGAAAAAGGACACGCACCCAGATTCTCTGAGTATTTAATCGATCTCGAAACATAAAATCATCGCCAGGAACTTTCGTCCATTATTTAGTCGCGGCTTGGCGTATCTTCTATTTATCCCACTCTCAAACCGCGGCGCCGAGATCGATGTCGTCGTCTGCCTCCGTATTTCCAACCTCAAGACGACCCTCCTCATCCTCCGTTCCTCAGCATGGCCTCGCACGTTGTTGTGATAGACTCCACTGCTCGAAAGGCTACGGTCAAGGTCACTCCTACAAAACATCTCACTGAGGTTCTTTCGGAAGCATGCTCCAAGCTTGGCCTTGATGCCCGCCAATATGGACTCAAGTAAGTGCTAGTGCTGCCCTACCCGGCGGTGCCGCATGTCTTATATCAATATGTATCCTCGGTTCCTTATTTACCGTTGACCCGTGCCTTTTTCTGAAAGGCATCAGAAGAAACAGATCGATCTCTCGCTCTCTATACGACTATCCGGGCTAAGCTCCGGTGCCAGGCTTGAGCTTGTCCAGCTTTCGCGCTCCCCCTCCGTCGTCTCCGTTGCCTTACAGCTTCCCGAATCAGAGGCCCGAGGTGCCCCAAACGGCCGTTTAACCGATAAGTTCCCCAGTAATACCACGTTGTGGCATGTTTTACGGAAATTTGAAGCTGGGGTGGCGGGGAATGGAACCACGAGAAACCTGACGGCTAGAGGGGTGCCGTCGACGGCAACTGGTGCGGGGCGGTTGTTTTATGAGTCTCCTGTCATCCAAGTTGTCGGGAGGGAGCTATCGTCGTTTGGGGACCTACAGAGGACTCTTGGGCAGCTGGGGTTCAATAGCGGAAGTACTCTCCTCAGATTAAACTTCCGGGCGACGGATAAGCCGCTCGAAGAAGCCATGATGGAAATCGCGGAGTACTTCAAGTCCACAGAAGAAGAGGAGGATACAAGTAATGTGAACGCTGCCGAAAGCTCAGAACGCGAACATCTCGTTCCGTCAGCCTCAGAACGGGCAATGCCAGAATCATCCGCTACATCGACCCCATCCGATATTACAGATCCCACCCCCGAGCATCAAGACATCCCAGAACAGCAACAAAATACGGAAAACTCCACCCAAACCCCTCCTCCTGTGACCACTGTATCATCAAGGCCTACCACCGTTTACGCCCCACCCTCGAGCGCAGTACCACAATCCGCGCAAACCCCATTCAACGAGCACGACTACGTCCCTACCGTCGACCAAGCAAAAGCTCACCAACTTCACCTCAGCCGCACCACCCGCCCCAACCGCCTCCCCACCGACGCAGAACTGGCGGCACAAGCATCCGCCCAGGAAACCAAGCTTGCCAGCATCGTCGATGTCGAAGTCAAGATCCGCTTCCCCGATCAAAGCCAGGTAGTCTCCAAGTTCACCAGGGAAGATACGGCGCAGGGTCTGTACGCGTTTGTCAGAAGTTGTCTGGATAGTTCTATATCGGGCGAGAAATTCTCGTTGTCATGCTTCGCTGCTGCTGGCGGGGCCGGGGACGCGGCCTCCCCACTCACTACCCCCCTACACACCCACCATTCCCTATCATCAAACCTGACAAATAAAAAAGGCCAGTCCGTCATCCCGGACGTGGCTGAGAAATTACTCATTCGCGATTTGCGCATGAGTGGCCGCGTGCTGGTGAATTTCTCCTGGGCGGACGATGTCTCGTCGCGGGCGAAGAGCGCGTCGACACGGGTGCAGATACTCCGCCCCGAACTGAGGCAGGTGGCTAGCCAGATCAAGGTGCAGGAGGTGGCTGCTGCTCTTCCAGCTCGTGATGAGAAGGGGAATAAGTCGTTGCTGCAGAGGCTGGGCGGCGGTGATGGGGATCAGGGGCGTGCGGACGCGAGGAAAAGGGGTGGCGGGGTGCCGAAGTGGCTCAAGTTACCCGGGAAGAAGTAGGGAGGAGACATTTTGTTCATTTTGTTCATTTTGTTCATAGAGTTTATCTTTGTTTCGCTTTTGCTCTGGTGAGCTTAGATGTCAATGAAGCTTGATGATAATGAAATATGAGACTTTGTCTTTTTTTAATGGTTGATAAAAATACGATGCATTTCGTTAGCTGGTGTATTGGTGGGCCTTCCATCGCATTTTTCGCTTTCTATCGTTCATGATACATATCCGTGTTTCGTTTTCGTTTTCTTTCTTTCTCCCCCCTCTCCCTCCCCCCCCGTTTGATGGTATATAGGATGCTTCTCTACCATAGAAGAAGAACAGGGGAAGAAAATGGAGGTGGTTTTTTGTAAATATCATCGTGACTCCATTAACAAAGTCTCTGATAGTTAGCTACTGTGCCCTTCCCTGACTGGGTTCTCTTTCTTGCCCTCATTTCCCAGTTTCAAGGGGATAACTGCTTGTTCCTCATGTCCTTTGCGCCATCCTGAGCCTCATCTTTCCGGCGAGCAACGGGGGGGGGATGAGTGAGGAGAGAACCAACAGCCGTATCTAAGTAGCACAACATAGAAGATGCAGGTGAAGATACAGGTGGGTAGGGAAAATATCGATGAGCAAAAATCAAAGGTCAGGGTGGTGGGATATGTACGGTATTATGCTCTTTGTTGTTTGTTTGTTTGTTTGGTTTTTTTTTTTTTTTTTTTTTTTTTTTTTTTTTTTTTTGTTTCTTGATATTTCATTTCCATTAATTGAAAAAGATGCACACATGATGGGGGAAAAAAAAAACAAGTTTAAATGGTAATCCATGACACCAAACCCTTTACTTCGAAGAGTAACAACATCCAGCAACAGTCCCGTTTCCCAATTTCCTCACCCACAAGAGCCACAGGACTTTCTAATTTTGCCCTCCTTCGATATAAGAACATCTAGTGGCCGGCTCTCTTGGCCTCGGCAATGACTCCTTGCATTTCGTCGACCTTTCTCTTGGCACGACCAAAGGTTCCGAGCTAGATTAGATGAAAGATTTTGAGTTAGTAGGTAGTTCTTTCTCGAGAATGAGTATGTGCGTGCGCTTCATGACGCTGTGCCATGCCCCTATCGGTTTCCAATTTCCGATTTCCGCGAGTTTTGAATATAGCCTGTCCCCCTTGAATTGAGAAAAATATGTGCGTTCGAGGTGGTCATCATATTGCAGATTTGTCACAAGGCATCCATGCAGATCTGGGGCTTCGAATTTTGGTGGTTGGAGGCTGGTATTATCAAAAATGGTGATCCATCTCGATCATTTCCTCTTCGCTCTCCTTTTCATTTCACGTTCCACTCTTCGCTCCTCAAACAGTCGTTTTATCTCAACTACTCGCTCCGCCTCTTGAACCCGACGAAGGCTACGGCTTGACTGGAAAAATGCAAATAAATAAAATGGGTACTCACCCGTTTCTTCGCGAGCTTCCGGGCCCGCTTGTCCTGGGCGTTTCTCAACAGTTCAACGACGCGGCGCTCATATGGGGCAAGGCCGGCGACCTCCTTCACGATATCACGGACGAACTTGATGCGGCGGGAGAGGTGGCCTTTTGTCCGCGAGATGCGTGTCTTGGTTGTGTTGGCGGTGGTTTTCTAAACAGGGTGTAACAAAATCCCAACTGGTTAGCTTTTTGCTCGTGTGCTCATCCATAAGCGTCCTGATGTTTCGATTTTTCTATCTTCTTTTTTCCTGTCCATAAGTCCATAATATATTGAAAGCAAGAAAAAAAAAAAAAAAACGCGGGAATTGGGCAGTAAATGAAAACTTTTACAGCCCAACGCCATTAAGCGGATAGCAATTCTCATTCTGGAGGATGAAAAGGGGAGGCGCGTGTGTTCAAAGAGCAGTAGCTTTGTTGCCGGGAGAGACGGTTTGAAGGGTGTGAATTCCAACATACATGGCCTTTGTTCAAGCCGACGGCAATGCCGGAGCGTTCCTTCGCCATCTCGATCGTTGATGACAGGGTGATGGGGGTGGGTGGTGCGGAGGATTGTCGTCGTTGTCGCTGTCGTTTTCTTGGTTGAAATGCATTCCTTGGATGAGGCTCAAAGTACAGTGCGAAGCGAGAAAAGCGGGTTTAGGGTTTAGGGCTGTAGCCCTACCGTGTTCCAAAACGGGTTTGGACGAGTTGAAACCTCAAAAAAAGAATAACAGACCGTACTACGGAGTAGGATATTTCATATCAAACAACAACCATATGTTCCTTTTCCCGAATTATGCAGGCAGATATTTGGATGCGTCTTGGTATCCATTTTCTAGAACTTCGCCATGGACAGATTCAAACCTTTCTCGGCCAAAAGCTATGTGTTAACATCCAGATAACCAGCGATAGTATAGTATTACGTGTGAAACACCCTGTGCATGATAGACCTGAATTTGGGGGATACCGCCAGTTTCTTCTTCTCATTGTGGATGCGCTTAGTTGGGCATCGTTCGCCAGCTTTATGATCAACAGTTCGACCCCTCGTTGACAGATTTGCAGACATCGCGGAATTTTACAAAATCATCAAACCACGGAAAAGAGAATCTCCTTTCGACGTAGTAGATTTCCAGTACGTTGGCGGCATTGACATCATCCCACCGTTTTCGACGCAGTCAGCTAGCTCTTGAGGTTTTCGCATTCTTATGACATTCTTGTTTTCACCAGTACTTAAACGATGTTGTGCGCCAGGAGACTCATATCCGCCATACACAACAGTGAATGAATGAGTGTTTACTTATTTCTATTCCCCGCAAGGATCCGGGGTGCGGGTTGAGAATGTATCCAATTGTCATCTCGACTCCTATAGTTACCAGTGGAAGATACATCCAAACAGCGGAAGTTTCTCTCAACGTTGTAATTTCGTTAGCGGGGCGGCCAACTCACAATCACCAGCCCTTGTTGTGAAAGCTGTCTGGCGATACTACGGGAGGGCATTTTTGAATTCTTTAAGGAGAAGTACTAACTACCTATCTCGGAGTTCATTTTCCTTACCCGCATCCCAGTACATGTATGCTATGACGAGGGTAGGCAAATGTGGATGACGGTGGAAGGGATCATTAATAATTTTCTATTGCAGTTAACTAGTTATTTGTTATTTTCATATAATCGGATATTCACATAGTTCGGAGGTGGTGATACTTTAATCTCATAGTTTGATATAAGCTAAAAGCTTTGTATTATGAGGCGTGGCTCTTTTTTTTTTTTTTTTTTTTTGTTGGCCAAATCCTTATAGAAGTGATTAGACTTGACAAAAGTGAAAAGTGATGCTCCCTGGCAAAACGAGCCAAGCGGATAATCGTGCGGTATGATATCTTCATTGACTACGGAGTTCTAGTAGTGAAGCACGGCGCTCAAGACACCAAGCCCAAGAATCTGGTCAGCCATAAGAACAAGACAGGAATGAAATCGAATTTGTTCTTGCTGGGTGAACCTGGAGCACATATATACATATTCTGAAACCAATCCCCACCACATTCACCGAGACGGAATTATCGACGCAGGACATCGAAACCCGATAACGAGACGCAAGCCAAGCCGAGCAATCGGGAGTCGAGAATATCAGACAGGGCTACGATCCCGGTCGGCGGGAAGATGGCGAAAATTCAGAACAAAAAATATCTTACTCCGTACACATTCGCCTACTGATGGATTGAAACCCGGCATGAACATGGAGGTGGGCTGTTTTGAGTACGAAGGCCTGGACCTGGACCCTCATACAAAGAGGGATCAGGTAACACGCTTCTTCTGTGCCCCACACTAACCGCCTTGAAAGTAGAAAGAAAACGGTCCCATAGCTCTCCCGCTCTCCCGCTTTCCCAATTGCTAAGATGGGACTCGGTTCTGCGCGCTAAGGGAGCTGAATTGGCAGTCCTCCTCATTATTTCTCCTTTGAAACTGGGGCCATGCAGCTAAGGGGCCACTTATACAGCTGTTGTCTTATTGATGGTAGCATCAAAGATTGACCAAGGGCCTCGGAAATATGCATGTATAGGAGATGACACCGCATGGGAAGTGCGAAGGTACGTGCCGACTGCAGAACCAACATACATGCAAATGAAAGCTGAAAGTTAGCTGCGGCCTGTGAAAAAAGGTCCAACAACGCACGTTGGCGCAGCTGTATAGATGGTTTATTCCAGTTCTCTGCGTCATTCGATGTAAAGTAGAGGGAATTGAGGGACCAAATTGTGCAATCTGTCTATATATATATATATATATATATATGTATGTATACGGAGTATACTTCTATAGGCATACACATAAACTGATAAATGTGAAGAACAAAGGACAAACAGAGTTCGGGTGATTTTTCGAGCAAATACTGGCATGCAACCATGCATGATGGAACACTCTGGCTGCTGACGCTCGGGGAGTTAAGAAGCGACAAAGAGAGGATGAAGACAGGATGAGCAGATAGCAGATGGAGAGTCGAGAATGTAGTGTATATGTACAGTACATGCTTTTCATCGGAGATACTGGGGTAACTCGAGATTCGCCCGATCGTTCTAGGTTGGGTGGACCAGTAGGAGTATTTTCCGTGGTATCTGTGAAGGAGTGCTTTTCCGAGGCCACTTGGTGTAAGTCTAATTTTAAACATGCAAAAGCTCGTCGGATCAATTCTCTCCCTTCCCGTATCGTGCTTCATGGTTTATGAAAATGAACAATATTAGTAGTAGTGTCTCCTGGGGCCCGGAGAGAAACCCACTCAGGGATTTTCTGCATCGCTCTTGATGGATGGATCACTCATTTCACTGCTTTTGGCGAAGTGCAGGTAGGGCTTGTATCCCTCTCCCGCTCTAGCCTGCCTGCATTTACCGTTTGCACCCGCCTCGGTCATTGGACGTAGCGTTTCACGCTGAATTCGTAATTTGTTCTCCTACTTCTCATGTATGAGGAGTTCTCCATCATCCGCTGCTTGTCACTTACTATTGAACAAGCAAACAGTAAAAAGGACAACACTGGGAGTTTTGGGGTTCAAAAAAATGAAGGTTTTTTTTTTTTTTTTTTTTGTGTGTGTGTGTGTAGA